AGCTTCTCTCTTTCAAAACGCCTGACTGGGCTTGAATACGCCCAGAGGAGGGGACCTGCTGCGCAAAGCTTGGGAGGTGGACGACCAGGATGACGGGATAGCCTCCTCTCAACTGGGACGAAGATTGGGACGCCACAGTGTCAAGTCAATGTTGTCCGCAACTGGCAAGAAGTCCGGCGTCCGCTCTGACATCGTCTGTAACAACCTCGACTTGACTTTGGGGCAGAAATACTCCCCTGGAAGCGACACAGAGTCAGTGGGCGGCAAAGGGACAATACCAGAAGGGATTTCCTTGCCCGTATGCATACAACTGGGACATATCGGCATGGCCAGTACGTCTGAGATCGAAATTTTCGACCAGAGTGGGCAACGAGGACCCTCACGTACACTGGTTCCACGGGGCATATCCAGCAGAGACTAGACACAGACGAAAGAGTTACAAGGGATGCATAACGCTTCGTGGGATTTTGGGTGCAGAAACCCATGCATGTCAGTGGAAGCATGTCCTAGGGCTGGCCAGAAGTTCCTAGCTTGCAAGAGAATAGCGGGCAACGGCGTCAAGGAAAGTCTTCTTCCTTCGGATCCCCGCCTTGTAAGGGTCCGCTCGTACCAATTAACCTCTGGGGCGGTGCCCGGAGTGCTCCCCGATCATACTGGCATACCGTCAACTTGAACTCTACCTACCTTAGTTGAGAGGAGGCAAGAAATCAGTGGGAGACAAGAAGCTAGTTCGGACTAGAGCGCATCCTTTCTGCAACCCGCAAGTATATCGAGGTGCCGAAGCGACTTGGCCGGGCAAACCAACGCCGAAGAGGCCCAACGGATGGTGCGTAGTCTGGTACGCTCTCTTTGCTCGCAGTCAAGGCGATGAGAAGCAGCAAGGGGGATCCATTGCTTGAAAACCCCGGGACTCGGGCTTCGTGTCTTCTGGCGCGTGGCCATGCAAAATGGGACCAGAAACTTCCTACCTTAGCTGCCGCTGCATCCTGGCCAGGGTTTGGGTCAACTAGGTCCATACAATCTCGGATCCGGGCGGCGGACGACGGGCTCAACGGGACGACAAAACAGTCAGTATGACCCCTGGATCTGACGCGGATGACGGCTCCTTTGACGGTCTAGCCCTAGACAAGCGCTGTTGGGAGGCGAAAACGGTGCGAAAAGCTCCGAGACGCCTCAAAGCTCCTCGGGTCTTCTCCTCATATGCGATGAGAGCTTCTCATACAACCGATACTGGGTGCTCGTCTGGCTCTCTCTCAGGCTCGAATGTCTGGGGGCGGATGCGCGGCTTTCTGGCAAGCTCAGTAGCCTTGTGGCAGGCAAACCGATGTCCAGGGGGTAGTCGGACGAAGGACATCGAGATCCCCGCGCACATATGCCTAGTAGAGAGTGCTCCGCCATCTGCAGGTTTTAACCGGCGAGAGAGGGGAGAAAGGGCGATCTGCAACGGAGTGAGCAGTGGATGCAAAGGCACCTTGCATTGCCCAGACTAATAACGAGCCCTTTTTTTGGCGCTTCGAGGCTCCTGGGTGGATTCTCCTCAGAGGCCTGCCTCACCTGTGGCTCGTCTCGAGGCCGCGAATGGAACGGCGTCTACAAATTTTGCCCGCAATTTCCTGGCCGAGCTGTGGAATCCATACGCCGTATACACCCAGCGACTCGGGCTTGTCGAGATGATGATGGTTTCTGAGGCGGTGCTGGGAATCTGGCTCAGGTTGGTGCAAGAAGTGGATTTTGGTCTGATATCGACAGCGGCGAACAACTCTTCCCTTAAGAACTGACGAGCGATTCCATTTACGAGTCAGGCGGGACAGAATGGGGCAGATCTTCTGCCTTGCGGGCGGGCGTCGAAGCCCACTGGGCTAGGAGTGCATTGTGGATTGTCACTTCAACAAGTCAACTCAGTCTCTTCGCCTCACCGAAGAGATGTCCCGATACGGCTGGCTTCCAAGAAAGAGTCTCCTGCGACAGGACCTTCTATTGGAGACTATGCGATGCAGATGCCTCGCCGGATGCGGCGAGATACAGAATCCAGGGTGCCGTTGGATTCGCCCAACGACTTCCTCACCGCATATGCGTTCACGCCACCAACAGCTGCTCAGGGTGCGCCTTCACAAACCGCAGTTGGCAGGGCAAAACGCGGAACAGCAATTGCCTACGTGGCTGCTGCGAGGGCGAGGATGGAGCAAGTTCCGGGCAAAACCAGCGACGAATTCGCGGGCAAAACCCGCTGTGCGGGCAATAAGCTCCTTCGACACTCATTCGACGTCGTAATGTCCAAACTCTAACCGCGTTCTCGACACGATAGTCTTTCGATATCACCAAAGGCGTGATTCATGTACCGCTCAACAGCTCAGGCTGAGAACACGCATCATCATTCATGTCGTTTACATGGTTACGTAAGAAGCCAAAACGAGGGAAGGTTGACACGGCACGACCGGGCACTTGTCAAGAAGGATTGCACCTTCGCGCTTGAGGACCCTCGCACTCAGCCTGCCGAGTCTTGAAGCTAGACTCGAAATGTCTTGTCGACAGGTTGTCTTCCTAACCGGCAATACCGCAATACCCTATATTGCCTGGGCTGAAATCGACGTTCCTGTTTCGCTGGAACAAACTCCGATTACAATGATTCGTCGAGCCGAAATGGATGGACTATGTACGTCATCAACATCCTGGATTCTTTTCTCAGCCAGGGTGAGTGCAGAGTCATTAGCTGATTCCGACAGATAGGCTTTCAGATCGGCTTTTTCTACTAACGTTCTCACTTTTCTAGTATTCCGAGCCGACGTTTAGATTGGACAATAGCTTCTTCAGTCAGCGATCATGACTCTCTCACACTCAAGAGATGAACGACCGGGGTTGAGATGAGAGGACAATCAAGACCCCAGGCTCCCATTCCCCTGTAGATATCCCAGTCGTTGCAACTTCCAGCAGGCTACACTACGCGGGGACTACACCCGGCCCCCACGGTTCATCCATTCTCCTTTGCGCCTAGCAGTTGCCCAGCCGTCATCGTGGCACGATTTTCTAGGGCACGCTGTTCTTCTGGCCTCGTGCTGTGCGCCAACGCGAAAACAGCAAGGTCAATTGCCAGGGACTCTCTACACCCTTAAGGGCAGGGCGTGAGACTGTCGAAGCACGCAGAGGTCTGGACCTGGCGATTTCACTAAAGTGCGCACTCGCCACCGCGGACGCCGGCCGAGCAGAGCCCTGTGCGATATCACGGTCGGTATATTCGCGAAGGCACGCCCGTGGAAACCCCTCCGGAGCTTGGGGGCCCGATGTTCTCCGCCGGTCAGTTCGACACGGACAAGCAGGCCAGCGGGAGACGTTTCCAACCCTCCTGCGGCGGTCTACCCCGGCCTGCTGGTTAGAGGAGTAGGTTACACCGAGAGCGGCCGGCATGGTATGCAGCAAGTACGGCAACTTGCATATCCAGTTTTCTTTTCTATCTCCCTACCGTACGGATGTGTATGTCAACTTTCCCATTCGATATTCCCAAGCCTTCGCCAACCTTGCCTGTTCTTTACTTGGCTTGCGGATTGGGGCACATTCTTGCCAGGGTCCCGGCCGGACGCACTCTCACCTGAATGCGTCCCGCTGCCGGCCTGCCAACTCACCGCCGCTGCCACAGACAACTTGACAAGTTGCCGCTACACTTTGCTTCCGAGGTCTTCTTCCCAGTTCCGGCAGCCTTGGGGGAGAACGAGTGGAGAGACATCAAGTGCCCACGCGCGTGACACGTGTGGGAAATGAGAAACCCGGCGGCCAGCCCGGGAACGCTGCGGGCGGTGGTGGTAGCAGCCCGTCCGGACGTGCCACGCTCGGTTTGATCCCCGCGCCGCCGTCGAGCCGTCAGCGTGGAGCGCTCGATGGAGTCTTTGCCAGGCAGAGCTTCCCCCCAGCGAGGGAAGAAGATCGCTTCTCTTTTTGGTCTTTCTTGCAGCGTCACAGACACCTGTCTGGCGAGGCGCTTACATTTCCGTCTCGTTCGAATCTTTTCGTCTCTTTTTCGAGTCCGGATCGTCGTCGTCGTGGGCCTTGGCTTTCTTCGTACATACCGTTCTCGGTTCGGGCCCGTCTCTCATTCCCACCGCCAAAACCCCCGTCGTCAGGTACCAACGGTCGTCCCCACGCTCCGTCCCATGTCACATCACATCACGCACACAACACACACACACGCACACACAAACTTCTTCACCAGAGCCCGACCGCGCGTTAGTTCCCCCGATAGCCGGAATGACCCGTCATATCTGGCATCTGCCGAGCACTTCACCCTGATATTGCTGACACTTTTAACATTTCTGACATGCCTGACGCGTGTTGACAAGTGAGTAGCAGAAACTGTCCTACAGGATGCCGAAGGAAGCATGGAAACGAAATTTGGTCTATTACACACACACAATCATATGTGTTGGTTGGTGTTGGGCCTTTGAAATATTCTCTTCTTTTGGTTGAAACATGCCCAGCCGACCTGTCTCCCGCGGACGCCGTTGCCAGTTATCTCTTTCGGTCTCTTCTTGGTCCGATTATATAAAAAAAAAAGGATGAGGGACCACGACACACGGCACGACACGACACGACACGACCCCCTGCCCCTCCTGCCCCCAAAACCAGTTTTTGTTGGGTTCGCGAGGCGAGGTGCCTCTCTATCTAAAGTGTTGTGTGTTTGTGCGCGTGTGCGTGCGCGCGTGTGTGCCCTGTTTCTAGGTAGCGAGTAATGGGAGAGAAATTCTCCTTGCCCGTCATTCTTTCTAATATCAAAACACCCAAAACCCCGGTCTGCTCCGATGGATAAGGACCACTTCGTCGGATGTCTCGATCGAGAAGTCCGGTTCTTCCTCAACAAAATTTTTCATGCTCCGGCTCCTTTTGTCGTCGTTTTTTGGCCGGCTGGCGCGCGCAGCCTGATATCGTAGCAGTTGGGCCTTCAGTATACAGGGGTTGTTGGCCAAGGCGAGTTTTTACACCTCTTGCGGAACTCCTGATCCGGGTGCAACCGCTCACCGGCCGTTCTTCATGGCCTCCTTTCTGCGCTTCTTCTCCGAAGCCCGCGTGAGGGCTGTCTTGACCTCGCCCTTCTCGAAGGAGTCGAGGTCGTAGTAGACGGGGGCGATCTCCTGTGACGCGGAAGTAGATTAGCATCTATTTGACAGTGTTGTGTGTGCCGAGTGTGAGACGAGACGACGGCAAGGCAAGTGCCGAAGCATGCAAGACCAGGGGGGGTTAGAAGGGGAGTCCCGAGGCGAGATCGGATCTTCTGCCTTGCAGAGACGATCAATGGCGGCGGGGGGGCGTAATAGCGTTTGGGGGCGCATTTGAGAAGCGGGTTTGGGGGATTTGTTTTGCTTACCATTAGCCACTCTGGCCTGATTCCGGTGCAGGTGCGGATGTACTGCTTCGATGTGAGGACGAATTCGTTGTAGAGGACCCATTCGTAGTCGGTCTTGAGGACGGTGGAGGGGTGCATCATGACGGCCTGGTCGTCCTTGATGGTGCGGTAGACCTTGCCGGAGGACTCCTTCATGGCGACCTGCATGAAGAAGCCGGAGAGGAGGGCGCGGCGGATGTTTGTGTAGTAGTTCTTGTCCTCGAAGGGGGTGGAGACGAGCTCGAGGCCGTGGGTCTCCATGATGCGCTTGAGCTGGGCGCGGACGTTGTCTGCGCTGCTGAGGTGGCGGAAGGAGAGGAAGTGCTCGTGGCACCACTTCTTGGGGTCGACGCCGGGGACGTTGGCCTGGCCCTTGAAGGCGTGGTAGGCGTTGAGGAGGGTGAGGTGGTCGCCCTCGGGGTGGGAGAAGTGCGACTTCATCTCGTCGGCGCGCTTGCGCTGGGCGGCGGGGCGGACCCAGATCTGGGGGACGGAGAGGAGGGAGGTGATGGAGAGGATCTCGTTGGAGCAGTAGAACTCGGGGGAGGAGATGAGCATGACGGCGAGGGCGGGGTCGAGGGGGAACTCGGAGGCGAGGGAGCCGAGGGTGGTGAGCTCGCCGTCGTCGTCGAGGCAGGCGAGGTAGTTGAGCTCCTCGAGGGCGCGCATCATGGTCTCGGGGGCGGGGGGGTCCATGAGGTCGAAGTGGACGAGGTCCTCGACGCCGAGCTTCTTCAGCTCGAGGACGGTGTTGGCGAGGTTGGAGCGCAGGATCTCCGGGTGCGTCTGCTCGATGAGCTCCTTCTTGAAGGCGTTCTCGGTGTAGAGGCGGAAGCACTTTCCCGGCTTGGTACGACCGGCACGACCGGCTCGCTGCTGGGCGGAGGCCTTGGAGATGGGGGAGACGAGGAGGGACTCGACGCGGATGCGGGGGTTGTAGATCTTCTGCTTGCTGAAGCCCGGGTCGACGACGTAGACGATTCCGTCGATGGTCAGGGAGGTTTCGGCGATGTTGGTCGCGACGATGACCTTGCGGCCGGGGCGGCCGCCCTTCTTGTAGGGCGCCGGGGCCTTGTCGAAGATCTTCTGCTGCTGGTGCGGCGGGAGGGTACCGTAGAGGGGGTAGACGGCGAGGGGGCCGGCGTCGATTTCTCTGATCATCTCGTCGGCCTCCAGGTTGATTTTCCTGCAGGCGTCCTCGATCTCCTCCTCACCGGTCAAGAACAGCAGAACGTCTCCCTCGGCCTCGGAGGCGTGGATCTGGAGGACGGTGCGGATGGCGGCCTCGACGTAGTCCCTCTCGGGCTCGGGGGTGTAGAAGATCTCGACGGGGTGGGTGCGACCGGGGACGGCGAGGAGGGGCGCGTCGTTGAAGTAGCGCTGGAACTTCTGGGCGTCGAGGGTGGCGGACATGACGATGATCTTGAGGTCGGGCCTGCGGGCGGCGATCTGCTTGAGGAGGGCCATGAGGATGTCTGTGGCGAGGGTGCGCTCGTGGGCCTCGTCGAGGATGATGCAGCTGTAGCGGGACATCTCGTGGTCGTGGATGGCCTCGCGGAGGAGCATACCGTCGGTCATGTACTTGAGGATGGTCTTGGGGCCGGTCATGTCCTCGAAACGGATGCTGTAGCCGACCTCCTCGCCGAGGTTGACGTCCATCTCGTCGGCGACGCGCTGGGCGACGGACATGGCGGCGACTCGGCGGGGCTGGGTACAGGCGACGAGCTTGCGGTTGAGCTGGGGGAGTTCGTCGTAGACGACGTATTGGGGGATCTGGGTCGTCTTTCCGGAACCGGTCTCACCGACGAAGACGAGGATCTGGGTGGAATGGTACTTTTCGAGGAAGTCTTGTCTGTAGGGGACGCGTTAGCTACCAACATGCGAGATTGGTATTCTCTGGACGTGGGCAGACGTTACCTTTGCTTGTGTACGGGCAGGTCGCGACGGGACTGGAGGATCTGGAAGTATTTTTGCGAATGGGGGCGTCCTGTGAAGGCGTTGGTGTCGAGGTCCTCGACCTTCTCGGCCTGCTTCGCCGAGGTTGCGCGCTGCTTGAAGTCGGCAAAGGGGGAGCTGGGATCGATGGCGCCGCCGGAAACGACGCCGTTCTCCTCCTTCATGTGTGCGAGGTACGGGTTGTACTTTGGCTCGTCCTCGACCTCCTCCTTCTTGGCCTTCTTCCTAGAGGTTCCATCTCGGTCGGCGCTGAGGCGCTTGCCGCCCTTGGAATCGACGTCGGCCATCTTTTGAACGGGAGATTAGATGGATGTATACGGTGGCCGCGATCGTTGGGGTGAGGTGGGAGGATGGGAGGATGGGAGGTTGCGACTGCGACGACGACGACAACGACTGGGGGACTCGAAGGCGCGGGTTCAGAAGTCTAGCGGACCGGGAGGCTTTCATGGGAAACTTTTTGTTGTCGCGGCAGAAAATTTGGGCGGGTTTGCTGCACGGGCCAATGAGGTGGTGGGATGATAAGATAAGACGAGCTTATGCATGCAGATAACGCGAGATGCATCTATCGCACTGTGCAAGAGACTTGTGAAGCTGTCTTAGAAGATGGAAGCTTATGTCATTTAAAGTCTCTGGATGATGATTTGTGTAAAATTGGTTTTCTGTTGATTTGATGGAAGCATGTCATACTTCGATTATTTTACTCTCAAGCACAGAGAAGCTGTCTTTGACTCCTATTTACACACATGCTCTATAAGTTTGCATAATGTACCTTGAATTGGCCTCATAAAGTAGCAGGCACTGTCCCCCCTCAGCTTTCTTCAGGGTCCAGGTTCATCGAGTCCACTGCCTGCCAGTGCAACCAATGGCACCCAGTCACTGCTCACAAAATCTGGTGCTTTTTTTACCTTTTGGAGGGGCAGCAACAAACAGCCTGACTCTCCAGATTACACAACATCATCAGGTTGGAGTGATCCCACAGCAAAGGGACGACCTTTTGTTTATCGTGTCTGCTGTTTTTCAGGTTTTATCAAGCATGAATTGCTGACCTCTTTTTTCTCTCTTACCTCTTTTTTGCATCCTTCTCGTTGAAGCGCCAGGGTTTTGTTCAGGCAGCTTTTTCACCACATAGCCGTCGTGATTTGTGCGCCTAGCAGTTACACCACCATTCACAAATTGCACGCCTCAGCATAAGGAACCCCTCCATCCCTAGCCATGGACGCCGGCAACTTTAACAACCCGATCAGGCCGGTTTTCAGCCTTGGCCAGCACGATTCGAGCAGAGAGCAGCCTCTGGATGACCTTCAGTACGGCCAGCTCCTCAATGCTGGTGTAAGTCGCTCTGAAAACCCTGGCTCTCACTGGACCCTCACTAAGCCTTCGGTCAGATCAGCTTCGTCACCACACCCATCACCAATGGCCGCTTCCACGCCCGGGTGAAGGAACTCGTCTCTAGCCACCTTGCCAAGGCCAGGCAAGGCGCTGCTTCGTTGGCGGATGCTGTCGTCCCGCCGTTGACGCCCAGTGACACATCGCTGTTTCCCAGCCATGCGGTCACCACTTACATCGCCTACGCCAGTCCCTGGATCGATCTCGCCTCGACCGACCCCGTCATCGCCACCGTGTCGCGCCAGGTGTTGAACCTCGAGGTCGCCTACGCCAACTTTTGCGGTGTTAGGAGCATCATCGTGCCGGGTTTGCGTCGTGATGCCTCCAAGAACGGCGGCAACCAGGGTGTCTCGCAGTATGCCCGGGCTGTCCACGAGGCCATGAACATCGCCAACCGCCTGAACTTCATCATTCATATGCCCATGTACCGCGAGCCGGGTTTGGACGAGACTGCGGAGCTTCTGTCGACCCTGTCCTCGGAACCTTACGGCGTTGACAGCAGCAGCATCGACATCTACAGCGCCTGGGACTCGTGGCACTCTATTCGCAGCATCTGCGAGTACAGCATGCGTCTCTACGTTGGTATGGGACTCCCTCTTGGCCGAAAACTTGGAGAATGAATGAAGCTGACAACTTTATGTAGCCGTTCGAGTCCCCAGAACCCTGCCCGAACAGGAGCTCCAGGACAAGTGGTTCGCCGAGCCTCTGCACTTTCTGTCATTCGGTCCAAATGCTTTTCAAAAGAACAAGGGCGGACATCCCGCTCTGACCAAGGCGCACCAGGAGATGATCTTCACCCTCATGCGCCTCAAGAACGCCCCCTGGCTGCTCCTCAATGACGTCGGCCCTGACCCGGCCTCTCTCGCCGCGGAGGCCCAGCTGCAGGCTGTTTCTCTGGGAAACCAGGTCCCTACTGCGGAAGACTTCCCCAGCCTGGGCGAGGCCCATTCTGGCCAACAAGGCGCAGACTCGATGAAGACGTTCCGATCCTACATCGCGTATCTTAAGTGGCTCGAAATGCAGCAGCAACCGCTCTCATACCTTGAACAGACTACTCTTACCAGCTTCCAGGATTGGCTTCAGTCGCCGTTGCAGCCTCTGTCCGATAACCTGGAATCGGCAACGTACGAGGTCTTCGAGGGTGACCCCGTCAAGTACAATCAGTATGAGGCGGCCTGCACCGAAGCACTGGCTGAGTGGCACCAACTGGGCCGAGCCACCTCTTCGGACACCGGCGCTGTTGTCATCGCCGTTGTTGGATCTGGACGTGGACCTCTCGTGACGAGAGCTCTGAGAGCCAGTGAGGCAACCGGAGTTCCCGTACAAGTCTGGGCTGTGGAGAAGAACCCTAACGCATACGTCTATCTCCTCCGCCAGAACGAGATGATCTGGGGCGGAAAGGTCACTGTCGTCAAAACGGACATGCGCGCGTGGAAGGGCCCCCTCATCTCTGGCACCCCTACCAACAACCCTGTTTACGGCAAGGTCGACATCCTGGTTTCCGAGTTGCTCGGCTCCTTTGCAGACAATGAGCTTTCTCCAGAGTGTTTGGACGGCGTTCAGCACGTCCTGGCCCCTCACGGAATCTCCATCCCCGAGTCGTACACGGCGCATATGAGCCCTATCGCGACGCCGCGCATTCACGCCGACCTGCTTACGAGGTTGCCCACCGAGCCCAACGCCTTTGATACCCCCTGGGTTGTGCGCCTCTTCGCCATCGACTTCGCCGCCCAGCGCGTCCCGGGCCACCCTCGCTTCCAGCAAGCGTGGGAGTTTACCCACCCCGTCCCCGAGGCTACCCTCAAGCAGATCGAGACGCGCCGGGCTGGTGGTGTTATGGGCGGTGGTGGCGGAAGCATGGCCGGTGCTGTCGGCGCCAACGACCACAACTCGCGTTTCTGCCACCTCACGTTCGTCTGCCGCACGAGAGGTGTCATCCACGGTCTCGCCGGATACTTTGAGTCGGTTCTTTACGCACCGCAGATTGGAGACAGAGAAAAGGTCGAGATCAGCACGCACCCCGAGTTGATCGACCGCAAGAGCAAGGATATGATCTCCTGGTTCCCTATTTTCTTCCCTATCAAGGTGAGCAATTCCACGTGCCCGGCATTCGACCGCACATTTACTAACAGTCACAGCAACCCATCTACTACCCAGCCGATACGGAGTTGGAAGTCACGATGTGGCGGCAAACGGATGATTCCAGGGTATGGTACGAATGGCTCATCGAGGCGTACGCCTGGGTCAGCGAGACACAGCGCATCAAGGTGGCGTCATCGGATCTCTGCAGCAGTCGCAAGGTTGCTTGTCTTATGTAGTATCGAGATATAAAAGGCACGGAGGGCGCCGTAGCGGTTGTTTGTTCTCTATAGGCGCCGCGGGGGTTTGTTGTTGCCCCGTTGCGCAGCGCGAGTCGGGGGTATTCGTCCTGACGGGGAAACAAAGATTCATCGTGGTCGCCAGCGTTTGGGCCCCTCAAAAACTTTTCTTTACTTCCAAATGCTCCATCGTGATCCGTGTCAATCGCCCTTTTTGCCAGCTACTCGATCGGGTCCCAGGCGTGTAGGTGCTTTCTGCTCGTTGGTTGGTCATTGGCTCAATCCTCCATCTTGACGTCTCTCTCGCCTTCTTTCGCGCCACGGATCCAGAGGACGTTGTTACACCTGCGCATAGTCAGCCATGCTGTTCCGGTAGTCAAAATGGTATGGTGCATACCGGATCAAGACCTGGCCAAGGGCTCCGGTCATCTTCTGGTCGATGTACTCCTCGGCTCCGCTGAGCTGGATGTTCATGTAGCTGTCGATGCTGACCAACTTGCCCTTGTACTCGGTATCGCCCCACTTGAGTCTGATGACGACGTCCTTGTCGACGCTGCGAAGGAAGTTAGCGAGCTGTTTGCGGTCCGTATCGGTCGCGATGGGGGCGTTTGGGGAGCTGCCTCGAGCAGAAGTCGGTCGGTCGTGAGGTGGACGTACAGGTCTTGCAGCATAGGCCGCGGGTTAATCGGCACAAACTATCACACGTTAGCTGAGATGTCGCAATGGCTGGAATACAAATCATAGGAGGGGGACGTACGCTCATGGTGGGCGGTTCGAAGGGGAGAAACGGCCCATGTAATGTGTGGATGGGGGAAGATGGGTTTGCGCGGCGGTCGAGGCTGCGATCGCGAGGCTCCTTGTGGATAAGGTATATGGATGTCCAGTCAGGTTGCGTTTTCCCTGCCTGACAATTTTTAGGTGGCTGCACGGTGTACCTGAGGCTTGGACTACAGCGGTCGGAAAATCATCGGGTCCACTGTAAGGTACCGCCCGGCGATGCAACCCAAAATCCGGGGTGCTGAGCTTGTTGTCACGGTGTGTCTTCAGGCATCACATCGGACTGGAGTGTTGAACGGCTTATGCTCAGCTTCAATCGGCGGCTCCCATCAAGACCGATGAATGAAACCTCAATAGCTCTCTGGTGCTATCAATAGCAAGCGCAACCTTGAGCTGCGAACCCGCAGGCGAAGCCTTCTTGCTACGTTACTCCGGACGTCACGACCACCACAAAAAAGCTTCAATTTTGAGCACGACTGGTCACGCAACGACGCAAAAAAAAAAAGTCGCCGGCGCGGTTTCGGAAGCATATTCAGCTCGTGGGGCCAGCTATCATCCACGGGCTTTCGTGGATGGTCCGATTGGCGACGGTGTCGTGGTTACACGGGCGTTCGTCCCTGAAAGTCCCGCCCGCGATGAGTCTTGCGCGGTCGCCGTGGCCCGGCGCGAAAACGTCTCGGGAGTTTATTATCAGGGATGGATTCTTCTCAGCTCGTGCCTTGCACGACGCCTCAGGGTTGATTTGTCTCAGAATACCGTGGAGTTGAATGGGTTATTTATGAGACGTGAGGTCCCAGCTAGTGCTGCTTCGTCACAGAGTGCCTACATGCAGAACCACTAACCACAGTCATTCGTGATACTGCCACTCCAACTTCAAATTATCGCTTACTTGAATTTGCACTACAATTATGGGTTTCTTGGACTTCTGTTTCTCATACGAATGGCTCTACTGGACGGCGCCCACCGGCGAACCCCCAGCCGCTCCTAAAGGTCTCACACGGCACTGGGTCGAGACGCCATCGGGAAGAATCGAAGTTCTCTCCAACCAAGGCGCGAATCCTTCGACATCGAAAACACCGATCGTCTTCGTCCACGGTGGCATGGGCAGCGCCTGGGTATGGACCGAGTACATGCGATATCTAGCCAAGAACGACATCCCGAGCTACGCCGTTTCCCTCCGCGGCCACGGCAACAGCTGGCACCCTTCGTACCTGAGGATGGTGTACCTGACCACCAGACAGGACCTGGCTGATGATGCCCTCGCTGTCATTTGGTGGGTTCAGGAAAGACATGGGAGCGAGGTCCTTCTCGTGGGACACTCGAGTGGTGGCGGTCTTTGTCAGGGGATATTATCTGCGCGGCAGGCTCATGCGAAGGGTCTCGCGCTTCTTGGGGCTGTGCCTTGCTCTGGATCGTGGGTAACTGCCTTCGGTTTATCGAGTTCTGCGCTGACACGACAGTAGGTCACGGGTCTACGCGAACTGGGCTGCGTTGGACCCCTGGTTCCTCGCCCGCATGATACTGCAGTTCTGGCATCCAAACTCACCGCTCTCGCACCCTTTCCTGGTGAATCAGGCCTTCTTCGGCGATGAGATGACCGAAGCCGGTGTTCTTGACTTCATGAAACACGCCAACCGCTACGAGTCGTTCCTGTGGCCCTTCAGCATGATGTTGCCCTTCGCTAAGCCTGCTAGCATTGTCAATTCAATAGGCGGCTGGGGAAGCGGCGAGCGAATTCTTGTGATGGCTGGTACTCAGGATAAGTTGATGACACATGGCGTCACGTCGAACCTCGCGAGAACCTTGAGAACTGCATTTGCGGAGCTCGTGGGCAGTAACAAGCTTGATGCACAGGCTGACGAGGTCAAGCCCTTGGCTGGTGAAGGGGATAAGGATGATGATGGTGACTGGGTGAGGCTTGCTTGGGTCCCAGGCGCCGGACACCACTTGCAGAACGATGTGATGTGGGAGATTGGTGCGAATAAGTTGCTTGAATTCTATGAGCAATTGTAGATGAGAGGATGATGGGAAAACACTCTACTTGATGATTGTGTGTTTAGTTAGCTAGGCGTTTGGCGACAGGTCTTAATCAACAATACCCAACTCTTCAATTGATATTATTTCAGAAAAGACTGAAATCCAAATCTACAGCTCAAAAGTAAATGTGATATGAACACATCAGAATCCATGATGGGTGCAGTCAGACAAGCTCGAGTGTGGTGATGTGGACTGCGCGCCTGTTGATACTGTGAAATTTTCGGGGCCAATCGAACCTCGCCGAACTTACGCCAAACAACAACCACACACGGTGACCGCCACAATGGCCACGCAATTATTTGAGACAAACGGCGTCCGCGTCGCCGTCGAAGGCTGCGTAAGTTTTCCAATGCCTCTTTCGACATTCCCTGTTCAATCGCATGTACTAACAAAAACCGCAGGGCCACGGCATGCTCAACGGAATTTACGCCGCCGTCGCCACCTCGTGCGCGGAGCGTGGCTGGGACGGCGTCGACATCCTCATCATCGGCGGCGACTTCCAGGCCGCGCGCAACGCGGCTGACCTCACCGTCATGTCGGTCCCCGCCAAGTACCGCGCGCTCGGCGACTTCTGGGAGTACTACGCGGGGAAGCGCACGGCGCCGTACCTGACCGTGTTCGCGGCGGGCAACCACGAGGCGGCGTCGCACCTGTGGGAGCTCTACTACGGCGGCTGGGCGGCGCCCAACATCTACTACCTCGGCGCCGCCAACGTGCTGCGGCTGGGGCCGCTGCGGATCGCGGCCATGAGCGGCATCTGGAAGGGCTTCGACTACCGCAAGACGCACCACGAGAGGCTGCCGATGGGGCCCGACGAGATCAAGAGCTTCTACCACGTGAGGGAGGTGGACGTGCGGAAGCTGCTGCTGCTGAGGGAGCAGGTCGACGTCGGGGTGAGCCACGACTGGCCGCGGGGGATCGAGAAGTGGGGCGACGAGAAGGCGCTGTGGAAGATGAAGCCCGATTTCGAGGCGGAGTCGAGGGATGGGACGTTGGGCAACGTGGCGGCGGAGTATGTTTGTGATCGGCTGCGGCCGCCGTATTGGTTTTCGGCGCATTTACATTGCAAGTATGCTGCGTTGAAGACTTACGAGGACGGGGCTGCTGAGGTTGTCGCTCCGGCACCTGCTCCTGCGCCTGAGGGCAACCCCAACGAAATCGACCTCGATGGCGATGAGGAAATCACAGATGCCCCCGCCGCTGCTCAAGGAAATCCTAACGAGATCAACCTTGACGATGACGACGATGAGGAGATGACTGCTACAGAGAAACCGGCCAGCACGAAAGAAGACGCCAGCAAGGAGGAAGACACCAGCAAGAAGACCACAGTCTCCGAAGAGCTGCGCGCCCAGCTGCCCGCCTCATTCGCCCGCCCTCAACCCCAGCCGAAGCGAACCCCAGGCCAGCCCGTCCCGCCGACCATCACAAACAAACAAGTCAAGTTCCTCGCCCTCGACAAGTGCCTCCCCCGCCGGCACTTCCTCCAACTCCTCGAAGCGCACCCCCACAACGTCCCGCCCGCGGACCAGCCCGCGCCCGTCCGCCCCTTCCGGCTGCAGTACGACCCCGAATGGCTCGCCATCACCCGCGTCTTCCACCCCACGCTCAAGATCGGCGACCCGACGGCGCAGCCGCCGCCGGACCTGGGCGAGGAGCACTACGCGCCGCTCATCGACGCGGAGCGCGCGTGGGTCGAGGAGAACGTGGTGGCCCAGGGCAAGCTGGACGTGCCACTCAACTTTGAAATCACGGCGCCGCCTCAGGCCCGGGGCGAGCCCGAGTCGGTGCCGCACCAGCCGTTCGAGTACACCAGCCCGCAGACGGCGGCGTTCTGCGAGATGATCGGGGTCGAGAATATCTGGGACGCGAGCGAGGAGGAGAGGTTGGAGAGGAAGGCCCGTGGACCGCCTGCCGCGGAGTTTAGAGGACACCGGGGCGGTGGGAGGGGTCACAGAGGTGGTGGACGCGGTGGAAGAGGCGGACGAGGCGGCGGCGGTCGAGGAAGGGGAGGACGGGGAAGGGGCGGTCACTGATAGAGCACGGGGAGGATCGGGAGGGCCAGCAAGAGCCACGAGAGATAAAAGCTTCACCCTACTTTCGGACAGACGGCATTCGTTCAGTTTTCGGGCCTCGGAAAAGCTTCTATTTGGCGCAGCTACGGGAGTTCTAGTCTCAGAGTATGTATCCCAACAGAAAAAGCGTAGATCTCAATGGAAGAACACGAGTCCAGCAGAGTGAGTGGAATGGATTCAATCTTCCACCTCTAATAGACGTTCAACCCACGGAGGAGTGAGGGAGAGGAACGCATATGCTAAGATGGGGTTCTGTTCGTGTCCGTCACGCTGCGTGGCGAAACACCATGGGTCATCATGATCGAGAAGAGGGAAGAAAAAAAAGGAGAAAAGAATGCCCTGCGGCAACGGATTCGTCGAAAGTGGCGTAGCAATGGTATCTTTCCGGTTTACCAGCCCCCAGATGTTTCAACGCCCGAAACTCCGAAATAGTGTAGCAAGAAAAAACCGTCGTAATTCACGTGTGTTCATCAACATAAAACGTCATCAGATGGAGCCAACGTTCTGTTCTGTCAAGAGAGAAAAAAACGTGCGTTAGATCCAAAAGCGACGAGTCAAAACGCGGGAAGAGGGAGGAGGTTGGGAAGTGTTGTCTTACTGTCCAGGCCCAAGAAGTCGGCGGCGACCAGCAGCTCGAGACAGAGCTCGACGGGAATGTCCATGTCTGGGACGTCTTCTTTCTCCCGGTACCGGTACCAGTACTGGAAATACTCGCAGACCTTTTCCAGGACAACGCCACTTTCGAGAGGGGTCAGCTTCTCTTCCAGAACACGAAAAAAAAGAAACTAGTGGCGCTTTGATGTGTGGCTGGGTGGTAGGAAAAGAAATGTCGGGTTTGTTTCAGATCAAGTGTAGTTGGCAATCAAGCAGACCGGCCGTTGCAGCGGCGGTCTGTCAGTAAGAACACAGCGAAATAAATTTGAGATCATCATGTTGATGTTCCTTGGGTGGTGCTGGTGCAAGAGAGATTGAGAAGTGAGAAGTAGCTTACCTGATCTCTTCAAAGAGACAACGCCCCTTCTGTGCCTCCTGGAACCTGCTGCGAGGGTCCAGCATGCCTTTGATCGCGGGGCTGATCATGGCGGCCTCGCGCAGGACGACGAACTCGAAGCCATCACTCGAGACCAGAGTGATGTACTTGGACTCGGCGTCGCCGTTGGTATCCATGACTGCGAGACAAATTGTCTGCCAGCAGTCGAAAGCAGAGGGAAGAGGGGCCTTTTCTTCTGGGTGCGGTTGCTTCTGCTTTCCCTCGATGCCGGATGACGAGTAGGAAGCCTGGATGGAAGGTTGACGCGTTCGTCGGTTCAAAAAATTCACGTCGCGATTTTGAGGGAGGCGGTGGTGGGGTGAAGCTCGGGCCATTCCAGCTCCGTCCCGGAACATAGAGGTGGAGTGCTTCCAGGCCCGACCGGATAAACTGGAGGCACAGTTCTTCCGGTTGTTTCTGGCCAGCCAGGTGCGTCAGATTACAGGGGCAAACCAAGGTTCAAGGTTGACAGGGGTGGCAGTTGATCCGCCTAAGCGCGAGATCCACCGTTGGGACTGTTTTCAGGCGTTGATGTTGGCCCGTGCCGTCGCACAATCAGGCTCTCGACAGCCTGGCCGCTCGCAAACCCGCCTGCCGTCATCACCCCGGCAAGAAGTGGCTGGTTGCCCCGTCGACTTGTTTACACTTGCCCTCCTTGCTCCCGTCCCTTCTCCTCAAGAACACAGCACAACCCGCCCATCCACATCTCTCGGGCTCGCACACACAAACCCACCCCCATACCTTACAACAATCCCAAGGAGATCAACATCACACACTATTTCTCCAACATTCCTCATATCCAACGCCGCAACGGTCCCTTACCCGCATCGCGTGCCGGAGCCTGAACCATATCTCAACGGCATTTTCGACTGAAAGCAGGAGAGCACGACCACCCGCCGCGAAGGAGGCTGGGGAAGCAGCAACAAACGGAGACACACACACGCACACTAAGGAAACATCTACAACCAGACAACATCGCATAAGTCACAAAATCCCGTCTGTCAAAACCCCCTCCTCAACAACAACCCCTCCCCCTCAGACGAAGCGACCGGCCCCCGGTACACCATCAACAACCACAACTCGCATCACGCACGAGGGGCCGCGCCAGCGAGACAAGAAGCTCGTCATCGCAACCGCAACACCACCTCACCACCACCACCACCACCACACACTGAGCTTGCCGCATTATGGCGTCCTCATACCAACGCTCTTCACACCAGTACTCCTCGTCCCAGACCTTCAGCGAAAAGTACGACGACGGCCTGGCTCGCCCGGCCACCTCCCGCCGCAACACGCGCCTTAGGAGCAGCGACGGCACCGTCAGCACCACGATGAGCTCCTCCACAGGGCGCGAGAGCGCCGCAACCCACGTCACCGAAGGCCCGGCCTATTCTAAGAAGATTGTCGTCGTCGGCGACGGCGGCTGCGGCAAGACTTGCCTGCTCATCAGCTACAGCCAAGGCTACTTTCCAGAGGTAAGATGACCGATAAAAAAATATTCGTCCCAAATTCATCTCGTCGGTCGTTCGTCGCCGCGCTATCCCTGCGCGTTCGCGGCCTCGAACAACCGAAATGAATCAAAACAATGCTGACTCTGGCAACGCAGAAATACGTCCCCACCGTCTTCGAAAACTACATCACCTACCCGACGCACCCGCCGTCTGGCAAGACCGTCGAGCTGGCGCTGTGGGACACGGCCGGACAGGAGGAGTACGACCGGCTGCGACCGCTCTCCTACCCCGAGACGGACCTGATATTCGTCTGTTTTGCGATTGACTGTCCCAACTCTCTAGAAAACGTCATGGACAAGGTGCGCCCCTCCGATAACACGGCCCCTCCTTTTCGGGGACCCCCTTTTATCTTCCCGGTGATGCTAATTCGCTCTCGTCACAGTGGTACCCCGAAGTCCTCCACTTCTGCCCCTATACCCCTCTGGTCCTCGTGGGCCTCAAGTCCGACCTTCGCTTTAAGAAGACGTGCATCGACATGCTCAAGACACAAGGCCTCACTCCCGTGACCCAGGAGCAGGGCCGCGCCGTCGCGCGAAAGATGGGCGCTCAGTACATGGAGTGCAGCAGCAAGGAAATGACGGGTGTCGACGAGATCTTTGAGCAGGCCATCCTGACGGTTGTCGCTAATGACCGGAAAAACCTCGAGGCCCAGGCCGCCGTCTCGTCGTCACATGGCGGCGCTCCGGGAAGCAGCGCCGGCATCCCCGGCGTGGGCCCTCTTAAGAAGAAGAAGAAGAGGAATTGCAAGATCCTCTGAGTCTCGGACGACTGTAACGGAAAGGCATTGGACGGCGGAGGGCGTAATGAATGACTTTGTTTTATCTGCATGATCTCGTCACGACCTGCTACTATTACGATCTGGAAAGCATGCGCCACCATTAGCGAAGGGGCGTCTCCTGTCCTGGGGCTGGATGAACTCTAGACTGGGGGACGACTTTTCCCTTCACCAGGGACGTGGGATGTGGTTTTCTTTTTTTTGAGTGTGGGAGAAGAACGGTATATAGGGGGAAATCCAGAGGGGTAGGTGACATCAGGGTCGCGAAAGACTCATCCATACCCTTTACACACACGACACAAACGGAGCGGGTACGGGAGAGACTTTGAACAGTTTCTGTATCCAACAGTACTTTTAACCAAGTGGGAACGAACTTTTCTATCTCCTATCTCTTTTTCTTCCTGTAGCATTCGGGTTTTCTGTCTTGATAGGGCATTCCAGGGATAGGAAACATGAAATGTCAAAAAGCATCAAAATTCAAAAAGCGGTTCCATGGTTGTGATTGTATCTATTGCTGCCTAATGTGATATCTCCGTTGGTTTCTGGAGCCTTAGAACTGAATATGGATTGACCGGCGATAGAGGTTGTGAGATTTGCGAGGATTCGGAGAAAGGGTCCTGGGATACTACATGAACCATGGGATTTCTCGAAAGACGGTCTTGAATCCTGGCCATGTTTTTTACAGCAAACAAACTCAATCGATCTTCAATCAATCTGACGCAAGAAATCTACGGCCGATCTTTACGAATCATGGCATCCGTCGCCCAGGTTAACCTCGCCCATCCCCCGCGATCCCGTCGCAGCCACCCAGACCTTGGTGTGCTCTGCCCCACCACCATGACCACCACCACTACCACCACCAGAACGGACCCGAACCAAAACCTAAACCTGGACGCGTTCGAGTCGCAGATGCAGGGCGTGGTACACACCCTCTCCGATCTGATCCGCGAACACAAGACAACCGTCCCGAACGTCAAAGAAAGCCGCGACGCGCTGGCGCAGGCCGAGGGACACCTCGCCGGCGCCGCGGAGCACGCGCGGAACAACAGGCCCACGTGGACGTCGTGCCTGTTCAGCAAGCAGGGCAAGATCCGCGAGCGGGAGCTGAAGCTCCGGCGGTTCGTGGCGTCCGTCAGGGCCTCGTTCGAGAGTCTCGGGGGACGCTGCGGCCGGGCCGAGGAGAGGTTGGCCGGCGTCCGGGAGAGGGCGGTCGCGCTGAGCGCGCAGGTGGCGCGGGGCCCGTGGGCGGCCGTCTGCGAGATCAAGGCGAGGCGGCTCGAGACGGAGAGGGGCGCTTCGGAGAACGAGCCGAGCAAGGCCGCGGTTCTGAGGGCGCATATCGCGGTGAAGTTGTCCTTGACGAAGCTTGCGGAGCTCGTCAAGGAAGTGGAGGATGACGAGGCGAGTTTGGGGGTGGTTCGTGAGAAGTGCGCTTTTGTGGTGCGCAGGTTGGGCTTCGTCCTTGAGGAGGAGGACCTCGCGGGGTTGATTTGGGGGTTGAAGTATGCCGTCGAGGATGTCCAGGCGCGGGAGGGCAAGTCGGAGAAGCAGTTGCAGGAGAAGACTGTCATCTCTGAGAAGGGGCGGTCGAGGAGTACGTCGGAGGCGGATACACTGTCAAGGGGATCGTTCATGATGCTTCGGGGTTGAGGACTTCCTGGGTCGGATCGATGCTCGATCAAGGATTCGAAAGGGTAAAGAAATAGTTCAATTAACGCCGAGACTCATTATCATTTCCGTGTGTGCGTATGGGGGGTATCATATCATGACTTCTCCTCGTTCTTCGCCTGTCCCTCGTGGTCGTGTGCCTCGCCCTCCTTGGTCTGCTGTTCCTGTTCCTTGGCCATGACGTTTTCGAACTGCGACCAGAGGGCCTCGACGGAGGAGAACTCGTTTCCGACCTGCGCGTTGATGGTGTATTAGCTCTGCAAAAAGACCTTCCGTATTCCAACAACCATTCGGAAGGATAGCGTACCGTGATGACGGCCTCGAGGGAGCGGTTCAGCTTGTTGATGTTGGCGAGGACGTGCTCGAAGCTCTGTTTTTCTTTGGTGTCAGCGGTCTCTGTGTGTTGACATTTGGGAAGCGGTGGTGAGTGTTATGTACCATTGCGATCTCCCCGATGAGCTCCTCCCGCTGCTGCTCGAAGTAGGTTTTCTCCTTCGTCCCGGTCTGGGAGTGGGAGAAGGACCGTTGGTGTGACGACATCGTTCTGGCTTTGTGGTGTAGATGTTTTGTCGTCGGTCGCGTCGGTGAGGATGTCGCGTCTGCAGGATCATGGCGGGGTAGGCACCTAAAGGACGTGGGGTTGGGACAGTGTGAAGTCGTAGGCGCAGCGTCCAATATGTACTGTGCAAGACTGTGGTCGATTCCTCCATCTTACAAGCATCCGAGATTTTTCATAGAACGCAGTCTTCCTCAGAATTCTTTACGGATAAATGAGCGCATTAATATTCTTTTTGTGAAAAATTCTAGCTAGAAAAAAACAACTTTATAAAGTTGAGAACCTGTGTATGCATCATATTGATTTGTCATTCTGCCTGTGATGATGATCACTCATTCGGCTCAGTACATAGATAGGTCTTTAGTCTTGAATGGTCTTTATGTATCTCTTCTTTTCCGGGAATACTCCTCTCCCGAGCATTACTTCGCTGCAATATAAGCGATTTGGACCTACCATATCTGACACGATAAGTCGTCCAACTCAATAGCCATGAACTTCAAGAGTATTACACCGCCGCGGTCTAGGTGTCTGTCTATACTAGCTAGTAAAACAAATGTCACCGTTCTTATCTTCTTCTTATACCTATTTATTCATCTCCACTATCGCACTGCCCCTCTGCATGCCAAATGTGTGCAAAGTTCACCGCATTTATCACCAGCCATTGCTGCAACTCGCAAAACACTCTTCCAGCTCAGAGGAGGGCAAAAAGATGCGCCGAGGGGGAATCGAACCCCCGGCTCCCCGACGCTGCTTGATGGCAACGGAGAATTTTACCACTAAACCATCGGCGCTTGATGGTGATCTAGGCGATGATGTCTCGCCAGGATCGTTGGAGCGGTGAGGGCGGAGGTGAGGTTGTATCGCGCATCGTGGAGGCGTTGTGGATCATGGTGGAGGCGCACTTAGATGGGGGAGTCTGTAAGTCACAAGAAACCCTCTGAGTATTACTTAGATGAGGGAAAACTCCTAAAAAATGGTTAGAAAGAGACTATTGCTCTAGGAATAGTGGTTAAGTTGGCGTTTTATATTGCGTCTTTAGTTCTGGTTGGCGTGAGCTTGAGACGTTTTGCAGTTAACAACTGACTTGTGTCTTGGGTTATTCAATGACAGATTGAGCTTGAATTTAAAACAGCAAGTATCTTGTTCATGAAACCAAAAACACCACCACCGATATTAACTCCTGTACAATAACCCAAACTACTGACCATTCCCTGGCTATGCGGACTCTCCCATGCTCTGGATCATATCAACCGTCCCGTTCGCAACACCCACAAACCCATTCGTCTGCTTCTTCTCCCCCTCGACCCTGTCTTCAGGCTTGCCCCAACCGCCACCACCAGGCGACATAACCACAATCCTGTCGCCGGCGTCCATCATGGCCGTGTTCTTACCGCCGAGGTTCACAACTCTCCCGCTCTTCTTGATCCACACGTTCCGTCCCCGCTGACCGTCCTTGCCGCCATTCAAGCCATACGGCGCAAACGATCTCCTCTCGCTGAGAATGCTGACCTTGATCGGAATACCGAACTCGATGTCCCTGATGATTCCGTCGCCGCCGGGATGCGCACCCTCGCCACCACTACCCTTCCGCAGACAGAACTGACGGAGAATCACGGGATACCGCCTCTCCAACGACTCCGGATCCGTGATCCGCGTGTTCGTCATGTTGGTATGCACACCGCTCACGCCATCCCACGTCGGCCCGCCGCCCGCGCCGCCGCAGATGGTCTCGTAGTACCCGAACCCGGTCTCCGGATCATCCGTGCCGAACGTCAGGTTGTTCATGCACCCCTGGCTGGCGGCCGCGGCGCCGAAGGCCTTGAAGATGACGTCCACCACGCGCTGCGAGGTCAGCACGTTGCCGGCGCACACGGCGGCGTGCTCGGTCGGGCGCAGGAGCGAGGCCTCGGGGACGCGCACGTCGATGGGCCGGATGGCGCCCTGGTTGAGGGGGATCTCGGCGTCGACCATGCAGCGGAGGGCGAAGATGATGGACGAGTTGCAGATGGCGATGGGCGCGTTCCAGTTGCCGTAGGCCTCGGGCCCGGTGCCGTCGAAGTCGAAGACGGCGCCGCCCGTGGACGGGTCGATTGTGACGCGCAGCTGGATCGGGGTGCCGTCGTCCATGTAGTCGATCGCCTCGAGGGGCTGGCCGTCGGTGCGGGCGTGGATCGTCTTGAGCATGTCGCGGACGGCGCGTTCTGCTGCGCCCTGGATCTCTCCCACTGGTCTGGGGTTAGTGATCTTGTCTCTGGCAGTAGAGGTGATGGAGGGCTTACTGTAGAACTGGACGACGTCGATGCCGTAGTCCTCGATTAGGGAGTGGATGAGCTGGCTTCCGCGGTGGTTTGCGGCGGCCTGGGCCTTGATGTCGGAGATGTTGTCGCGGAGGCATCTTGTTCCTGAGCATCCTGGAGAGTGCGCTGGCGCCATGAGGAGATCGGTGAGCTCCTTCTCCTTGAAGACGCCGCCTTCCACGACCTTGAATGCCTTGATGACGGCGCCCTCCTCCCAAAGCTCCTTGGAGTTGGGGGGCATGGAGCCGGGGAGAATGCCGCCGACCTTAGTGTATCGTCAGTCATGCCCGGGGAATTGGGACCGAAGGAAACCTACATCAGCGTGGTGACCTCTAGAGGCAGTCCAGAAGATGATCTTCTTGCCTTCGGCATCAAAGATGGGTGTGATGACTGTCAGGTCCGGAAGATGCGTACCGCCGCATACTGCATTCGTGTTAGCTGATGCTTCGAAACTGCTGATGAAAGAAGTGCGATTTACCTGGCGCGTTTGACAGAATGACATCTCCGGGCTTGAGGTCGTTACCCCAGTGGTCGATCTGCCACTTCACTGCGAAAGCCATACTTCCAATCTATTTTCCGTCAGCCAGATTTCACCGAGAATCGAGGAAAGGGGCATACCATAGCAGGCACGTGAGGCGCATTCGCAACCAGACCGCCATCGGGAGAAAAAACCGTACACGAAAAGTCCAGTCTTTCCTTGATATTCGTGCTGACGCTCGTCTTCTGCAGCGCCCGTCCCATCTGCTCCGCAACACCCATGAACCGGTGGCCAAAGATGGACAACTGGATCGGGTCGACCGTCGTCGCGGACATGGTCTCCTTCGTCCCGACCGTGACGTCAATGACAACGGTATCGGACAGCAGCGTCGCCGCCGCGTCGGGGATCACGACGATGGTCTGCTTGTCGTCCATGATCAGCGCCGGGCCCGCGACGCGCGAGTGAGGCGCCAGCGAGCCGAGGCCGTACACGGGGGTATCCGCCCAGCCGAGGCCCTTGAAGTAGACCTTCTTCGTCGTCTTGGCCGCCGGCGCCGGGACGGCCTCGGCCGCGGCGAGCTCCTTGGGCCAGGGCGTCGGGAGCTTGACCGTGGTGCGCCCGACGGCGCGGACGCGGTAGTCGTCGATGATGACGTCCCGCCCGACGGGGAGGAAGCCGAACTGCTTCTGGTGCGCGGACCTGAAGGCCTCGAGGTACCCGCCCCCGGCGGCGGAGGCGGTCTCCTGGATCATGAGCGGGGTGTCGCTGCCGTGGAAGCGCATGTTGAGGTAGCGCTCGGCGTCGATGCGCCCCTCGGGGATGCGCTGCATGAGGAGCATGTCGGAGGCCTTGCGGACGAGCTTGTCGAGCTCGGCGGCGAAGGCGGGGAGGTTGGCTTCGGAGTAGATGAGGGCGCAGGGGCTGCGCTCCTCGTGGACGACGTCGGCGAGGGCCATGCCGTAGGCGGAGAGGACGGAGGAGTACTTGTGGACGAGGACGCGGGAGATGCCGAGCGTCTTTGCGATGTCGCAGGCGTGTTGGCCGCCGGCGCCGCCGAAGGAGGCGAGGTTGTGGAGGCCGGCGTCGTAGCCCTTTGCTTCCGTGAGGGTGCGGATGGGACGGCACATGGACTCGTTGGCGACGTCGAGGAAGCTGGGTTGGTTCGGTCAGATCATCTCAGGTGCCTCGCGGGAGTGGATGTTACTTACCCTGCTGCGACTTCCTCCACGCTCAAGTTGGTGTTCTCGTCCTTGTTGATGCTGGCGGTGAGATCCTCGAAAAGACGCCTGCTGGCATCGACATCCAAGGGCAGATCTTCGTTGGGGCCAAAGATCTTGGGGAAGAACTCCGGGCGAAGACGGCCGAGGACAAGGTTCGCATCCGTGACTGTCAGAGGACCTCCCTTCCTGTAGCACGCAGGGCCGGGATGAGCGGAAGCACTCTCCGGGCCAACTTTGAACATGCCGCTTTGCCAGCTCAGAATGCTACCACCGCCCGCTGCGACGGTGTTGATGTCCAGCTGGGGTGTTTGTACCATGACGCCAGCCGTTGTCGTTTCGAAAACCTGTTCAAGCTCACCGGCATATCTATGGGTACGTGGTCAGAATCGTGCAAAGTTGACCACTTCAAATGGCAACTTACCTGGAGACGTCGGTACTCGTACCGCCCATATCAAATCCGATGACAGGCGTTTTATCGCCATCATCATAACACGTCCTCGCGTAGCCGACGACACCACCGGCAGGACCAGACAAAATCGCCCTCAGACCCGACAGACCCGAGAACTCGACCAACCCGCCGTCGCTCTGCATAAACTCGCACCGACACCCGCTCGTGCCGAGGTCCTCGAAGCCGGCCTCGAAGCCGGCGATGTACCGCTTGATCTCGGGGGTGAGATACGCGTCCGCGGTCGACGAGTTGCCGCGGGGGACGATCTTGACGACGGGGGACAGCTCGGCGCTGGGGGAGATGTGGGTGAAGCCGATGTCGGCGGCGAGCTGGGCTATGGCGGCCTCGTGGTCGCGGAAGGTGTAGCTGTGCATGAGGCAGACGGCGATGGATCGGTAGCCTTCGTCGTAGGCTTCTTGGAGGGCCTTTCTCGACGTCTCGATGTCTGCGTGAAACTATCAAAAAGAGTTTCCAGGGTATATGAGATGTGAGGAAATACCTAGGGGCTCGAGGACGCGGACGGCTTCGCCTGTGACGCCGGTAACTAGTGCTGGGTCTGAGGCGACGTTGATGGTCTCAGGTTTGTTGCTTTCTGACCAAGCTTCAAGCGTCACCCTCTCTGGGATTTCAATGACTTTTGAGTAAAGGACGTCTGGTTTGCGGATGGCGAGGTCGAAAAGCTTCGGTCTGGATTGGTTGCCAATATGAAGCAAGTCCTGTACATCAAAGTTAGAATTTTGCTGCAAGCAGTCTTGAAGACAATTTCTCACCTTGAGACCCTTGGTCACGGCAAATACTGTCCTCTCTCCTTTCCTCTCGAGCAGTGCGTTTGTAGCAACCGTCGTACCCATCTTGATGGACTCTGCGTGGAACACGTTAGTCGTCTATTGCGTACCGCTGAGCGGGATTGCCAACTCACCGACGCCTCTCAGCGAGATCTTCTTTCCCTTTGGGTATTCCTTCCCTGTCGCCTTCTCCAGCACTCTTCTAATCGCCTCGACCGGAGCATCGGGATAGTTGCTGGGGTCGACGGACAGCAACTTGACGAGGATGTCATTTTGACCCGGAACGGATGCGACACACTAAACGGTCAGTCAGCTTCGTTGTCGAAATTGCGCTACAGGTTTGCGTGAACTTACGTCGGTAAAAGTGCCACCGCGGTCGATGGATATCCTAATACCCTCAACCGGACCCGGAAGCGAACCCATCTTGATCTGATAGTGTGTGAATCTGCGCCGTTGTGTGAATGCGTAGATGAGAAGAAATCGTGCCTCGAGGTGCGTCTGAGGTGAAGCGGGTTCAAATCAGATGAAAATCAACGTTATCGTGATGAAAATGAGCCAGCGCAGAGGACATCGCGGTGATTATACCATCTGGATCGAGCGACGGGCGCTGTATCAATTGCCGAAACAGGCAACCTTCCGAAGTTCGCTCGCAGACCAACCTCGGAGCTCCATCGGTAGGCACTTCGGAGACCATGGACTTCTCCCCGGCGATGCGTGCTCCGCCAGGCCATCTCGATAGAGGGGAGGGGGTGGAGGCGGAGTGAGTGAGTGAGCTCCTCCCGCTTCATCTGAACACCGATAAGAGTTCAGAAAGGATGGGAAAGATTGTCCGTTCAAGTGACCCCGCGGGAGGCGGGGTTGCTGGCTTATCATGTTCGGGAGGGGTGTCCGAAGGCGGGTTGGTGGAGCTCCGCTCGTGGACGGGTGTTGGGTTATGTCGGCATCAACCTTGCCCGGTATTCGTCATTTTAGATGGTTTTCAATTGTTCACGAGCGAAGTCGGATAATTTTGAGATGGCAAAGAATTGGAATACAGCGCGATGGAATTTACGATTCAGCATTGAAAAACTACGAAGTCTTATTTGACACTGCGAACCGTATCGTCGAGGGCCTTTGCGAAATACTCCACGTTCTTCTCATTAAGTCCTGCGATCGAAATCCGTGATGTGTCGGCCATGTAAACGTGATATTTCTCTGCGAACAAGACGTCAATATTAGGTCATGACACCGCGAGATCGGGGGGTTTCTTACCTTCAAGATGCTGTACTTGACCTTTGCTGATGCCCGTGTAACCGAACATGCCGCTCTGCTTGACAATGTGCGACCAATCACCCGGCGTCTGCAGCCGGACCAGCTCGTCGTAGACCTTTTGCCTCATGGCCCGGATGCGACCGGACATGGTGAGCAGGTCCTTGGCCCACTGCTCTCTGATCTCAGGGGTGCCCAAGACCGCAGCGGCGATGCGCGCGCCGTAGGCGGGCGGGTTCGACACCGTCGCCCTCTGAACGTTCTCCAAGATCGAGTTGACAGTACGGGCGTGATCCGCGGAGCTGGCGACGAAGGTCGTCGCGCCCACGCGCTCGCCGTACAGGCCCATGTTCTTCGCGAACGAAAGGCAGACGGCGGCCTCGAGGCCGAGCTCGTCGACAAAGTAGCGGATCGCCCAGGCGTCGTCGTCGACGGAGCCGGAGTTGAAGCCGAGGTACGCCGAGTCGAAGACCGGGAAGACGCCCTTCTCGATGATGACCGACGCGATCTGCTTCCATTGCTCCTGCGACGGGTCGCAGCCGGTCGGGTTGTGGGCGCAGGCGTGCAGGATGACGGCGGAGCCGGGCTCGGCGGCCTTGAGGGTCGCGATGTAGCCGTCGAAGTCGAACGAGCGGTCTTTGTAGTAGGGGAGTTGCTTCACGGTGAAACCGAGGGAGGCGAAGAGGAGATCGTGGTTGGACCAGGTCGGGTTTGTGATGTAGATCGTCTTGATTCCCGTGTCGGCCTTTTTCAGCGCGAGGCCAGCGAGCAGGAGGGCGCCGGTTCCTGAGAGAGATTGGCACGAGGCGATCTATGACGCTTGGTCAGTGGTTGCGGGTAGTTCTTGTAAGTTGGGCGACTTACACGGTTCTCCGCAAAAGCCTTAGTAGAGCCGAAGACCAACTTGACGGCTTCATCGCGGAAGGGCTTCAGTCCTGCGATGGGGAGGTACTCGTGGCCGACTTCGCCGAGGGATCCCTCCGCCAGTCTTACCGAGGGCAGAATCCAGGGCTGGCCGTTCTCGTCGCGATATGTGCCCTGACCCAGGTTGACTTTGCTGGGGTTCGTGTCGGCGAGGTAGCGTCTGGTCACGTCGAAGATGGCGTCCGGAGGGATGAACTGCGATTTCTCGAACGCCGAGGTCTGTTTGATTGAGCCCATGTTGATTGTCCTGTGAATTGGTATGATACGATGGTTTGCGCTCTAGCTGAGTGACGACGGAGTCGAGTTGCGCAGGATGCGACCGAGGATGTAGTAGACTTGCCATTTCGGGACGCCAGCCGGTTCGGAGTCGTAAGCCGGTCTGAAGGCCGGCACCGGCGACGCTCCATTTCGGATGAGGGGCCCGCGGGGTCGTTGTCCACTTTGATGGAGTGAGCCACGATGGTATTATCAAATGCTCCGAGGGATGTGGCACGTTGAGTCCGAATTGACAATCGATAAACCAATCCAGGTGGGAAATAAGAGTAGAAAGCATGTCTTTCCTATGTTGTGTGACAGAGCTCAGTAGTTTGACCCTCTCGCACAAATTTACGTTTACCACATCACAATGGCTCCTCGCTGTCCTCCTCGCGGCATTTACGCCCCCGTCGTAGCCTTCTTCCACGAAGACGAGACCCTCGACCTCGAGGCCCTCAAGACGCACGTCGAGCGCCTGTCAAAGTCAGGCGCGGCCGGACTCGTCATCCAGGGCTCCAACGGCGAGGCGCCGCACCTGCTCCACTCGGAGAGGCAACAGGTAATCGGCACGGCGGCCGCGGTGCTGAAGCAGCACGGCCGGGCGGACGCCGTCATCATCGCCGGCTGCGGAGCGCAGAGCACGCGGGAGACGATCCAATTGTGCAGCGAGGCCAAGGAGTCCGGTGCGGATTATGCGCTTGTGCTGTCGCCGAGCTACTGGAGTAAGTCGCGATCGGAAGCTGAGCCGTCATGCATGATTCCTGCAGGGAGTCACAGTGTGCCGCATATGCCTTAGATACTGACTCGGGGGTGTGTTTTTCAATAGCCGGGGCAATGCAGAAGCCCGTCATCCAAAAGTTCTTCGACGACGTCGCGACGGCTTCGCCCATCCCGATTCTGCTCTACAACTTCCCCGCCGTCACGTCCGGCATCGACCTCGACTCAGACCTCATCGCCGCGCTGGCGGCGTCGAATGACAAGATCGTCGGCTGCAAGCTGACGTGCGGAAACCTGGGCAAGTTGCACCGCGTCGCGCACGACGAGAAGATTCCCAAGCCGTTTGCCGCGTTCGCCGGAAAGTCTGATTTCTTCCTGCACGGCTTGGTGGCCGGGTCGAACGGAGTGATTGCGGCGGCGGCCAACTTCACGCCCAAGGTGCATGTCAAGCTGCTGGAGCTGTACGACGAGGGCAAGCTGAAGGAAGCGCAAGAGCTGCAGACCAAGTTGAGCCAGGCGGATTGGGTGCTGGTTCAATTGGGCGTTGCCGGACTCAAAGCGGCATTGGATAGGTATTTCGGATATGGCGGAGGCAGAAGCAGGCGGCCGCTTGGTATGGTTGCGAGCGCCAAGTTTGAGGGAGAAAAGGACGCTGTGCTGAAGGGTTTGGTGGAATTGGAAAGCTCCCTGTAAACATGCAGAGTGTAGAGTACGGATAGAAAATCAAATTGTTCACACTCCTGGTCACAGTTGGCAGCAGATGGGAGCACTTCCGCTCGCCCCGCTCCGAGCCATCCGACCCGGCCCCACCCTTTCCCGGAGCATCGCCGGAGGAGCTGTGGCCCACCGTATGAGATGGTGCTTGGGTTTATTCTTCAAGTATTCAAAGGATGCGATTGATCCGCTTCATTTCTTTTCCCCCAAGTCAAGCGGTTTCTTGTCATACACAAGTAACTCTGTGAACTTGCCGGCGGTGATTGAAGTCTTGATCAACCAGTGTCGTCGTTGTGTCGATATGATCCATCTTTTATTCGTCGTCATCATGATTTCCGAATCGGACCATGTGGTGAACGTTTTCCGTTAGGAAACTCCAAACACGTCCTCGGTCAACTCAAACATTGACAATAAGTTAGTCTTAGTAACAGGGCGTTTTCCCCTCCTTCGGCTAACATGTAGACTTCCTTGAGTTCTAATTCACTTCAGCCCCAGAGGACAAATGTCTCATCGCAGATCTCATCTTAATCCGTTCTCTACACCACCAGAGAGCGACGCCCGGGTAAGTAAGGTAGTGTGTGCTAAAGTGCTTTAAGCTTACTGTTGCAACCAAGACCGTCCTTATCCGCTCCTTGTCAAAGTGGCATGTGAGCCGTTTGGTGTAAGCCCATTGGGTGAGATCGACCAGGGGTGGCCGACGATGCCAACCGAGGCCTGAAGCCATGGAACTTGGTGCGCCGTTTCCAGCTCTTCTGCTGTAGTCGGCTTGATTTGGTTTGGTGTTTTATCCAGATCCGAGTCGTAGTCCTGCCCTGCCATTCACGTCTCCTCCACCGAATAACCTCCATCATCGGAGTCAGTCTCATGAGTTCACCATGACTTTGAGCAATCGACTTCGGCATGGCGTCCTCCCCGCCTGATCGACGCTGGTGCATGTGCAACGGCCAAGACACGGCCTGTTGCGGCAGCTTGAACCGATTGCGGCGCTCACCACATTCACCTCTGAAGCCTTTTGGCTGCATGGCTGAGATGCTTATTGGTTGAAGCTAGCCATAAGAGCTGATAACGAAGCTGCGAGCTTTATCGCGCCATGCCCTCACCCCGCATCTGCATCTGCATCTGCTGTCTCTCACCTCCCACCCTTCCTCCTCAACATAGTACCTAGTTCAGCATCACCCTCCTCTTCCGCCTTATCAGCACAGGCACACAGTTCTGATTGCTACCCCGGTCCGTCCATCATCTGCCACGTTCTTTACCCTACCAGATGCAAACACTTTAAACCGCCAATGCAGCCCCAACGCCATATGGGTTAGTGCCCTCCATGATCATCGCCAAAAAGTGTCCAGACTCCGTCAGAACCTCATGTTCTCTCCGTGATGGCGTCGATGAACTCTGCCGTTTACTATGACCCGGGCGATAGCTTGATTTGGAAGCACATCGTTGTACCATTGACTTCTCCCAGGGCAAATGTCTCAACGACACTATTGAAGCAAGGTGACAACGACCGCCAGGTCTCTTCTGACAATGTGTAAGCCCAGCTCACCAAGCTAGCCACCCGCCGCAGACCTACATGCGACTCTCACTGCATGCTGCTTTGTTCATCGGCGGTCTGTTGAAGCTGTCCTCGGTACCCATCCTTAATACAGAGCAGAGCCCTCCACCTCCGTTCTCGCAGGCTGTCTCTTCTTGTTCCCAGCACACCTTTCTGCGCGTTCGGCTGCCCGTCCAAGCCCTTCTTATTGTTCCCTCGCGAGATCTTGCGATCCTCTCAGTCGCGACTTCACGATGCTGGCACCCTGCGTTGCCGTGCTAGTCTCGGCCTTCATGGCCGGGACAACAGCAGCCCAGTCCTCCGGGCCTACGGTATGGGCCTCGGTCGCGATGATCATGCACGGCGAGCGCACACCCTTGCGAAGCGACCTCACCGACGTCTTGACTCCTCGCGGAGCGCAACAGCTGTATGCTCAAGGGAGCGCCTTCAGGACGCGCTATCTGTCCGGCAACACCCCGACCAACCAGTCCGAAAGCCGAGTCTCCTCTCGCGCGCCCATCCGGGGCCTCACCGCAAACGTCTTGGAGCACGAGCAGCTTCATCTCCTCTCGGTCCCCGATCCGCACATCGCGGCCGGTGCCACGGCCTTCATGCAAGCGCTGTACCCGCCGATTCCTCGGGCGTTCGCGGCAGACACTGGCGGATCGAACATCTCGTACTCGACCATCTCTGAGAACTTCACGCAGTATCCATTGGATGGCTACCAGTACCCAGTCATTCAAACCCCGGGGATCATGGACCAAAGGTCCATTGAGTAAGTGTAACCCGGAGTATCGCCTTCCCGCATACTGACATTAGCAGGCTTCGCGGCAACACCGAATGCACGCAATGGCAGGTTTCGACCCAGGTAGACATGCTGAGTGACCCAGACATGGCCAAGATCTACAACTCGACACGTGCGAAGTACCAATCGCTCTTCAGCACACCACCGCTCAACGACGGCGTCATATCCTCGTCCAAAGCGAACTTCTGGGACGCATACAACATATGGGACTACATACGCTACCGCTACAGGCACGAGCAGGCTGTTCACGACGCTGTGGTGGACTACAACAAAGACAGCCAGTTCCTCCATCTCTACACCAGACAACAGCAGGTGGCCTTATACTCGGACCAAAAGCCTTCCGGACTGAAGACTGGCGACATGATCCGGACGGTCGCCGGCAGGACATTTGCGCGCAAAGTCGTTAGCGCGCTCGAATCGAACAGCAACTACGTCGGCTCCTCCCACAAGTTGACCCTCATGTTCAGCTCCCAGGAGCCGTTCATGTCATTCTTCTCCCTCGCCAAGCTCCAACGCAGCGACGTGCCCGTCTCCAGCTCCTTCTGGAACGTCCCCGAGCCCGGCGCCGCCATGATCTTCGAGCTGATCGGCGACGAGCCCGGACGACCCGACCTGTACCCGAAGAAGAACAACCTCTACGTGCGCTTCCTCTACCGCAAGAACGCGGACCCCAGCACCCCCTTCGAAGAGTTCTCCCTCTTCGGCGCGCCCTCCGCCGAGCCCCGCATGACCTTCAGCTACTTCAAGCAGGAGATGCTCGAGTTCGGCATCGACCTCGCGACGTGGTGCGCCACATGCGCCTCCTCGCAGACCTTCTGCAACCCGCAGAGGAACGCGGACGGCCAGCAGCGCACGGTGGGCGAGTCGATCCGCTCGGCCGTGAAGAGGCCGATCGTCGCGGGCGTCATCGGCGCAGCCATCGTCCTCGCCGCTCTCGGACTGATCGTCGCGGCGGCCGTTCTGGGCGGGTTCCGGATCCGGCGCGTGGGGAAGGACGACAACAAAGACGGCGGCGGTAGTAGTCCGGTTGCCGCTGCTGGGCTGGGCGGGTTTAAGGCGGCTGAGAAGATGGCTAGCGACCCTGACCTGACCGTTTCTAGACGAGGCGTGCACCATGAGAGACAGGGGAGCTGGGAGCTGAGGGAGGGACGCGACGTCGGGGCCGGTCAGGTGGGACTGGTCGTCGACAAGGGCTCTGTAAGTCCGAGGATGAAGACTGTGGACGACGATGACACGAGTGATATTGGAGCATCTCCGGTGGTGCCAAGGGAGAGCGTTTGAGACACACCGGAATGATTCGACTTGGACCTTCTGGCTTTCATTTATGATACCCTTTGATACTTTTTAGTATCTTCACTCGCTCGAACTTGTCGGAAACATTTCGGATACACAATAGATGACTCGAACGGTCTTGGGAAGGAAGCAGTTTTCCACGCGATCATCGTTCCTCGGCTGGAAGTATTTTGAAGAAAAGCATATCCAAGTGGTCTAGTGTCTGACTTTCGTTACTTTTCCACAACAATTCAACGAATTGGGAACAATTTAATTTACCTCAATTTAGTCAATTAAGAAGAATTCTCCAAAGGAAACTCTCTTGATACTATCGCCTCGCCGTCTCAATCCCGAGCGACCTTCAACCGGCACAACACGGCCTCATTCCTATCAACCGGGCTCCCGGGACTGCAAACCACGGTGAAGTTATGCCAGTCCCTCGTCCAGTCCACATCCAACCCCTCAACTGCCTCGTACCGCTGGAGCATTCTCACGAGAACATACCCGGCCTCGGTCAACGCGAGCTGCTGTCCAATACAGATTCTCGGCCCGCCATTGAACGGCGCAAAATGCCACGCCGCGCTCGCCGCACCCCTCTTCTTCTCCCACCTCTCCGGCACGAACTCGTCCGCGTCCTCCCCCCAGAGGTCCTTCCGACGATGCAGCACGTGCGTGCTGAAGTTCACCTCCGTCCCAGCCGGCACGAAAATCGGCGACGCGCCGTCCGCCCCGCCGCCCGACGGCAACGTCGTGTCCCGCAGCGCGCGGCGCGAGTTGAAGGGCACCACCGAGTGCAGCCGGAGCGTCTCGGAGAGCACGTGCTGCAGATACGCGCACTGCTTCAGGCTCGCGAACGTCACCGCCTCCGCCCCTCCGGCGGAGGAGGAGTACGTGCCGAAGGCGGAGAGGACCTCGGCGCGCAGCTTGGCGAAGACGCGCGGGGAGCGCACGAGGCAGTACCACGTCCAGCTCATCAGGCTCGCCGTGGTGTCGCGCCCCGCCGCGAGGAGGCCGAGGACCTGCTCGCGGACCTCGACGTCGTCGCCGGCGCAGCGCTCGCGGAGGATGGTGAGGAAGTCGTAGCGGGCGACCGAGTCGCCCCTCTTCTGCGCGTCGTCCGAGGCCGCGATGGCGTCGTCGACGAAGGCGTGCAGGGTGCGCACGCACTCGCCCAGCTCGGCGCCGCCGTAGGCCCAGTAGAAGCTGCGCAGGCGCATGCGGACGCCGAGGAGGTGGAGCATGCGCTCGAAGGCGTGGTGGAAGGCTGTGCCGGGGTGGGAGTGGTCGTCGCGGAGGCGGGCTTCGAGGGTCGAGGTGCTCTGTCCGAGGAAGAGCTCCGTCGCGGAGTCGAGGGTTAGGGAGGGGAGGAGGTTGGCCAGGCTCACGGGGGAGGTCCAGCCCTCCGGGGACGCGGCGGCGGCGGCGGCCTTGTCGCGCTGCTCGATGCAGAGGAAGAGGGTCTGGACGTGCTCTTCGAGGAGATCGAGACGGGAGACGTTGTCGCGGCTGAAGAGCGGACGCATCATCTCCCTGGCGGAGCGCCAGGCGGCGCCGTCGGCGGCGAAGATGCTGCGGCCCAGGACGGTCTTCAGGTTCGTGCTCCGGGCGAGGCCCATGCCGAAGTCGTTGAACTGGGTGGCGAGGATGGCCTGGACATTCTTGGGGTCGGCGGTGACGAAGTTGGTCGTGCCGAGGACGGAGATGCGGAAGGTGTAGGTGTTGAGGGCGGCGAAGCGCGCGGCGACGTGGTCCGGCGTGCGCTGCTCGCGGTCCGCGCGGAGGGAGGTGAGGACGGCGTCGATTCCGAGGGGCAGGCGGGTGGGTTCGAGGGGTGCTTGTTTGCAGGAGAGGTTGCTGGCCTTGCGGGCGATGTTGAGTTTGTGGATGACGCTTCGGAGGAGTGTGAGGGTTGTGAGGATGATTGGGATGAGGAGGTAGGGTGAGGTTTCGGCGAATCTTGAGGTGAGTGAGAACATTGTCTCTACCAAGGGGCTTGGAGGCGCCATTGTCATGCAATTGGTGATGAATTGTCTATGGCGAAGGTGTTCTCGAGGTGTTCTCGAGACTTTCGTGAGGAAATCACCAAACTTCACCTTCACCAGACTCGAGCATCAACAACATCGTGAGTCTCGGTGAGCTCCGATCCTTCACAAGGTCTTCCCACAACCGCTCTATCGAGCTATCTATTGGTCAATGGACCTACGTCACTGCCACTTTAAGATCCCCAGAAACGTGCTAATGAACGAGCTTGGCATTGGCTGAAGAACTCCAGGTTCAAAAAAGGGGCAAGGGGGCCATGAAGCATGCTCCATCGGGCCCATCCCGACGCGGGGGCTGGCATCCGATGTCTGGGGGATGGATATCCCTGGCCGTTCCCGTCCATGACTCGGGAGACCGCGCTGCTGGGAGCTGCCAGGCTCAGGGTCCGGGGTTCGAAGATGATGACCCCTGGACCAGGACCCTGACTCGTCGTGATAGAAGTGATGTTGGGAGCCAATCACGATGAGTCGAAATGATGGTTAGGGTAAGCCAATCGTTGTTACTTCGGGGAAAAAGACGTGGCCGGCGGGAGCTCGTCGCGCGGCTTCTAATGGTTTGTTCTTTACGAAAGTTCAGCTTTACGTCTGGTAGGATCAATGGTTCGTAGGGCGCTCGTCGCATGGTTTGCGACATTGTTTATTAAGATTTCGGGACATTGGGACGAAAATTGACTTTCCGCCTCCCGTTGAACGCCAAGTAAACGCAAATCGACGACGTTCGTCTGAAATGATGGATGGCAACTTGATTGCTCTGACTTCGCGTATATATGTATTGGATGTTGGGCTTGATACCAATCCCGGAGTCCCCAAAGGGTTTTGACCTAGAGCCTCAAGTCTTCTCTGGGCTTTAGTTTGACCATCAAAGGCGTCTTTTCCCACATGATGTATGTTCCTTGTGGCGTCCACCAGTCGTCTGCCGGGTCGTTTATCTCGATATCGAAGTACCACATCATCTTCGCGTAGGTAAGACTCATCTCCGCGTAAGCCATCCTGATAGCTATCAGTACATGTAACCAGTGCGCTCCGAGGTTGGGGATGAGTGAGGAATGACTTACGGTTTTCCTATGCAAATGCGTTGCCCGTACGAAAAGGGCTGAACTGCCGCCCGATCATCATCAGCAAACTTGGAGTCAGGTCCAAGCTCAAGCCATCTCTCAGGGATGAACTCCCCGGCACGATGGAAATTATGCTTGGAATGGCCTGCGGCAAATTGGTTGACCGCAACCGCATAGCCTCCCGGAACCCATCGACCCTCTATCTCCTCTCCCTTACCAGGAACCCAACGGGGCAGAGATCCGGGCGTGGGAGGGTAAAGACGCATGGCCTCGTTGAGGCACGCACGCAGATACTTGCAATTCTGCGCCGAAACCATGGTAATCTCCTCTCTTGTCTTGAACGTCCCTCGGATCTCAGCCCGCAGCTTCTCGAGCTTGTCCGGGTTGTGAAGCAAGAACCATGTCAGCCCAGACATCCCTCCGGCGGTCGTTCCGCTGCCCGCAACGACGAAGGTGCCGGCCAGCATGGTCAACTCGACGTTTGACAACTTCTCGTCCTTATTGTCGAGGATGTACGACATGAAGTCCTTGCCGGAATTCTTGGCCTCGATACGCTGGCGCACCTTGGCCTCTGAAAGGGCAATGTGCTTCTTGCGCGCCTCGGTGATGCGGCGGGGAGTGATGTAGGATAGGAGATCGAAAAAGCCGTATTGCACCGCGAGCTGGATCCAGACGTAGCTGGTGGCGCGCGTCATGATGGCGCGGATCCAAGGCTGGTCTGCGTTGTCGATGCATCCTGCGGGGATACCAAACGCCAGGTCTGTTTACAGTGAGACATATCAGATACCGAAGCTCCCTCTCATCACACCAGACGAGCTTCCAGATGCAAGAAGACTTACCAGACACGATGTCGAAAGCAAGCAAGTTGAACCAGTTGGACAGATCAACCGGCCCTTCCTTGCACCTCTTCCGCAGCTGCCTGATGAGATTATCCGAGTGATTCTGGAAATAATCCTCCTGCTCGCGCAGCGCACGCTCCGAAAAGGCCGGGTTGATAGCCCTCCTCAACCTCAGGTGTCTCTCCTGGGTCTCCGTCATCAACGTCTTGTGGCCATTGAGCTTCGCGGGCGCGATGCCGCGGCCGTCCAGCGCCTTGGGGAACTCGGGACTGCGCTGACCGTAAATCTTCTTCCACGCCGCGGAGGATGTATACGAGAGCTCGTCGGGTGCAATGCGCACCACGGGGCCGTACTGCTCATGTAGCTCGCGGATGCGCCACGTGATGCGGCCCTTCATGTTGACGTAATTCCATGGCAGGCGGGAGACGGCCCAGAGCTTGGGGCCGGGGTAGTGGCATAAGGGACTGAGGTAGAGGTGGTAGAATGATCTGCAGGCGACGTAGAAGAGTATCTGTGAGTTCGGTAAGAGTTTGATGCAACGCAGCGATAGTTGGACATACGAGACTCAGGAAGCCAATGATTATGTTGGTGAATGACAGAGTGGGGAGTTTGCTCAGCTGAACCCAGAGCTGCTCCGGGATGTTCGACTTCGTCATGACAATCAAGGCTTTGATGTTCAACTGGCTGGTGACAAAGTCTTAATCTAGACCAGAGGATTCACGACTGAAGCGAGCTACCAAAGGAGGCGGCATATTCATGGCACATAGATAGGAGTTCCTTTTATTGTGTGAACCTCGCAATTCCCCCATAGCAATATCAACAATCTTGATGACAGTCTTAGGGCGTTCGAATACGGCGTATTTCGCCTAGGCTATGGTGAAGTGCGTAAGTATGGTGTTGAATTTCTCTTTTTGGGTTATTCTGGCAACCGCAAGACACGCACACCAATACACATCACCCATTGGAGTCCCTTGCCAGATAACGGGATTGCTTTTCCGTAGGTACGAATACTCGCAACTGCCCAATTGTGCAGTGTTCAGTAATCTGCGACAAGAATTATGGAACTACTGATAATTGGTACTAGATCTAAGTCAATGGACGCGGTTGAAGCTGGAGGGCTTCCGGAGCTGGCTCCAGGGTGACATTCTTTCAAACGCTTCTCATAGACGTTGTGGAGCGCCAGCAATCGGCCCTCGACAAGGATCGGGATTATCTTGCATAGAAGTTCTGCCAATGACGTGACGAAGTAAAGGCACGTTTCTGAAGACCCGCAAGCTGATAGGAAATCTGAATCAGTGAGAGAGGAACCCGATAACGAGTTCTCTCGAAAAAGTTCTCGGGTCTGGTTCTGAAGCCGCGAACCGTTGCCAGGGGAGCCCCTGACTGCCACATCAACACCCTTGAAAGCCGGACAGGGGGCTCTCGAGAATTGCCGGCCGTCATGATCAAAATATGGAGCCCTCGCTGCAGAAGAAAAGCTTATCTCCCCATGAATCCCTGGGTTGCCCCGTTGCAAGGTGCACGAGTCAATGCTTGTTCTGGAAACAAGCTCACCAACCCCGTGCTTGGCTGTCGTAGACTCCGGCGCCGTTCGTGAAGGATCAGCAAGCTCATTGGCTTGGTCTGATCCCACGTGCGATCCGAGATCTTCATGGAACCGTTCAAGTTGACACTTGTTTTGAAGCTCTCGGCGTTGGCGACCCGCCCTCGATGTAGCCCAAGGGTCCCTGGTCCCCAGACGGGGGACGTTTGGTGGTGGGGTCCGTTGAAGAGATCCATCATCCGGCATTCCCAGCTCAGGGGAGCTTTTGGAGGCCCACGATAGCTGCGACTGGAGGCGTGGGTGGGCGTGATTTCAGCGAGGCAGACATGTGATGCCGCCGAAGTCGGTCTTGAAGCATGTTCGCGGGATGCCTGGCAACCATCGTTTCTCGATAGCTTCATCATCACATTGACACGTCATACTGGACAAGACAGCGTTCAAGATGACCACAGCAGCAGACCGAGACAGCATCCAACTGGAGCTCCAGCCGAGGCTTTCTGCTGACGCGGTTCTTCATTACCCAGAATCAGAAGGTTTCGACAAGTCAAACTTGCGATTCACGGAGTATGAGCGTCCGGTAAGGCTGCTTCTGTCGAGTCAACGCGTACAACAAACCAATCTGACACTGCGATGAACAGACCTACCTTGTTTCTATCTCACCAGGCTGCGATGAGGATGTGGTTCAGATCGTCAAGTACGCGAGAGAGAAGGGCGTGCCGTTCTCTCCACGATCAGGACACCATGCCGTCACAACGACGATGCGACATCTCAAAAATGGCATCCTGATCGATATGCGCTCCTTGAACAAACTCAGCTTCGACGCCGAGAAGCGACAGGTCACGGCAGGCGGCGGTGTGATCACTGACAATTTCGTCCAATTTCTCCAGTCAGTGGGCATGGAAGTTAGTGAGTAACCATAATGACACGACTTCCAATGCGCTCGAGGCTGATCTTTCGTAGACGTTGGTTCTTGCCCGACGACGGGAATCATGGGCGTAGCTTTCGGGGCCGGACTCGGTCGACTCCAGGGCAAATACGGATTCTTGCATGATAACATGGTATCATGCAAGCTTCTTCTCGCAGATGGTAGCGTGAAGATGGTGTCGGAGGAGTCCAACCCGGACCTCTTCTGGGCCATTCGTGGAGCGGGACACAACTTCGGCATTGCGTTGGAAGCGACGTTCCGCGTCTATCCTCAGGCGAACAACGGCATCCATTACACTTGGGATATAGAGTATACCTTGGATCAGTGTGACGATGTCTTCGAGACACTGAACAGCGTCCACGAGAGCATGCCTGCCGATCTGGCCATCTTTGTGCTCTGGATTCGCCAGTCCGATGGGGGACGAAAGGTACGTATGGATGGCGTATGACGTGTTGAAGTTTACTAATGTTTGAAATCCGCAGCATAACATTCTCGTCAACCTCGTCTGGTCTGGAAACGAAACGGAGGCAGATCCCTGGGTCGCCCGCTTCGAGAAGCTCAACCCGATCCTCAACAGTGGCAAAGTCACGGCCACTTGGGCCGATCTTCCGTGGACGACATACAAGGGGCAGAACAAGATTCTCAGCAGGCCCGAAGTCTGGTCCAAGGCACCGAACAAGATGATGGGTGCCGCCTGCGTCGAAAAGTTCGACTTGAAGACGATCAAGGCCTTCTTCGAAAGCGTCAAGTCCATGAATGAGGAGTGGGCTGGCAAGGGCTTTTTCGGAGCCATGTTTGAGTGCCTACCGCACCAGAAGGTCAGAGAACTGCCGGACGATGCAACGGCGTTTCCCTGGCGTTGGGGTTCAAACCATTTCTTGTGAGTACTCTATTTCTGAGATTTGAAAGGTGGTACACCACAGACTGACTTTTCACTCGAATAGGATGTTGATGGCGACCCCGATCAGTATCGAGAACCGCGGACCGTTCGAAGCTCATCTTGACCGCTGGAAGAAGGAGTTCATCGCGACTTCTGGGTACGGCCGATTGCAACAATATGTCAACTATGGCAACACTACTTCCACCATGCCTGATCCTCCGGAGGCGTTGTACGGGTATGAGCCCTGGCGTTTGGAAAAGCTGAGGAGGTTAAAGCAGCTTTACGATCCTGAAAATGTGTTCCGGTGGTACCAGCCTTTGATGGAATAGAAGGAGATCTAGAGCTTTTAGGTTTTCGCTACTTCACAATTCAAATTCTAATTGCATAGTAAATTCGTACATTGATGATGAAGAATACGATTTCTTTGGTATTTGAATTAGCAATCTTTACATGTACGTCCCTCGGCCGTCACACGAGCACGCATATTGATTTGCAACCGACACGATCTGCTTTACGACGGCCTCGGTATGTTTTCAACAGCGAAATCGGAACACAATCTCTCTAGTCATGTTCAGGGATATTATGTTCCGATCTTCCCCGCGACAGACCCCTTACAGCGGGCGGGCTCCGACGGGAGACGCGTAACAAACTTGTTGTTGATGCCGGCGGCATTTCACTCTTTCCAACTTCACCACTTGGCAACGGCAGAAATTCCCCCACGTGCTCACTGCAACCAAAGTCTCTGTTTACCATGGAACCGGGTGCTCGCCAATCGTTCAAGTTGTAATGGGGTGTGTGGTAAGGCTCGAGTCATTGTCCTCCGTCACAGGCCCCGCAAAGTAGTATGAACAGCGAGGACCCATTCGTAAAGACCCCAGTTGAAAAGCCGTGATGGGGCACCTCAACCGCCTGGGAACTTCACGATGGGACTGACCCATTCCCAAACGTCCCCCAGATTCTGACCGCACTTGGCAAGACCCTTGGCGATCGGGTTGTGGATAGGTCTCTCTGAGGGCCCAGGGTCTTCTCTCCAGCATGTCGGTCTGTCACCGCTACGGAGAAAAGCTCAGGGAAGAGCAGCTCGGCGGCCAAGAACGTGTCTGGAGGATTCAATTGCATTGGATGAAAGGCCTGTTTCACTGATTCTGATGGAGAAGGGCCATCCGAACTCTGCGCAAAGATGCCGCTTTTTGGAAACTAGAGCCGTTATCAACATATTACACCGAAATGTTGGGTCACGGAGTTGTTATCGGAAAGATCACGGAAAGCTCCGATTTGGGTCTTTCAGAGCGGTTAAGAAGCAGAAATATCTTGTCCGTGACCCCTCCGACTTCTCGCTCCTCACCTTTGGGTCTTACTCCAGTCACCTTGCCTCCCAAACTGCTCTTCCCACCGCTTCAAGATACCCAAAATTGTCTTCATTTGTAATAGTCCTTCTCTTTCTCTCACAAACGACTCACAACAATGCCTTTCATCCAAGAGTCAAATGGTCCTTCCGACCCCACGAGCCAGCCCATTGCCATCATCGGCATTGGTCTGAGAGCTCCCGGCGATGCTTCTGACCCTGAGAAGTTCTGGCAGATGCTTCTCGATGCCCGCTCTGCGCGCTCCGAGATCCCCAAGGACCGTTACAATGTTGACGGCTTCTACCACCCCGACCCCGAGAGACTGGGCAGTATCCAACCCAGGTAAGTTGACAGTCGTTCCATCAAGCTTCATGGCGCTAACTATTCCGCTCTTCAGACATGCACACTTCCTCAAGCAGGACTTCAAGGTCTTCGATGCCCCCTTCTTCTCGGTCACGCCCAAAGAGGCCAAGGCCATGGACCCCACACATCGCATGCTTTTGGAGGCTACCTATGAAGGCTTCGAGAACGGTAATTTGATACCTCGAACACTATACGGTTTTTCCATCGCGCTAACTTCGTCAAAGCTGGATTGAGACTGGAAGATGTCTCCGGAACACAGACCTCGTGCTACATTGGTACTTTCACGGGTGACTTCCCCAACCTGCAAGCTCGCGATAACGAGGGACCTTCAATCTACCGTAAGTCCAACAAATCTTCCATGGCTTTTGTCTCCAATGCTAATCCCACATTCAGACGCCACCGGTCTTTCCTCCTCGTTGGCATCCAACAGACTGTCATGGTTTTACAACCTGAGAGGACCTTCCATGACGATCGACACGGCATGCTCGTCGAGTTTGACGGCATTCCATCTGGCTTGCCAGAGCATCCGTACCGGAGAGGCAGAGATGGTAAGTCCTGAAATGGCAACATAACTGAAGATGCCATGACTAACAATTCGCAGAGTGTTGTAGCAGGTGCCAACCTCATGTTCGGACCCGACATGTCCATCCTTCTCGGCGCGGCCAAGATTCTTTCCCCCGAGGGCAAGTCCAAGATGTGGGACGCCAACGCCAACGGCTTTTCTCGTGGTGAGGGTTTCGGTGTCACCATTCTGAAGCCCCTCGACGCTGCTCTCCGTGATGGTGACACTGTCCGCGCCGTCGTGCTGGCATCGGCGGCCAACGAGGACGGCAGAACTCCTGGTATCTCTCTGCCTAACAGCGAGGCCCAACAGGAGCTCATCCGCACTGCATACCGCAACGCTGGCGTTGACCCGGCGGAGACCGGCTATGTCGAGGCTCACGGCACCGGTACCCAGGCTGGTGACCCGTTGGAGGCACGCGCCATTCTCAACACCATCGGCAACCAGCCGAGCCGTCAGTCTGAGCTCTACGTCGGCTCAGTGAAGACCAACATTGGTCACTTGGAGGGCGCCGCTGGTGTCGCTGGTGTTATCAAGGCTGCTCTCGCTGTCGAGAGAGGTCTTATCCCTCAAAACCTTTGGTATGTCTTTGAACTTCAAAAGCGCCAGGTATCTTTTCTAACAGTCGCGTCCCAGGTTTGAGGAGCTCAACCCTCAAATTGAGCTTCCCGACAAGGTCAAGATCCCCGCAACACTGACCGTGTGGCCGAGCACTGGTCCTCGCAGAGCCAGCATCAACTCTTTCGGTTTTGGTGGCGCCAACGCACACGTCATTCTCGAAGATGCGGCTTCATACCTCTTCCGCCACGGTCTTCCGGGACGTCACGCCACTGTCTCCCGCCCCCTTCTCCCCAAGTCCACCACATCCGAAGATGGCACTGGCAGCACTGCCAGCGAGACTGAGCCTACTCCCAAGCTCATTGTCCTCTCCTCCAACGACCAGGAGGGTGTCAAGCGCAACGTGGAGCGCCTCCAGTCCTACCTCGAGACAAAGACCACCGTCTCATCCACTTACATGACCGACCTCGCTTACACCATGGCCTCCAAAAGGACCGCGCTGCCTTGGAAGTCCTTTGCCATTGCTTCTGATGTCACCGGTCTTCTCGAGAACCTGGACACAATCCCGGCCGTCGTTCGTTCTTCCGACTCTACTATCCCCAGGGTGGCCTTTGTTTTCACTGGTCAGGGAGCGCAGTACTTCCAGATGGGCAAGGGTCTTTCCGCCTACAAGGTGTTCCGGGACAGCATGCTTCGCTCCGAGGCATCATTGAAGGCCCTCGGCTGCACGTGGAACCTGACTGAGGAGCTGAACCGCCCCGAGAAGGAGTGCAACCTTCGTCGCACCGACTACAGCCAGCCGGCTTGCACTGCCCTTCAGGTTGCTCTCGTCGACCTCATGAAGTCTTGGGGCGTTCAGCCCGTTGCCGTCGTTGGTCACTCCAGTGGTGAGATTGCTGCCGCGTACTGCGCCGGCTTTATCGACCACGACGCTGCTGTCAAGATTGCTTGGTTGAGAGGCCAGGTTTCTCAGACCGTTTCTCAGACGGGTGGCATGTTGGCTGTTTCTGCCAGCGCTGAGAGCGTTGCCGAGCACCTGCAGTCCCTCAAGTCCGGCAAGGCCATCGTGGGATGTCTCAACAGCCCCAAGTCCTGCACTGTCTCTGGTGACGGCGCTGCTATTGAGGAGCTTCAGGAGGTTCTCAAGGAGGCTCAGATCCCATGCACTCGCCTGTCCATCGATGTTGCCTACCACTCTTTCCACATGGAGGCGGCAAGGGAAGCCTACGAGTCTGCTCTCGCTGGAGTTCCTCACGGCTCCTCTGACATCCCTCTGTTCTCTTCCGTGACTGGCAAGCTGGTTGAGCCTGAGCAGATGAAGCCCTCTTACTGGGTTGACAACCTCGTCTCACCGGTGAACTTCGTCGGTGCAGTCCGCTCTCTGTTGCACAACACCCAGGGCAAGACCAAGTCGCACGATCGCAGCGCTTTTGCCAGCATGTTCGTCGAACTGGGTCCTCACTCTGCCCTGAGAAGCTACCTCCTTGACACCTTCGCCACCGAGGACCGTTTCTCCGACCTCTCCTACACCAACGTCCTCAGACGTAAGTTCGACGGCGTTCAGACGGCCCTGGAAGCCGCTGGTCAGCTTTGGGCTAAGGGTTCCGTAATTGACATCAACCGCGTCAACGAGATCAGCGACAGCCCTAGCATGCTGGTTGACCTGCCTCCCTATGCCTGGAACCACACCCGCGCTTTCTGGGATGAGTCTTACCTCAGCCGCGAGTACAGACTCAGAGAGAAGCCTCGCACCGATCTCCTCGGTTACCGCATCCCCGGTACGCCCGATCCCACTTGGCGCAACTTCCTCCGTTGCAATGAGAACCCTTGGATCCGCGAGCACAAGGTCCAGGGCGATATTCTCTACCCCGGTGCCGGTATCGTTGTCATGGCTATCGAGGCCGCTCGTCAGCTTGCCGAGGAGCACGCTGAGGAGGAAGTATTCGGCTACGAGCTGCGTGACGTCTCCATCGACACCGCTCTCAGAGTGCCCGATACTGAGAAGGGCATTGAGGTTATGATCCAGCTGCACCCTCGCCGTACTGGCACCAAGGCCGGTCCTTCTGCTACCCTGAACGAGTTCGCCGTCTCTTCCTGGTCTGAGGAGATCAAGGAGTGGACTGTTCACGCTCGCGGTCTGGTTTCTGTCACCTACAAGTCTGCGCTCTCCCCTGCCATGCAGCGCGAGCTGGCTCTTGAGAACGAGCGCTATGCCAAGTCTTTTGCCGACGCCAAGGAGATTTGCCAGAAGCCTGCTCGCAGCTTCCTCTACGACACCGTCGAGACTATCGGCATGCAGTACGGTCCGACCTTCCGCAACATGACGGAGCTGTTTGCCGGCCCGAGCTCTAGTTACGGTGTCATCAGCGTTCCCGACACCAAGGCTGTCATGCCCAAGGGCTTCGAGTACCCTTCTGTCGTCCACCCCGCCACTCTTGACTCTGTCCTTCACTTGCTGTTCCCTTCCATCAGTGGCGAGGACCAGTCTCTCAGCGAGGCCGTCGTTCCTTTCTCCTTCGACCGCATCTTCGTTTCCGCCAAGCTGTCCTCGGTTCCTGGAACCAAGCTTCACGGATGCTCCACCGCTCAGAAGACTAGCTACACCACCTGGAAGTCGTCTATCACTATCTCCGAGGATCTCTCCGAGCCCATGATCATCATGGACGGCGTTTCTTTGGCTTCTGTTGGTGAGGGAGAGGCCTCGCAGGCTCAAGAGACTCGCGCTTCCTGCTTCGGTCAATACTGGCATGAGGACGCCGACCTCCTTGAGCCGTCTCAGATCAAGGAGCTCGTCTACAAGCGCACCCTCAAGAGCAAGGACGACGACTCTGTTCTCGACAAGCTTGAGTACGTCTGCCTGGTCTACATCTACCGCTGCCTCGCTTGGCTCGAGAGCGAGGAGGGCAAGGCCCATGTTCCCCAAGACGGCTTCTGGGCGCTTTACGTCCAGTGGATGCACGACACCATCAAGCAGTTCCCTCCTCTCCCCGCCAGCGAGGCTGAGATTGAAGCCGAGATGGACGCCTGCCGCAAGAGAATCGTTCTCTCAGACAGCGGAGACATCACTGTCCAGATGGTAGACCGCATTGGCCAGAACTTGGGCCGCATCTTCTCTCACGAGGTCGAGCCTTTGCAGGTCATGACCGAGGGCGATCTCCTGTACACCTTCTACCGCGGTGCCTTTGGTACTAGCTTCAACACCAACGTTGCCGAGTACGTTGGACTTGTCGCTGACAAGAGCCCCGGAGTCAAGATCCTGGAAATTGGTGCCGGTACCGGTGGTACCACTTACCACGTTCTCGAGCGCCTGCGCAACGCCGATGGCTCCTCCAAGGCCTCGAAGTACACTTTCACCGATATCTCTCCCGGTTTCCTGGCCAAGGCTGCCGACCGCTTCAATACCGATGCTTCCATCATGGAGTTCACCACCCTCAACATTGAGAACGAGCCCACTGAGCAGGGATTCACCCCTGAGAGCTACGATCTCATCGTTTGCGCCAACGTCCTTCACGCCACCAAGAGCATCCAGGAGACCCTGGCTCACTGCAAGTCTCTTCTGAAGCCTGGAGGTCGTCTGGTTCTCTCCGAGGTCACTATCAAGCGCATCTTCAGTGGTTTCATCATGGGTCCCCTTCCTGGTTGGTGGCTTGGTGAGGATGACGGTCGCACTGGTGGTCCCCTTCTGGACGTTGAGGAGTGGCAGACTGCCCTGACTCTTGCTGGCTTCTCCGGTGTCGATGTTGACATCCGTGGTGATCGGGAAGCCTCCAAGGAGCCCGTCTCGCTCATCATTTCGACCAAGCCTGCCAAGGAGACCCCCGGTCCTTCTGGCTTCGTTGTTGTCAGCACTGGTACCGAAGCCTCTGACAAGCTCGCCCAATCCATCCAGAAGCAGTTCTCTGCAGCTGGCCAGACGATCTCGATCGCACAGTGGAACGAGGTTTCCGAGGCCCAGGTTGCTGACAAGTACTGCCTCAGCTTGGCAGAGTGGGAGAACCCGGTCCTGGCTACTCTCACCGATGAGAACTGGGAAAAGCTGCGCCAGGTCATCCTCGGCTCCGCTGGCACCCTTTGGATCACTGGTGGTTCCGCCATGGATTGCCCGGATCCGATGAAGTCTCTGATGGTTGGTCTCGCGAGAGCCATTCGCAACGAGGACGCCGGTGTCCGTCTCGCCACCCTCGACATTGAGACTTCCGACAAGGTCAACTTCGAGGAGGCTGCCAAGAACGTCCTAAAGGTGGCCTTGGGCCACGCTCATGGTGATGGCTTTGATGGCGAGTATGCTGCTCGCGATAGCACCGTCTACGTCCCCCGCGTCGAAAGAACCCTCAATGTTGATGGTTCCCTCCGCAAGTATGAGGCTAAGGGCCAGCCCGAGCTTGTCTCCTTCAAGGGCTGCGGACGTCCCCTCAAGCTCACCATCAAGACTCCTGGTCTGCTCGACACCTTCCGCTGGGAGGAGGACGAGACCTACTACCAGCCTATGCCTGAAGACTGGATCGAGATTGAGGTCAAGGCCGTCGGCCTCAACTTCAAGGACGTCCTTGTCGCCCTTGGTAACCTGGCTGAGAACAAGCTTGGTGTTGATGCCTCTGGTGTTGTCACCCGTGTTGGCTCTGCTGTTACCGACTTCAAGCCTGGTGACCGTGTCATGACGGCTTCTTGCGACACTTTCGCCACCTTCGTCCGTTTCCCTGGCAAGGGTGCCATTCCTGTTCCCGAGCACATGAGCTTCGAGGAGGCTGCTTCCATGCCTCTCATCTTCCTCACCGCCTACTACTCTCTGGTCACTGCCGGCGCCCTGTGCAAGGGCGAGAAGATTCTCATTCATGCCGCCGCTGGAGGTGTCGGCCAAGCCGCGATCATGATCGCCCAGCAGAAGGGAGCCGAAATCTTTGCTACCGTTGGTCCTGAGGAGAAGAAGCAGCTCATCATGGAGCAGTATGGTATCCCGGAGGACCACATCTTCAGCAGTCGTGATACTAGCTTCGCTAAGGCGATCATGCGTGCGACTGACAACAAGGGTGTGGATGTCGTTCTCAACTCCCTTGCTGGCGAGGCCCTTCGCCTGTCATGGCACTGCCTGGCCAAGTTTGGTCGCTTCCTGGAAATCGGTAAGGCCGATCTCTTTGCCAACACCGGTCTGGATATGAAGCCCTTCCTCGACAACAAGAGCTACATCGGTGTCAACCTTCTCGACTTCGAGAACAACCCCACCCCTCGCGCCGTTGCTCTCTGGGAGGATACCGCCAAGCTCATCCACAACGGCTCCGTCAAGCCCATCTCTCCCATCCAGCTCTTCACCATGGCCGAGGTCGAGAAGTCTTTCCGTCACATGCAGGCGGGTAAGCACATGGGCAAGGTCGTCGTACGTGTCGACGATGCGGACATGGTTCCTGCTGTCCCTCGCACGCCTACTGTAGGTATCCACGCCGATGCTACCTACGTCGTCGCTGGCGTTGGTGGTATCTGCAAGGAGATTGGTCGCTGGCTGGCTGAGAAGGGCGCGAAGCACCTGGTTCTGCTGTCTCGTTCCGCCGCCAGCGGCGAGGAGAACAAGGCATTCGCCGCCGAGCTCCAGAACACCTACGAGGCCAACACTTATGCCTACGACTGCGATGTCGGTAACAAGGCGGCTTTGCAGGAGGTCTTGGACGACCTCAAGTCCAAGAACGTCCCTGAGATCAAGGGATGCGTCACCGGTGCCATGGTTCTGCGGGTAAGTCAACTCTCATTCAGACCAACATGGATTCTGTGCTAACATGACATTACAGGATACTCTCTTTGACAAGATGACCGCGGATCACGTCAGAACTACCGTCGGTCCCAAGGTTCACGGCACCTGGAACCTCCACGAGCTCCTCCCTCGTGAGCTCGACTTCTTCGTCATGCTCAGCTCGCTTGCAGGTGTCATGGGTCACCGCGGACAGGGCAACTACGGCTGCGGTAACATCTTCCAAGACTACTTCGCATCCTACCGCCGCAGCCTGGGTCTCCGCGCCATGACCATCGACATCGGCTACCTCCTCAGTGTCGGTTTCGTCGCCGAGCACGATGAGTACGTCGACCACGTCAAGGCCATGGGTCTCAAGGTCATGCACAAGAGCGACCTCCACGGCCTCATGGCCACCGCTCTCGAGGGCACCGACGCCCACCCGCCCCAGGTCATGTGCGGTCTCCCCTTCAACGAGCACGACGACGCGTGGTACTGGATCCAGGACCAGCGCTTCGCCGGCCTCCGCAAGATGGCTTCCGGTTCTGGCGCCGGCGGCTCTGCCACTGTCTCCCTGCGTGACGAACTTGTTCGCTGTGGAAAGGTCGATGATGAGGCTGTCCACCTCATTACTTCTGCGCTGGTGCAGCGTCTGGCCAAGTTGATGATGATGCCCGAGGATGACGTTGACGCCGGCAAGCCGCTTAGCGCCTACGGTGTCGACAGTTTGGTGGCTGTTGAAGTGCGCAACTGGATTGCCAAGGAGGTGGCAGTCGAGGTCAGTGTGTTTGATATCATGGCGAACATTCCCATGAGACAGCTTGCCGCGGATTTGGCTGGCAAGAGCAAGCTTCTGGTTCAGGAGTCTTCGTAAATGTTTTCATAATGCATGGAACAGGAGTTGGGGACTTGCTTGTTATGGTTTTGCTAGCGCTTTTTCTTTTCTGAGTATTTTCTATTTAGTGTTTCGCATCTTGTCAAACTTCCTGCCGTAAACTCGGGTTTTCTATCTTAGTAAATGAACTTCAACGAACATCTTAAAAGAGAACACAGTCTTAACTTAAGTCGCATGGATCATCTTGCTGGCGGAACAAAATGAATGTCCCGAAGCCGTGACATCACCCTGTGACTGGAATGTGATTCTCGTCGGACGATTCCGACATCTCTACAAACATCATGACATTCGTTGTCTTGCTCTTCGTGTCTCCCACGTCCCGAGAGATTCTCACCCCCCAGAATTACAGGGACAGGGGGCACTACCGCGCATAATCTGTCAAAATCTCTCCACTTTCCAGGGTCCAGATGGAGCAGTTCGCAGCAATTCTCATGACTCGCAAGTCCCTGTCAAGGGGGCCCTGCCAGTTCAGTAACACTGCAACTTGAAGCCAACGCCTTTCAGTTGTCCACGTGCTCGACTCCCGATAATGATCAAAGATAGCAGTTTCTAGTGTTTCCCATTGATCCCGAGCGAGATTCGTTCATAATCCCACCGGCACCCTGCCTGTTTTGGGGTCTTCGTAAACTACAAGCCTTTAAAGTGCCCGAGAGCACCGACTGTCCGCAACGTTCCAGTCCTCCCAGCCCCTTGAGCTCACATCTTTCGATCTACCGTTACATCTGCTGCACCGTGAGATCATGGCGACCACATCTGACGTACCGGCTTCCAAGCCGAAGGAGATGAAGGTTCTCTCCCTGGGAATGACACGCACAGGTACCATCCAGAAGCCCCTCCCCGCGTAACATCCAACTTTACTTACATGCATTCCAGGTTCGGCCTCGATCACGCAAGCGCTCACAATCCTCGGCTACGACGGCGTCCACCACGGTATCCAGGCCATCTCCTGCGCCCGCGAGTGGACTCTCTTCTCCGCGGCGTGCGACTCGACCTTTCCCACCCTGCCGACTTACACCGGCGCGCCCTTCCCGCGGGAGAACTGGGAGTCGCTCTTTGGCAACTACGAAGCCGTCACGGACATGGGATCCTTCTTCGCGGTCCAGCTCGTCGAGGCGTACCCGGATGCCAAGGTCATCCTCGTGGAGCGCGACGTCGACAGCTGGTTCCAGAGCATGGACGAGGCCATCTTCAGCACGACGTGGGGCTGGCGCGCGGACCTCATCATCGACTACCTCGGCCCGCGATGGGGCCTGGCGGGTGGCCAGACGCTGCGGAAGATCATGCTGGGGTTCTACGGGGTCCGTAACGTCCAGCAGATGAGGGAGGTCGCCAAGGAGAGGTACAAGAAGCACTACGCCGAGGTCAGGGCCGCGGTGCCCAAGGAGAGGTTGCTGGAGTACAGCCTTAAGGACGGGTGGAAGCCGCTCTGTGACTTCCTCGGCAAGGATGTGCCCGAGGGAGTGGAGTTCCCCGTGGCGAATAGGAGAAAGGAACATATCGATCGTGTGAGGACGAAGCAGAACAGGTTCTTCAAGGTGGCTATGTTTGTTGGCCTGCGCAAGGCTATGCCGTGGGTTTTTGGAATTGGTGCTGTGGCCGCAGCCGTGTATTTGACGAAGCCTAAATGGGCGTTGGACGGGTTTGAGAGTGCCGTGAAGATAATCAAGGCTCAACTGAAGCTTTTGGAGAAGTACTGAGTTTCTTTTGTAGTATCAACCTTATCATTGTATGTAATCTCTGTATAACAACTCTTTATCAAGTTTCTAATACCGTATGAGTCTGTAGCAAGAGTTATGCAGTTGCGCCTCTTTTTCTATGGATTAGAACGGCTTAGACCAGAAGACAAGGACAGGAACCCAGAATTACACCGAGTAGAATAGTTCCCATCGGAATACGAACTCAGTTGTGTCTAATTGAGCCTCACAGACACTTTTCTCTTACCAAGTATCTAATCACAAGTGCTCCTGTGAATGGTCTTCTGGTTCAGATCATCCGAAATGATCCTTGAATCGGGCAAGCCTCGGCGCGTGGTCCGCGCTGCCCCGTGCATCGGGAGTTGTCGAGACTACGAAATGTCCAGGGATGAAGCATGAGACTAGAGTTTACGCCGAAACAAGATCAGCCAACGCTATTTGTATCTTCGTTGCAGTTTGTGTTGGCGATGAACGGGTTCCCACATTATACTTCCCGGCTTCCCAGGGTCTCGAGATCCATGGCGACGGTCCGCGTAATCACCCTCCAATTCGGAACTTTCGAAGTCGGGTGAAACCGAGAGCGATGCGAAGTCTGATTGACGCGCGCTTAATATTGTCGAGGCTTGTATGTTTTCTACAGGTTTTGGAGGGTTTGACTAAAAGTGACAGAAAAGCGTACTTGTAATGTCCCGAATCGAGTGTGATAGAGTAGCATTATGAATCGTTAATTATGATGTAATTACCTGAGTGCTACGTACGTACGTATTAGTTGTGAAAGAGCACAACTCCCTACCTTCGCTGATCGTTTCCGCCGTCCATCTCAAACACAAAATTGTCCTGGCCCCTGAGTTCACTCAAGCGGTGTTGACCCTGTGAGCCATAAACCTCATGAGAAACTTCCTGTTGTCCACCGTACTTAGGCCACGCTTCTTGAACTTGTCCCATCTGACCAGGTGTCTCAGTGTTATAAGGAGGGGGTTGAGACTGCGAGGCCTTCCGCTTCTTTGACCTGAGTAAAAAGAAAGCCCCTAATCCAACGATAGCGAGTGCTGCAACTGCTCCAACGGCTATGCCGGCAATGGCTCCAGTGCTGAGGCCAGAAGCTTCACTGTCGGCATCAGACCCATTAGTTGGAGTGCTCGTGGGATTAATGGCATCCCTGGACGTCTGAGGTTTACCGCAGTCGGACCTATCACTGGCGACTTTGACGAGAGTGCTTCGGGTCGTCGGGTTTGCTTGCCATAGAGTGAAGGTTTCCGCATCGTGGTCGACCATCAAGTATGCTGAGGTGAGAAAGTACCGTCCAAGAGTCGCGGGCTGGTCGTAAAGGCCCGTGATGAGCAACTCCTTCACTTTGTCGTCGGTGACTTGGGCTCCGCTTCGGTCGATATCGACAAAGGGGACGATGTACTGATTGTTTGGCACTCTGACTTGCAGCCCAGAACTGAGAGAGAAAGTTATGTCGCCATCAAATCTATCAAAATGTTAGCGCTTGCTCTTTCCAAAAGATGATCAACTTCACCGCATGTCGAAGTACTTACGCAGTCTTTGCATCGAACTTTCGTGCCCCCCAGTGTAAGCCGAACGAGAGACCATCATCCTTAACATTCGTGACATTCTCAAAGGTGTCCACGAGGGAGCTTGGCGCTTCCAAAAGCATATGCCGATGGGGCACGATGCAGCATGGGATGGCGTTGTTTACCGGCATGATGCTCTTGTCGATACCATCTCGAAAGTTGACTTGGACATCGGTAAGGGTAACCTTCATACCCGTCCAACAGCCTGTCGCTTCGCTGTAATCGAGACGTTGCGTGAAGTTCTTCCCGGTGACCTTCTCAGAGTCGTAGCCACCCAAAACGAGGGAGCCATCAATGTTGTTGTTGGTCGTCCACATGCGACCCCAAAAGATTGACCAGACCCTCGAGCCGAGTTTACCAGCCTGCGCCAAAGAGGTGAGATAGGTCGAGTTGGCACCTAAGCCGAGAGCGTGTAGCATTGTGTATCCATTGTCCCATCTCAATTTGGGAATGCCGATTGGTGTTTTGTTTAGGGTCACGGATCCGATGTCGAGGCGGTCAGCCCCACCCACGCCGGTCGAAATGAGCTTTTTCGTTCCGGCCTCGGTGCCGGCAGTGGTTATCTCTTCGGATGCGCCTCCGGCCGCTACGATGTCGGCTGCTTTGGTGAAGGATGTTGACTCGTCTACGTGAAAAAGACTTCCCCTACGGATCTCACAGATCTTGTCGTTCCAGATGATAGAGGAGTCGCAGTTGGGGTTTTCATCGTAGATCCATGTGTTGTTTAGTTCTCTGTTGTGCAAGTAGTCAGCACTTGGTCCTCTCATATAATTACGAACATGGAGTTGTAGAGAAATAGCATGACTCACGCCCACGGAAGCATAACAATGTCTTGAGATGGTGTTCCGATTTTGGCCGGAATGCCTCTCATGAACGACTTTGGAGTATTCGGATCAACCTGAACATCTTGTATGGGTAGAGAAACTGGCTCTACATCGCATGAGGCGAGTGCTAGCGTTGCCCGAAGACCGACAAGAAGCCAGAACATGGTCACCTTGGAAGCATAACCGGTTTTGAGACAACGATTCGTGCAAGTCAGACTCAATTATAATTGACGACTGTATAAAAGACGGAGGAGAAGACTCGAAAACAAAGAAACCACGCGAGTTGTGGAAACTGGGTTGCCTCGCGTCCTTAACCGCCGTTTGCACATACTCGTCAGGCTACATGTAGACCGCCACACCAACACCGGGCGACTGAGACCCATGTCATCCATCAGAACCAACAAACAAATAAGACAAATGCAAGGATTAAGAACACCCGACCTGCATCCACAATTATCGTGAAAACCAATCCGCACGAAGAGAAAGGTGCATGTTGGTGCCGGGACTTTGGTGATGGTGGGGGCACAAGACAGCAGGGGAGCGGCGTTGAAATTGAGTTAGGCTGATCTTTTGTGACACAGTCAAGTCCTTAGCAAATTTATCATGAGAATGCCGCACAAACTGTTAGTCATGAGCTTCTCCAAGCCTCATTATGTGTTGATCCCATCATTGGGTTGCCTAAGCGCCCTTGCATCAAATATTACTCCACCCTCGCCAACGAACCAATTATAGATGCTCAGCTCAGTACACCTCTCGCATTGATTCCGTCAAGCTTTCCTTCATCCCTGCCTTCTGACAGTTCGCCAACTTTGGCCGACTACATTTCTACCGATGTTCCCGTCCGGTTGCTGTCCCGAGATGGACATCTCATCTCCTAGCGGTTCGCCTTCTTTGAGGTGCCATCCATCAGCGCCATGATCCTCCCTCGCCGGTCACCACGCCTCGTCATTGCCATCTTCGCCGTATTCGTGCTGCTGCTTCTCATCTACAACCCGTACTGGCTGGCCGTGTCGCCAAGCGCGCCGAGAGCACCGCAGAAGAACATCCAGTTCAAACCGAGCTCATTCAACTGGACGACCGCCCGCCAATTTCATCCCGTGTCGGACCCTTTCACGCCTCTCCCGACAGGCAAGCCGCTCAAGCTCCCCCGCATCCAGCACGATTACGGCGTCACGAACCCGCACCCCGAGGCGCCTAAGCGTCAGAAAGTCGTCCGAGACGTCTTCAAGAAGAGCTACGACAGCTATAAGCGTTATGCATGGATGCGGGACGAGCTGACCCCCGTGAGCGCGGGGGGGAAAGATACCTTTGGAGGATGGGCAGCATCTTTGGTTGACTCGTTGGACACGCTCTGGATCATGGGATTCCACACAGAGTTCTACGCCGCGGCCGAGGTGGCCGCCCAGATGGACTGGGCCAAGACCTCTGAGAAGAGTGCCAACATGTTTGAGACCACGATCAGACATTTGGGCGGTCTTCTTAGTGCATATGACCTCAGCGGCGAGGTCGCCCTTCTGGAGAAGGCAAAAGAGCTTGGAGATATGTTGTATATGGGATTTGATACGCCCAACCGCATCCCAGGCTTCTGGCTCAATTTCGATGACGCCAAGAATGGGGTTCAGTATGCCGGGACTCACGACCCTTCGGCCTCTCCCTCTTCCCTTTCTCTTGAATTCACCCATCTCGCGCAACTGACCGGCGACATGAAGTACTACGATGCCGTCAACCGTATCAGTCGGTTTCTTGAACGCACGCAATTTCAGTCCAAGCTCCCAGGAATGTGGCCGAAGATGATTGACTTTCGCGGTGAGCGGGTTGATACCGATAACGGCTTCACTCTAGGAGCCCTCGCGGACTCCCTGTACGAATACTTACCGAAGATGTACGCTCTTCTCGGCGGTCTGGATAAGTCCTACGAGAAGATGTACGTCGGTGCGATGGCCATCGTGGAGCAACACATTCTTTTCCGGCCAATGTTGCCCGAGAACGACAACGCAAACATCCTATTTGCGGGCGACGTCTACGTCCACCAGGATAAGATTGACCACGTCGCGGAAGGGCAGCATTTGTCATGTTTCGCCGGTGGAATGCTGGGCTTGGGTGGGAAACTCTTCTCGATCGACGAACATGTGGACCTCGGCGACCGGGTTGCTCGCGGCTGCGCGTGGGCTTACGATGCGATGCCGGCGGGCGTGATGCCGGAGATCTTCGATCTTATTGGGTGCTTCTCGGTGAAAGACAAGTGCCCATGGGAAGAGAGAAAGTGGGAGCAAGAGGGCGACAAAAAGCTGAAGAAAGGCTTCAAGAACGCCCGCGACCCCAAGTACATCCTCCGCCCCGAGGCTATCGAGAGCGTGTTCCTACTATACCGAATGACTGGGAAGCAAGATCTGCAAGATATTGCATGGCGGATGTTCCAGTCGATCTTGAAGGCGACTGAGACTGAGTTCGCCAACTCGGCGATCGCTGACGTGACGGTACCTCCCGATCAGACCCAGAAGATAGACTCTATGGAGGTACGTTACAGCCATTCATACCCCTTACCTACTGCATAAAGTCGTTGAAAGTTGCTAACAAACGATTTACCGCAGAGTTTCTGGTTCTCTGAAACGTTGAAGTACTTTTATCTCATATTTTCGCCTCCTGAGCTCATCAGTTTGGATGATTTTGTCTTCAACACTGAGGCTCACCCCTTTAGACTACCAAAGTGATGTTCACTTCGGCATATCATACTTTAAAGAAGGTTTATTCATTGGTCAAGGTGGTGAAGGTGAACGAAAGGTATCAGGCGTTCAGGTTCTGGCAGGCTGGATAATTCATGAGTCTCATGTCATAGATAATGGAAGACATTTCTGTTTGCACGAGTGCAATGCCAGCAGCTGTTACAAAGTCGTTGATTCTATGCAGTAAAAAGACTTACATGTCGCGTTGGCAGACTTGATGACTGCAGCTTATGTGTGTTAGCTTTGCGACTGCCATGATATCGAATGTCCAAGAGAACACAACTGAACGATCAGGTCAACCAGAGCGGGCGCACTTCCTGCAACCTGCTGACATCCGGTCTTGACCAAGACATTGCCGATGTCCGTGTCAGGAAAGTGCCTCTATCATGGCGCTTACTTATCTCAGTAATCAGTTCATCACTCCAGTCGCCATATCACACATATCCACACACCACGCGGCTCAAGCCATCTATCCAGGAACCACAAGATAGAAGCTTAAAGAGGACCTGCTACTTTCGACAGAATTCCCGATGCACCAAGCCTGGAGGCAAGCCTAGACATTACGAAGAAGACGGATACGCGGCAATAAGGTCTTGTCAGAACATTAAGCCTCTGAGAAGCCTTGGCATCGTTGAGCTTGGCGGTCTAGGCAATGGAGTTGCCTGCGGGGAGCCGAGGGTTCTACATATCGCCAAGAGGGCAATCAGAAACGAGGACCACTATCTCATGCAACTCGTACCGCGCGCCGAGGAACTAATTTGCTTGAACCGTACCAAAGAAGGAAGGTCCTCAAGCCCATGGAGCCCAAGTGGTGGGAAAATGAACATCGTGAACTGCTGTCGCTTTTCGTTGGCGATGCTCTTTGGTGATGTGTTGAATGTTAAGCCGAAAATTGAGGTGAGGTACCGTGGGAAGAGACATTGACTGAGGCATCTCACAGCTTCGATCAAATGAAATCGATTGCGAACGAGCTCCGGCTAAGTCTTCCATGCTAGACTCGCTTACAGTTTCTAGCTTCCTATTCTGGTTAAACTTCTCTAAATGTCGATGTAACGCTGCTACCATATCGCTCCGCAAATGCAACCCGAGCTATCCTCATTTTCAACGACAACCCATATACTTGATGTCCTCTATCACTCGAACCACTTCGCGAGGTGTAAAGCCCAACTCTTGAACAGCGTGAGGATCCCCTCCCGAGGCTCACAAAAATAAGCGCAATACAGCATTGGCAATAGGAAAAGACGTTTCATTCTTATTTACCTCCTTCCAGACTTGAGCTAGTCTCCGGCTTGTGTACTTGGCATGTTCTTGGCAACTCTTGTTTGGCAACGTCTCATTGGAAGCTGATTCTCTGCGTCAAATCTGGGCATCATTGACATCCAACTTCGGTTACACGTCTTGGTAAAACCCCATTGGTTCATCGCAGGGTGCCCCGACTGCCGATTCATGATATACCCCTGATCTCCGCGGGCTGAACTGGGCGAAGAAGTCAATTCGACTCAGATGGGAGGCTCCGGCTGAAGCCCCAACTACTACAATTCAAGGCCCCCAAATCATGGAGATATGGTGGAATCACAATGCTCTGGAGTCTGACGAAGGCTGGCTTTCTTTTTCGAGAAGAACGATGCGCCAGCCAAGCCCCCGTGGGAACGCCGACCGGGACGGGCGTCGTCGTGAATCCACCCGTAAATAATAAAGAATCCGGCCACGGCGCCCAACGGCTCTAAAATAAACAACTCCATGGTGTTACAATAGCTTCGGTACCGACTCGGAAGTCATTCCGTGCGGGGCTGTGATCGGCACTTCTCGTTCTGGCACCTACGCGGTCGAGATCCTGTCGTCCCTATCCGCGTTGAGCTTAACAACTATCCGTGTTGATATTGGCTACCTTGGCAGGCCAGGCCTGTTCTAACTACCTTCCACGATGCCACCCCAATGCCGTCTAGGCATGCTGGGCGCGATTGCATCTTCCTTTTTCTGCTTAGTTCAGGTATCAGGGAGATTCGGTAGGCACCTTCAACATCGGACTTTGCGGAAGAGTTGTCAATATAGACTACGAACGAGACATAGAAATGAGTATAAAGAGATAGACGCTGAACCTCAAGATTATAGCTTTTTTCTGTCTCACCACCAGCCCGCGACCACCTCACCAGCCTCTGTTCTTGCCCCTCGGTCCCTGCCATCACAATGAAGTTCTCCATCGGAGTTTCTCTTCTGGCCACGCTCGCCAGCGCCGTGTCTGTTGACATGGCCAAGCGCGACACCTCCCCACTTGACGTCAAGCTCGAGACCGTTGGCAACTCCGGTGTCAAGGCCGTCCTCACCAACACCGGTGACTCCGCCCTCAAGCTCTTCAAGACCGGTACCATTCTCGACACTGCTCCGGTCGAGAAGGTCGAGGTTTTCGCCTCTGGTAAGAGCTGTCCATCATATCGGAACTCCGCCTACAAGATGCTGATGTTTGACAGGCAACAAGATTGACTTCGACGGTGTCCGTCTGCTGATGGCCACTTCCGGTCTGACCGAGGAGGCTTTCCAGATCATCGGTGCCGGCGAGTCCGTCGAGGTTGAGTTCGACGCTGCCGAGCTCCATGACCTGTCCAGCGCCGGCGAGATCGACATCGTCACCCAGGGTGCTTTCTCCTACGCCGATGCCGACTCTACCGAGCTGGCTGGTACTATTCCCTTCTCCAGCAACAGCGTCCACACCGCCGTCAACGGCGAGGAGGCTGCCGCCGTCCGTGCCCGCTTTTTGGCCAAGCGCACGGTCGTCCAGGCCGACTGCACCGGCACCCGCCGCACCGCTACTGTGGGTCTCACTCGGAGACGGAGTGGAGCTGTTCGGCTCCGCTCCGGATCATGCCCGTCCTCCTTCCACCTAGCTCCAAGCATTGTTCCGCAATGTCTTCCCACGAATTGCATGCGAAATTGTAAATATTTGAGATATTTAACTAACTTATGCTATTTTAGGTCAACGCCATTAGCCGTTGCCGCTCTCTCGCTGTCGCGGCCTCTTCCGCTGCCGCCTCCGGCCCTGCTGCTCGCATGACCGAGTACTTCAAGTCTTCCACGTGAGAAACCTTCAATCTTTGTTATTTCTCCAAGCATACTAACACATTTAATCCAGGACCGCCACCCGCAACACCGTTGCCACCGTCTTCTCCAGAATCGCCAGCGAGTGCGGCAGCACCACCTCTGGTGTTTCCCGCCAGTACTGCACTGATGTCTACCCTGCTTGCAGCTCGGGCGTCATCGCCTACACTCTCGTTCGTCTCAAAGTTCCCAACATGTAAGGATAGGCTGCTAATCACCTTCCCATCAACTAGCCTTCTCAGAGCTACATGGTCAACTGCCCTCTCTTCTTCACGATGACTGCGGCTTCTGGCACTTGCCATGCTCAGGACCAACAGACTACGTACGTTTGACCCCGTTTTGCTTCCAAAATCACGCTAACCATTTCTCAGGATGTAAGAAACCTTCGTGATGATGTCGGGGTAGTGTTGAGTTCCAAGGACGAAGCTAACCATGACGCAGCCTCCACGAGATGACCCACCTGACCCAAATCAGGGGCACTTCTGACTGTACGTCCTTTCTCTTCCTACTCAGCCCATCATTTCCATGAGACCACGACACTGACCAGAAACAGACGGTGGTTACGGATACAACTTCGTTCGCTCCCTCACCGCCGCACAGAACTTGAACCATGCAGACACCTACACTCTGTTCGCTCAATGTAAGCTTCTTTCCTTGATTCACGCGGTGTAGATGAGTCCTCGATGACTTCATGTTCTGAGCAAATTCTGGATGAGTTCTCGATTCAGTGCTAACGTTTCATGGCAGCTATCTACGCTGGATGCTAAATGCATTCTCATCCATGATGAGGGAGTTTAAAAGAGTGACATCGGAATGTGTGAATATTCTTGAGAAACACGTGTTTGGGATTCTAACGGCAGACGGTCCCGGGCCGGTGTCGAAGGGACGTTGGCGCCGAAGAGGTTCTCTATCGGTGTACTTGGGTAGAAATCAATGCAAATCACGTTCTACCTGCAGTTTATATGTTTTTCTTGACTTGATAATATCTTGAGACATGTCCACCATCTCCTGGTGATTAGTAAGATTTCCCGGAGTTGTTTAAGTTCCACATGAAAGAGGTAAACCAAAGGTCCTGAAACTTTATGTCGTCTTGTTCTGAAGTCATCTTCCTCATCACTTGAGCGTTAATTGTGCCCTGATCTGAGCCAACTTCATCTGACTATGAAGTCAAGTCCAAATTGTCAAGGTTCTGATCACACTCTCGGCCTGTTGGTACCGGGGTTCATCAACTTGCGCACGTTCTTGAGAGTGACATCGAGATTCTGTGTGGCACGAAAGAAGTGCGCGGCGATGAGGAGCTCATACTTGTCAAGCTCAAATCCCTGGGCGACAGGATCCGGCTTAAATTTAAGCGCTTTCTGTAAATACCCTCCAATTCCTGCCATTTCTGCAACCTATATCCTCACACCACAGAGCATGCTTCAGTTCCTAGCCTGACCTGAAATCGTACCTCTCGGGATAAAAGAGCGTGTAGGCCGTCCTTTCCCATATCAGCCTTCGAAGCCTCCAATTTTGTCTCTGAAGCAACCCTCTGTGGCAGTTAATGTCTCCTACATATAACATAGGGGCATTGAATTGTGAAAGCGAAGGAGTAGATCGACATGCTCACACTGCCAAGTGCCCTGTCTTGGTTGAGACGTCAGAAAGTCAATGACTCCTGTATGAGCGTCAAGAGATCTGATGTCTCCGTAGCGTGTCTGATTTAAAGATTTATTTCGTCTGGATTATGGAGGACGCGGCTTTGTCGATGATTATCATCAAGACCGACTACCCCAAGACCGGCGATTTCTCTGGGTCTTTGCAGCGAGTTTGATTTCCGAATCTTCCGTTTCCCGGAAGTACGGGCTACCGTTCACACTACTCGTATTGTCTTCTTTCTTGGTTGGCTAGCTAGCAGTTGGGTTTGTATGCTGGGGTGACTTGGTTGACGAAGTCACTAGGGCTATGAGTGTATTGTGCCATCTTGCTTCTCTGGTCCCGCCATTTCGGACGAGACCCGTCGAGTTGGTGAAGCTCTTCTTGTGAGTTAAGTCATGATCTTTCAGTTTGGATGATGTCCGTTGCCTGTTGGGCTGGCCCTGCATCCCTCGTCACTTGGATAGTCGGCCTCCAAGTTATGGCGCTAGCAGGGCATTTAAGGGACAGAAAACACTGTGGATGACCATGTGAAAGTTTAATAAATGAGGGAGTATCTCAAAAGGTCATAGAGGCAGTGATGTAGCACCCTGATGTCAGCAGTCAAGATGTCTATGTAGATAAGCTGAGACTATCTTCTCGAGGCTCTTACGTCTTGTGCAAGTGAGACTAAACTCAGCCACCTACACCGCTATTGCTACATAAAGTTCATCTGCAGAGTTCAGTGCGTTTCTAATTTCTCCTTCATCATCTATAGCTTCCTGATGGCATGAATCAACCCCAGTGTACTTTGTAATCTCTGGGTAGGGTCATGGACATTATCATGGTTTGGCGTGCGAACCTTGGAAGACGGAAGACAGCCATAGCTTCTGAGTGTTCATAATAGGTGTTGGTAGCCGCTGGCTTTGTATTGTATTCTATGTGCTATCAATAACTAGGTACATTTGCAATACGCGACGCAGTACAAGGCAGCAACCTTTATGCTTATGTTTCGCTCTATCGAACATCTCGCCATATCTACGTGTCATCAACCGTATTATCCCCGACGTAGAAAGACAGAATGGAGAACGGAGAGTCCAGTGACAACCTAACTCGGTCGGAAAAGCTCACTAAGTCAGTGTGACAGCCAACCTTGCACTTGGCACTTTGCGAATGACTCGTCCAAACATGACCTCGTGTCTATCGTCGCATCGAATCTCCAACTGAGCCAAACGTTTCAGCCTTAGCATTGGCTTGGCTAATTCTAACTGAAAAGAGCGAGAGAATCTACTGAGGCCTCGCCTTTCGCTCATCTGACCAGATACCACTGTGGTTAAAAGAGAGTTCCGTCCTGCATCTCTGTGGATCGTCTCGCGATGTTGCATCGCGCCATTGGATTTGTTTTTCGCTGGCCTCCTGTCCTTTCGAGGCGAACTTGGCCAAAATCCAGGCGCTTCAAGCGACCGGACTCACCGTCAACAGGCAAAACTGATTCGAGTTGCCCATGTCTATCTCTCGTCTATTTCGCCTTCTTACGACCGTCCCTTCTCTCCCTGACGAGAGCTGAGTTCGTGTTCCCACAACAGATGGGACGGTTGTCCACCAGGGCTGAAGTTCAACATCGGATGATGTCTTCTTGACCCCCGAAGGGCTGACTTCAACCCCGCCCGAACCCGAACCAGACGGAAAGCCCGGCTTTTACAAATCGAAACGGCTGTGGCTTGGAAGTTGTGCATGGCCGATATCTACCAGATGGCCCGAGTGCTCTGAAAAGCCACACTCGCAATGGGGCGGTAAGGCGGAGTCGATGACATTGACGAATGAATAAGATCAAAGTTCAAAATTTGCTGTATAAATCTCCACGACCGAATTTTTAAGCATAACGCATCGAATGAACTCTGTGCTGGCATCATTTTTTTCAAGAGGACTCCTGTTTGCTTTCGCCGCTTTTGTTTCATCCCTTTTCATCTGGAATTGGGGCTGGAGCTGTGGCCACCCACTCGCTTGCTTCCGGATTGATTGCTAGAGCAGGGATCGAAGGGTATATTTGCTAACCTAAGAATAACATTAATTAAAGTTGAGCACTCCCGTTGCTCGGCTCGACTCAACTCGGCCAGGAGATGCCTGCAGCCATCCTGTTTCAGGACCTGCCGATTTTGTGGCTCGCGTTCGCGTCGACTTGTCGCCTGTGAGTTGCTGACGTTGTCCCATGTAGCTGTCATGAAAAACGCCACTCAACGGACGTAAACGTGATCCCAGTTTTGACAACCTGGTTTTCGAAGATTGCGGTTTCCACTGCTTCGATGCCATCGGCCTTGTCGTCTTGCCCAGGTTCTCACAGCCCTTCACCAAAAGGGGCCAGACGGAGTAATAGGCCCGCGAGGAGATAACTCGATTCGGCTTCGCGCCCCGGTCCCGTCCAATGCGTCATGCAGTCGTGAGTGCCGATCTCTCGGAAGCCCCCGGATTTTCCGTTGCTTTCGCTCTCCCGGAATCTCAACTGCCAGATTGCCTGCTGTACCAATGGCACTTGGATCGTTACGAATCAATTCGTGCTAACGAAACATCACCGATCAGCCTCATATGCCAGCATAACGTTACGACACCGTACGACTCTGATAGATGAGTTCAAGGTTTGGAAGTATAGATGAGGCGCCTCCTTAAGTTTCGATTGCCGCTGGTCGGGACCGCCGTCGGGACATGGCGTCAATCAACGTTCAACTTGAATCGTCGAGGGGTTGACCATGCGACCGACCGGTAGGTGAACCCGTCTGCCGGCTTGGTCTCATGCTGGCACGCATTCAGGAATCCCAGGATCCATTCAGAAATGCCTGAATGGTCTTCGGCCACGGGCTTTGGTCATGATTCGGCCCATGGGCAGTGTTTTTGCTCCCGCAACCCGTGGGTGGCCGCGCTGCCATTCCGTCCAGCCATCCAACCACAACCCCGGACCCGAACCGCCGATCGCGCCGAGACTTTCTTCTCCACCATCCCCCGTGCGAAATAGATTGATATGGTCCATGTGGCATGCCCCCGGCGCTCCGCTCTCGACTCCTCCGTCCAATGTCTGTCGGTCGTCTGCTGGGACCCGAACAATCGCCTACGGACGGAGGCACTCCGACCTCGCGTCCGCCAAGACTTCAACTTCCTTCTACGGGAGATGGCCTTGTCTGGGTCAGATGGACGTGTCTGGGACTCAGGAGTCAGCACTCAGGAGGAATGGAGACGGGATTGCGGTCCTTGACTCCACGATGTGGGAAGCCCGGCGTCTGAACTGTTGTCTGGGCAGTTGGACTTGAGTATAAGACAAGTCGTCTGCTCTGCCATCTCAACGGCTTTCTCTTTCCCAAGCATCCCACTTCGTCCTTCACTTCACCTGCATTGCTCTCCAGCTCATACCCTTCCTTCTTTGAACCCAATTCACTCTTTGCTCTGTGAGCTTTTCATCCGTTCTTTTCACCACCACGAACAAACCGTTTCCAACCACACCCACCCACAACCACCATCAACATGTACTCCAAGGCTTTCCTCGCTGCCCTTGTTGGCGCCACCGCCGTCTCTGCCCACGGCTACGTTGAGAAGATCACCGCCGGCGGCTCCACCGTCGACGGTCTCAACCCTTCCAGCTACCCCTACGCCAGCGAGAAGCCCGTCACCCCCGGCTGGGCTGCCACCAACACCGACCTTGGCTTCGTCGCCCCTGACGCCACTGGCGATGCCGACATCATCTGCCACCGCGGTGCTACCCCCGGTACCAGCTCCATCAAGGTCGCCGCCGGTGAGAAGGTCACCGTCAAGTGGAACACCTGGCCCGACTCCCACAAGGGCCCCATCATGGACTACCTCGCCAAGTGCTCCGGCGACTGCACCAAGGCCACCAAGGCTGACCTGAAGTTCTTCAAGGTCGCTGAGCAGGGTCTGAGCGGCGGCAAGTGGGCTGCTGAGAAGTTGCTCGAGAACAACCTCAACTGGGACATCACGATCCCCGGTGACGTCGCCGCTGGCAACTACGTTCTCCGCCACGAGATCCTGGCCCTTCACTCCGCTGGCCAGGAGAACGGCGCCCAGTTCTACCCCCAGTGCATCAACCTCGAGGTCACTGGCGGTGGCTCTGCCAACCCCACCGGTGTTGCCGGCACCAGCCTCTACACCGCCAAGGACGCCGGTGTCATCTTCGACATCTACAGGTAAATATCAACTCAGCCTTTGAATATGTGAATACTATGCTAACGCCTACGACAGCGGCAAGACCGACTACTCCATCCCCGGCCCCGCCGTCTACTCCGCCAAGAAGCGCCGCAGCCACGCTCGCGACATGACCATTGTCAACTAAATGGTTTCTCAACAACAACAGCATCAAAAAGCGCACCGGTGCGTTGTGTGGGAGAGAAGTTCACCGCAAAGACAGACGGCAGGCCTGTCGGATTGCGATCCATTGAGGAGTTGAGTTCCCTGGAGGGAATGCTTCGAATGTCCTCACGATCTGCGCTTTGCATGATCGTGTGGACTTTTTCATATTCACTGTACATCCGTTCGCCTCGACGATCTTTCCTAGGCGCTTTTTGACCTGGAAATGAGCTTCGGCTGGAGGCAACCCGTTTTACAAAGCATCGTCAGTGTATATACAGTCTTAGATGCATCAATTTGAAATGCTCTGACCCCACCTGTGTTGTTCATTCTCTTGAAACTACTGCAATCTTGATGGCGCAAAGGGAGATTTTTTAGTGTCTCGGCGATGGTCCCGATTTCCCGGCCGGTGAGTTGTCACCCGGCATTTGTATCAATGGAAATGAAATCCCGACATGCAATTTATGAGCTTCGGGATTAGTTGCTAGAAAGCTTGGAACTTGGCCATACTGCGCCAGTGCATGTTTTAACCCGAGTCGGCGGCAGGCAAACACAAACCAGTCATTCGATGCGTCAAGACCGTGTAAAAACTCATCTCCTGGCATCTTTCCTGTTTGTCGTCCATCCGTTTTCCCCTGAGACCCAGTCACAAGGGAGGGGGGAAAAGCTGCCCAATTTCCATGAAACCGCAAAAAAACGACTGGCGCGCAAGCTGGCGTTCCTGTTACAACATCAGCTTCATCCCGGTATTCCACGTTGAACGGGTCTCCACTGGCGTATAGAGATCTTGCTATTGGTGAGCAGGTGGAACTGTAAGGCTTGGCGCGCCGATCGCGCATTGCTTTTGAAGCGTCTGCACGTAATCGATTTTGACCGGGATGATGCAGGCAGTTGAAATGCCGGAGGGGCACGGCGCAGCGGATGACTTGTTCACAGCCACAGCTCACGCTCTGAGGAGATTCATGCGATGGTGATTATCGCGCGGAGTTTTTCTAGTAAGCGTTAAACATATGAAGTACGCGAAACTGGCCGCATTTAACAGTAGGTCAACTTGTCAAATTGAAGCTTGGCGGGACGGCGATAGCACGATCAAGGCTCCCACGTCCCACCGAATGCTCGGTCATTGTTCCCAACACAATGTCTCATAGTTCCGTTTACAGTATTGCGAGAAGAGTGCTAGTAGGGAACACATTTGTCGGGTTGCTGTGACTAAATCACCCACTAACAGTCGGACAGTCATCGAGAGTCGAACTAAGAGTTGCAATAATCTAGATTAATTGACCAAGTTGGCTGGGCGTCCTTTGTCTAATCTCCTCGGGCCGATGTTTTCAAGTACCAACTATGACGTCCCTTCCGCAATCACTGGACCGAACAACCTAGAATTTCCGCGAGAGGGCGGGTTGTTAAGTAAGACCCATAAAGAATAAGATTAAGAGTGGTGGTGTCGCTATCATAGTTCCATCCACCTACAATCACTGACGAGTAGACGCTTGATCAGGGAAACCCCAGTGCCCGTTGAATGAGACTCGGGATATCTACGGAAGAATCAAGAGACCAGCTGAACAGAATGTCAAATTGTCGAGATGTGATATGTTACAAGTTCCAACACTGACTTTTCATTTCCTAAATCACCCTAGGAAAAACTTGATAGCAGAATCTAGGTGCTTAGACTAGGCCTTGAGACACAATGTCTACGTGAACGAATGAGATTGATTTCAGCATGTATGTCTGTTAATCGTTGCACCATGACATCTTGACAGTGAACCATAAAGCGTCTTGTTGTTGATCCAGGCCATGGAAGGACACTGATAGGCGGGTCTGAGATGTGCTGTGCCCGGAACGTCACGGAGATGAAAAGACAGCCACAGCGGAGACTTTTCCGAGCATGTCGCAAGAGAAGAGGAGACAGGTGGATGTATCTAATCTAGCAATTCCATGTTGTTGAGTTGCCGGGTAAGGTACCCATTTGACTAGTTAACAGCAAGTATTTTCAGATGTATTCGTTTTCTGTCACCCAACCTGAAGTCAGGAACACAGCAAAAGCTCAGCCACTACAAGCGTTTGTGCCTTTCAGAAAGGTAGTAACTAAACATTCACTAGTCTCCCACATAACTGTTTGAAGGAATGAGATTATAGTTAGCCAATGTTACTGTCCAAATTGGAAGGTAAATGTAGGAGCGGTGACCGCCTGATAGTAAGATTGTTGTTATCAATATTTCACTTATTCAATTCCATTGGGTAGGTTCTTACATTCTATGCATGAAAGGATAAGTAATGGAGAAACTACCGTTGACTATGACTTCTACACTCCAATGACTGGGATGTCGGGCGGGATATCGGGAGCTTCAATCACAGTTGTTTGACCATAACCGATGGACAATATGCAAAAAGATCAAAAGCAAGACATTGGTGTGAAAATTGCCAACAGGAAAGCCAGTGTTCAAGTTTGAATGACTGACGCTAGCCGAGATACGTTTACCGTCTTCATGTCTCACCCTCAGAGCAAGACAATAGAGGAACGACCTTGGCAGCTTGGATCGGCTACGTGTAATGTATCACAAAGTCAGACGCGCTGACGCGAAAGTTGACTTAAAGTCATGAAGATCTGCCGCGTGCGCAAAATCTGTTCTTTGTTCTTCACATTCTTGTTACACGAAACAGACTGTCCAAATGCCACCATGGGTTTCTCTTACGACCAGTGCCGCCAAATTCCAGATCCTCTTGAGCCATATAGTGATATTTCAGGACTAGGGGTAAGAACACAATCAGCAAAAACTGAACATGAAAACTTCAGCGTCAAAACTCACAAGTGTACTCTAGGTCGTGCTTGGATTCGTCATCAGCGCGTGGCTGACCGTCTTGATTCTCGTTGCGTACTACATCTTCGCTTTCGATCCCCAAGCAGATCCTTTCGGGGAAAGCCTCGACCAAAGCAACCCGACATCTTCGTACAGCCCGAACCCTCTCGATGTGCTACTGGTTAAGTATGCACGATATGTACGCATGCGCAGCAGTTTCAATGGAGATCTAGTTCACAAAGCGTTTCAGAAGGTTAGTTTTGCCCGCCCAAGATCCACCTTTCCGGCTCAAGTTCTCGAGGTGATCCTAAGTGCGTGCTCACACGTTTCAAGTGCATTCTATCCCTTGCAGACTCCCAGTTGATCACAGGTATCTCAATCCTTGTGAGCGGTTACTGGTCTCTGAAACACAAGGAAGGCCTAAGCGCATATCATTGGAAAATGGTATTATCTCTAGCTTGGTTCTCAAGCGTAACCCATCTTTCAGCCCTCACATTTTTAAGAAGCTACCTTTCGAAACATCCAATAGGGCGTACGTGTCGTCTTATACTAATGCTCTTCCTCCTCATTCTCCTCTTTGTTGGGCTCATTCCCACTGGCCACTTCGAATTCCTCGGCGATGTGATTCAGTTCTCCCGATCTATTGACTTGGGACAAGCTTTATACCCTCAAAGTTGCGATGACTTTGAGACAAAAGAAGCTCAATTTTACTTGACTGGCAATGCCTGGGGTTCGAGAAGGTTGAAATCGGAATTGCTCGAGATTGGCGCGATTGGTCCTAAGACCTGTACCATGTCAGGCAAACCACTGTTGCATCCTAACGTCTCGTTCGACAACCTCGATTCTACCGAGATGAGATATGTTTGGGTCACTAAGGATATCACGTATTCTTTTGGTGGGCTTGAAGAAGATCATGGAGAAGTTGGCATGCTTTATCGATCACCAGCTGCATGTTTCTTTAAGGGCAGCATGCAGAAGTCAAGCCACGCATATGTGTCTATGATTTCTTCCCTACTGCTCCTGGCATATGGTTACCTTATCAGATCCATCAAGCTGTTTGAGGGTCCCACTAGACTCATTTCCCACCAGGTTCAGGATGGGCTTGATCATGGATACGCGGCCTTGATGGCCAAATGGAGACGGAAGCTAGAAAAGGTCAAGTCTAGGAGCGCACGAATCTCGATATTGATTTTGCTCCCCTTTCAAGCTTCATTATACTGTACCTTGAGGTTGTTTCTGCACCTCTATACTTCTATGTTCGCCGAGGTAAGCTTCCAATATCTGTACCGTAACGGATCTGGAGCCATTCTAACGAGTCACATTACTTCAACAGGTCTTTTCTGTGCTCTTATCTGCTACATGGGGCACTCTGACTATCAACGCAGACAAGAAACTCGTTGATACCGACGATTTCGATGAAAATGAGTGGACTTTTGGACAAGTCCTTCCTCTCGTTCTACTACTATCATCATTACCACCCATATTGGAGCTGCTATTCATTTGGCTCCTTCCCAACATGGACACCAAATACCTTCTAAGCCCTACTTTCGACATTCTCAATTTTCCTGCGTCTCGACCACGTCAGTAAAAACCCAACTTTAGCTACATTGAAAACTTACTCACTTTGGAAAAGTTCATCTAGAGAGCACTCACAGACCTACTGTTATTGCTCCCGAAGCACTTTTACATGTTCAGCACCCAAACGGTGCAGTCGCGCAATCAAACGACTTGGAACTTCAACGGGTATCATCATCACCCCTCCAAACGTCAAGTAACGGGGCAACAACAAGTACGCTTAATCTATGTATATCATGTCTCGGGTGATATAAACAACTTGAGGATCGCAGCTGACTCTGGTAATTCGTAAAGCAGTCCCGAGCTTCCCGTTGACACTCTCCCAGCCAAGAAATGAATTAAATGGCATAGCCAGCGCTAGAGAAACTCAAGAAAGACTCAAGAACGAAACAGAAATTTTGCTTCTGGAGAGCTCTTCTGCTTACGAGAAAGTCTGGGGCATGTCTTTGATTATCATCTTGAGCGGGCCATTCATCATAGTTACGCTTTTACTTCTTCCGGCAACCCGATTACTAGTGTCAACTGCATTGAGCTTGAGGCGGCCCTACAACTTGAACCATTTAGTGGCTGCAGCAAAGACACTTGCTGCGTCGCCTTGGTTTGTTCATTCGTATATTTATTTCCGGATTCACATCATGCGCTTTCCTGTTTCTATGAAACGAAAGATGTGGAACATGTTTGTAGTTTTAGGAATCACGGTTGCGGCTGTTCTTTTTGGTCTGGCCATGGCAGCTTCAAGTGACACGATAACAAGTCCAGTACTGGTATCATGTCTCTCATTGCAGCTAGTTGTGGCGTTCTAGGACGTGTGGTGCCTGGCCAGAAACTCTCGTCCGTGAAGAATAACGGATTTCAATTTAGTTTGCAAATGTCTTGTTATGGCTTGTAACTTCACCCGTATCTCTATAAACTTTCAGGTTGACCACGTACACTGGGGTGATGTCTGGTACTGTATGGCAACATAAGCTTTGACACATGCAACTACAACTTGCGAATAGAACGGCGTTTGTGCGATCCGTCCATGTTTGTATTCTAAGTAAGCCATTTGGAAATCGTAAACGTTCATAGACGACTGCGAATGAACCAGCTTGTTTGAATTGCATAGTCTCGCATCTTTGCTTACATGTACGCAACGTCATTTCAACGTATCATATTTCTTCTTATGCACTTGTTGTGACTCTGTGTAGTCCAGCAGCTATCCGTAAAAGCTCGTGATATCTATCAATTTCTGGAGAAAATGGATTCCACTTCTGCGAGTCTGCGAGTGAAATCAAACAATTCATATCGATCTCTAATACTGCTTGCTCGTTAGTTGGAAACCCAACAAAGAGGAACGTGTCACTTACTTGAGAACTCGTCCGATTCGAGCATGGATTCCTGCAGGAGCAACGAGAAGCTATCGTCAATGTTACGGGGGCAGAGGCTGAGAAACATGAATGTCATGGGCAGATGAAAGTCCCGGCACGGAAATGTCTTTGCAAGATTCATCGCCCGCAAAACATCTCTCTCTTCCATTCTTCTTGATGCCGAGCTGACTTCTGCTCTCAGGACGAGCAAAGCCCCGCACCATGTCGCTGGAAGATCGCGATACCAGATGGAAGGGTAGAGGCTGACGAGCCCTTCCTCGTGAAGCTTTTGCATGGTAACTTGGGCGCAGTACTTCGGGTCCAAGGGCAGTCTTCCTTGCGAGAGGTACTCGCCGAAATAAGCATGGCCGTTCCTCCACTTGTGCAGAATCTTGAGTCCGTCTCCATCAGCAGGCAGCACCGAGTAACTCTCAAAGGCCTTGATGGCCAAGTGGTCTCGGATGATAGTGCCCCTTTGGAACTGAGTCGTATCCACCACCAACAGCGACAAATCCTCGAGACGTTCACCCAGATAGTGTCGGTACACGGCGTAGTGAAGTGCAAAGAGCAGCGAGCTCGTCCACGAAACGAGGTTGGAGTCGAACTTGAGCATGCAGAGGAGGTGGTCTTCGAGCTTCTGCGCGATGAGACTCGGAGAGAAGTCCTCGGAGTAGGCGAACAAGTCTTGATTTCTGTCGCTGGCGTTGTTGAGCCAGGCTCGCGAGCAGACTTCGGTGACGCTGGTCGCGCCGGCGCTTTGCGGACTCGTGACCCTGAAGAGGTAGCGAGGTATGTTGTCGACGCATTGCTTCAGGTCTTCATGCTGAGGGAATGCGTGAGGCGGGATCGTATCTGGCTTGAAAAGAATCGGGCCGTCGTCGTTCTGAGAGTCCGGAGCCATTTTCAACGACCTCGACTGAGGTGGGATGAGGTTGAAGTTTGATACAGAGTCGGGCCTGTGTGGTTTAGAGTTCGGATCGATCGGTAAATCGCCGGTGGGATGCCGTTGAATAAGCTTTGCATGGTCACTGACATTTGCTCGGACTGGAGTTGAAGTTGGGATGAAGCTCTTGTCAATTCAGCTTCACATATACATGGTTGCGTGGTGGAATCTCTTGATGGCAGTGAAGTAAGACCGTAGAGTTCCTTCCAATTTCGAGTATCAGAAGTCATTGAGCAGAAATCAAGACTGCACGTATTCAACCAAATCTGCTTTCAAAGCTGTCTTTCTTTCCCCTTTGTGATAAAACAAATCAACAACAATAGCCTGGATGTTGCCGGTTGCATGATGAGAAGCAATTAAGATTACTCGTTGAATAGAGTTTTGAGTATTGTGATCGACCGCTAACGCCGGGATTTGCTCTGAGGCTCAATGAGTTTGTCTTCTGATTTAGCAACTCCAGGATTTCCTGGCATGAGGTTTGGAGTTATCAACCCAATCAGCGCAAAGCTATTTTCATATCTCCCCGATGAGGCCGGCCATCACATGTATCACAATTTCCTATCTCTCATGGTAGATCTCGAAGGAATTCATTTGAGCAGAGCGAGGGACATCCTTCAAGTGCCTTTACCAATGTCTCAACTCTCAAAGAGAACTACATCCAAACTGACTCATTTTTACGGCTGTGTCCCGAAATTACGGGCGCAAGTACGCAAGTAATGAAGATCCGCAATCTTGCTCATCGCCATGATATCGATCTCTCGCCGAAAATGATATAGTTCAAGCTTTCGAACTATTGAAAGTTCCCCGCCGGCGATCGAAGCTCCATGCACGTAATTGGACTTTTAGAGATCAGCATCGCGGGGAGCCCGTGTGCCCGTCTGTCGGTATCCTCAGCGCCCCAAGCGGCGGTGACACGATTCAAGCTCGAGTCCAGAAGCAACTAAGATCAGCCCCGCGGTAAATTACTCGCATATTTCTCTGTCCCAGTGCAGTGGTTTGAGACTTTGAGAGCCAAAACGCACGCTGCTGAAAACTTCACAACCGAATTCACGATGCGATGACATATGGAATCAGTAATGGGTGCGCCGACTTTTCACCCGACCCGCGGCCGGCTGGTCATCTGTCAGTTCAGATTTTATCACATCGTTGATTTGGTAAACCCCGCTCTCAACTGCGGGCTCCTCCGTTCCGTCACACCACCCCCGGTTCCAAGATCCCTCGATAATGTGGCTGGATTATTCCTCCGCTCTTGATCCCCCCCTGCCTCTGCCCCTATTGGCGGAAGAGTGTTTGCCGCCAATCTCACCCTCAAGGCTGATGATTTCGCCCCGGAAGACTCGCACGTCGATGAGCATTCTGTAGTCACCCAAGATCAACCGCGTGACGATGGCATATGCGGACGAGACGTTAGCAATCTTTAGTAATTGAGGTTCTGCATCGGCATATGAACGGCAATGCATATTTGGTGGTCAAAGTAACACACCCTTTTCGACTCGCATCAAGCCATGATTGTTGGTTTAATTGCACCAGATGCTAATCTCCAGCTCACCTCATCGCGCCTCGACGGCCTCCGCGTCCTCGATTAGAGGCGGAAATAGAGACGAAAGGACTCTAGAAGCAACCCACCGAACAGTCCCACTGACCAGTGCCGCGTCCATGTGACCACCATCAAAATGCTTCGAACTTGAAAATTCGATAGCGGTTTTCCCAGTCGCCCAAAGAGATCGTCGCCTGCAGAGAAGCCAAAGTGGCTGGATAGCGCGACGAGCTTTTCCTCGACCGGCGAGGGACCCGTTAGTTTCTCCGGGGAAGAGAGGCCAAGGACTGGCACTAGAAGGCATAAGCTCATTCCCCCAGGCGGATGAGTTGCTTCGCGTCCGTTGTGGCCAAGCCGCGCCGGTCATTTCTCTTCTTTTTCTGTCACTTGTCGACTTCGGACTCGCACTAAAAACACCTCACACACACACACACACATCCCACGCCAGGAGAGAGGCTCGGCCGACTGCGCAGCGGACAATTGCGCTTATCCGGAGACGACACGTCCTTCGGGCAGGCATCTCCGGCACGGAGCGACACCAACAAAAGAACACAACGCCAGTTCCTTTCCGTTGCGTCACAGGGTGACGAGCCTTTTCTCGCCTATCGTCTGGTACGGTGCCGGTGCATGTTCCGTCCGTACGACCTCGGTTGCTCGGTGCCGTCGAAAATGGAGCGAGGGAAAGGGAAAAAAAGGGCTGTGATATATGGTCAATTATAGGTGTAATTTGCGTCGTGAGAGGTCCTCTTCTTTCGCGTGGCGTCAGAGAAACTAGCAGAGAGAGCCACTTTCTGGGACTTCCCGCAGAGCCCATCAATTTCCGTTCCAACAACCCAGCCCATACGTATCCGTACTCCTGGAATCTCGCGAAACCGAAACATCATCGTGGGCCTGGCCGGCCTGGAGGGTTTTTTTTTTCTCTTCGCGCCCGATTTCTCCACCGCGTATTCCGCTTAGGTGCTAGGGTGTTTTCCCACACGTGGTTGGAGTTCGGAGGTCTCCAGTCGGGCCTCCTCGCTGATCTCCTGAGGTCCCGGTCGCCGAAGAAAACAACTTTTTTCGACAACGTTTAGCTTTTGCTTTTCTGGCTCAGACAAAACGTGGTTTCTGCCCGGCTGGCCTACGCGATGTTTGCTGTTGACAGCTCGACCCATACATGTTGCAACCTGGGGCTTTGCGTTCTCCTCTCGAGGAGTCGCAACGAGTTGCAACGTGACCCTTTCCACGATTCATACCTGAGCCGCCAAGATCACCTGGGAATGGCCGAGCCCTCCCGCATCCGTCGTGAGGCCCGCTTTGGACGGCAGGCGGCGATATTGAACTTATATGAAATATTGCTACCGCGCGGGCACTTTCGGGCCTCCGATCGGGGCCAGAACACTACCGGTTCTGCGCATCAGGGGCCAATGACCAAGGAAGACCGAAGTAAAAATCGTACGGAAGAGGAAAAAAGCAATAAACAAATGGAATGACAACGAACGAAAAACTCCCGAGCGTTCTCCTCTTTTCCCATTGTCCTGATACTCGGGGGGGAGCCACTAGCCTTAGGGCGATAACAGACACATGTCAGAGGAATAAATGTCCGACCCCCCGCTTGAACCGGCGTCAATGTTTGAACATTCGGCCGAATCATGGGCCACAAACACGACACGAACCAACGAGAAGGGGGCCCGGAGGCAACGTTCGGATTTGGAAGAAACACGTCAACCACAAGACGTAAGTTGTAACGGTCGGCCGGTCTTGGATAGAAACTCGCAGATCGAACAAGCAAACATCATAAAAGTCGGAGAAGGGGGTGTTTCTGATTGGCACCTCGGACTCGATTGGCGCGGGTTTGCCGGGGAGCACTCGTGCCCCCTCCCCTGGCTGCAAAGTTCGGTCACATCAAAAGTGTCAAAAAAGAAAGCGTAGGATGGGACGGCACGCGGACAGCTGACAGCCCGCCGGGAAAGAAGCGAAGATAGACGAAAAGGAACGGTGCCGGACGGCAACGACGGCGGACGACCAAAAACACGACACGAACCTGCTTCGCCTTGCGCCTTGTCCGACGGTGACGGTCGCAACATTGCGACGCTGGCACCCGTCGTCAGCCCAATACAAGCCGGAGCGGCTTCTGGAACACTGAAGGGGCGTGTTCACGGTTCGTCTCTGCTGGATTTTCTTGCACAATTCCACGTGGCCGCACGGAGGATTCAGGTTAGTATAGACCCGGGATGTGGGAAATGGGAAAAAACTTGTGCCATGGATTGGAGGAATAAGTCAGCCCCCTATACCGGGGTTATAGCGAGAGGGAAAAGGTAGCCCGGTGCAACCCAACGTTGTGACTTTTACGGATGCGCCACACTTGTTGGAATTGATGGGAAGTTCAAAGTCTGTCCTGTCCTGGTTCATGTTCATATCAACCAACCACCCTGGCCTGGCCTCCCGAAATCGCGGCAAGAATGATGAAAGCCCCCATGTCCATCTAGCCATATCTCGTCGCTCTTTTCGCCCCCCTCCCCTCCCTCTCCCGATCCCATGCCCGGATTGACGATGCACTTACGTGCAGTCTGGGCACACCAACCAAGTGATGCCACTGGCGGGGATGGAGTCGAGGATCGTGTGCACTTTCTCGCGGAAGCCAGCCGTACACCACATATAGAGGCTGCAAGGTTGGTCACGCACCCACAGGAGGCCGCGCCAGAGCCCAATCCCGTTACTCAGTTTAGAAGCCGTACGGGTCGGTGGACTCGAGAGAAACGATCTGCCGGGATACGGAGGTGGGTGGACCAGCTGCGCTCCCCGGGACATGGATCGCATGTCTCATCTATATCGTCCAACATGAGTCGACAGTCCTCCCGGAAATCCAGGTAAAAGCGGGGAGTCGATGGCATCGCTGGGCGGACCAAGACTCCAGAAATGGTGACGCCAAGCCCATCCGCTTGAAACCACAAGTCAAACAATTCCTCCTTGCTAGCTGTGAGGAGTTGAGCGCTCGCGCACGCTCTGCTGGTGATGGCCTTTTTGGTGTGGTGTTGTGGATGTGGGCAGAAACGCTCTCAAGACTCTGGAGCTCTGCACAGCCCGTTTGCTTCCCCAGATAGAAGCTCTTGACTCGGGTTCGACGGTGACCATTGCTAGTCATGGAGGATGAGGAACAGAACGACAATCGGTCGCTCCCTGTAACAGTCAGGTTTCACCGAGTAGCACCACCGCCTCTTCTCGTCCAGCACCTCGTGTAGGACAAGCCTCAATCTGTGTCTCTACCGTATCGCCGTACGGATACATGATGTATGTGCCAACGCCGTTCGGTGGCTGCGCCATTCGCACAACACGCAGTGCAGGGCTATCATCAGTGGATTGAGTACTTCCGCCGCAGCGTAGCATGGAGTTGTACGGATAGTGGCACACACCTGCCCGACTGGTGCCTCGCCGTCCGAGGAAGACGAGAAGAAGGTGTGGTTCAGCCCATCGAGGTGACCGCATAAGCGTCCTTGGCAACAGACACCACGACCAGACCCGACGAGAACAAAGTACCGTTCGTGTGTTTCCCACGCCTGTCCTGTACTTGACCGGGAAGCACCTTCACCCATATGGCCAATCACCCGATGGCGCTGGCGTGTGTTGGTGGAGCAAGACGCAGACTAATGTCTGTGACCCCGGCGACTTCATATATTTCCAGGAGTCGTCGCCTTCGCGGGGTCCCGCCAAGTCTAGAATCTCATGTTGGAAGAAGAGGAACTTGGGTCTCTCTTCTGCTTGCCTGCCCTGCTTTTGCTGTGCTTGTTCTTTTCTTGTCTCTGCCTTTGCCTCGCGCGTGTGTGCTGTTGGGGCTTGTCCTTGTGGTTGCTGGACTAGACTCAACTGGGTTTCCCTTCCCTTCTTCGCATATTGCCGCTGTGCCGCACTCCCACTTTCTCCTCATCTCTCTTCCTGCAAGCCGCAGTCAATCTAGTCACTCATTTACAATTACCCTTTTTTGCCTTTCTACTTCCCTGTTTCCCGCGCCTGGTCGCTTTTGCATTCTTTTGGTTCGTCTTTTGTTTCGCTCTCTCGATTTTTCGATTTCTACTACGGCCGGCCATCACCCACTACCTACTTTCGTACGGATACTCCAGTCGCCTCTTATTCACTCCCTCGACTCGACTGTCCGTGTGTGCCGTGCCGTGCCGTGCCGTGCCGTGCGTTGCGTCTGAATCGATAACTCGACAACAACACCGACCCCATTCGATAGAGGCTCGCGCCCGGCCCAGAATGTGACAATGAGTTTCGTAACGAGAGCCGACGACGATGAAGTCCACCCCTTCGTCAACCCGTTTGTTGAGATGAACGTTGGATTGTGGTGTCTATTTGCCGGCGCGACACTGTTTTTGGCCTTGAGGCTCTGGTGCAAGGTTACGAGGAGACACGGGCTGTGGTACGATGATTACATTCTTGTTGTGTCTTGGGTAAGTTCTGCTCTCAACCGCCATCCCGTCCCTCCCGTCCCGTCCATCCGCGCCACCATCTCACGGATGCAAACATGAACCATTGAAGGAATTCACTTATTTCTTTTTTTTCTGGTCGAACCAAACAACTAACTCCCGAATTAGTCGCTGTTGTTAGCAAACAACATTTTGATCGTCTACGAATTTGCGACGGGGTATGTACTGGAAGACTCGTCGCAATCATGGGACGACCGCATGCACATTCTTATCAACATCTCATCATGCGGCACGTTGATCGGACAAGCATGGACTAAGACGGCATTCGGAGTGACGTTGCTGCGCATGAGCAACCAGTGGCAGCGATGGATTCTTTGGTTCTGCATCGTCAGCATGAACGTTTACATGGTCGCCAAGGTCATCTTGCAATGGGCCAAGGTCTGCGGAAGTAAAAGTTACGAAGTTCCCTGGCGCCTCGACATCTGCCTCGAGAAGCAGTTCCGCGCCGACTTCAAGGAAGGTGGAAATGGTGAGTTTCTCATCCAGACATCATGAGACACATGACTGACGACGTGATCCAGTTTACAACATCATTATGGATTTCGTGTTCGCCAGCTTCCCTTGGCTTATCACCCGGTCGCTGGAGATGAGACGCGCCGAAAAGGTCGGCCTTTGCATCACGATGAGTTTGGGAATGATGTGAGTATCACTTCCCGCCGCTGCACTCACTTCACTGTCTGACATTTTCACAGCGTCGCCATCGTCGCAGCCATCAGAGTGAGCTGGAAGGACGAGGGTAACGACCGTGACGCGTGGTACATCTGTAAGCTGCTCCATAATCGTGCCGTGATCCGATCTCTGACTAACAACCTCCCCAGACCGAAATGGCCTGTCCCAAGTTTGGTAAGCAATTTGGCGAGATGAGATGTGCCCATCATGCACAAATATCCTAACCGTGCATATTTAGGTACTCCTCCGAAATCACCGGCACCATCATCGTCCAGTGCATCCCGATCCTGCGCCCGATCCTCCGCGAGATCCACACCTCCCTCACCTCCAAGAAGCTCGAGTCCACCGCCGACGGCCGCAGCACGACCTTCGGCAGCAAGATGAGCAGCGGCAAGCGCATCTCCGGCACCATCCACGGCGGCAACGGCCCCCCGTCCGCCGGCCTCGACAAGCAGGGCAACGAGCGCATCGCCCTCCGCGAGATCCCCGAAGAGCCCGCCGAATCGTGGAACTGGAAGGACCCCGCCAGCATCAAGTCCACCTCGCCCTCAGAAACCGACTTCAAGCCCCGACCCCCGACCGCCCCCTTACCCGACATGTGGCCGTTATCGGGCAGCGAAGGACCCGACCTGAGCAACGGCTCGCACTCCGGGAAGAGTTTGGATTTCGAGGACAGCGGACCGCGATCCGCCGTCTCTCACCTCGACGTCGACATCGAATCAGCGCCCGCGCAAGGGCTTTCGCCACCCCCGCCTCGCAGGTTTCCTTAGCAATGATTAGGGAATGGAAGATGAATTCAAGAGGCGGATATCGAGAACCAAAACTTCGCCCATCCGACGACGACGGAACATGAGCTCGACAGCTCCTTCACAGCAGCAGCAGAGGATGAAGCTTCGATTGAGAGAGAAACGTGTGCAACAAGAGAAAACCTCCACCGTCATTACCACCAACACATTCATACCCGCTACGATACCTTTGACAACCCACCCTTCCTTCGACCGACAAAAGGGAACTACGACAAATTCGCCTTTCACGTGAAGGCGAATGTGGTTCAGGGGCTACATACTAAACCCTCGACTCGGCTTTGCAAGCCAACATTCTCCTTTTTGTTGCTCACACACGTCTCAACACCCCCCTCGACGGCTCGTCGAGACTACCACTAGCCACATGGTTGTCATCATTTTTCGATGAAGCTGTCTTGGGGGGGAAACACGAAGCTCATCCGGATATGAGAACGCCGGAGTTGGTGGAGTTCACGGATGGGAAGGAAGGGGGGGGGTGTGGTTCTCGGTAGGGAAACGGGTCATTGGCGAATAAAAAGCCCTGTACATTATCACGCGTTGTTGTAGACAGCGGACATTGTGTGTATTTACTTTGAAGATTGGGCATCAACATTGGTCTTCCCAATCAGTACATAGTTAATTTTCCAGTCCATTCGTTGCTGGAACATTTTGTTTACATTCACGTTCATCGCAAATCGCGACTGGAGGGTCCCCAAGTTGCTGCTGAACTGAGCTTCTATGTACCCCGTACTTCTCCATTCGCGGTCTCCCACATGAGGCTGAGCACAACGTTGAAACAACGCCCGAAGGCGATCCGTTGACTGGTGTGACGCAACATGTCAAATCGAGTTGACATGTACCCCGGTCCCGGTTGCGCTCAGGGTTGAGACCTGTAGATCTGTGACAGGAGTGGCTTGTGACATCAAGAATCCTCCGAGTCGAGTTGGTTGTCGATCAGAAGCAAAAGAGAAGAAAAAAGCCGCGCCAATGCCAGCTCGTTATCGGGTAGCTTTCTCGACCACAGAATTCCCAAAACTTGACATGTGTGAGATGGACGCTGTCACTGTTCGGACGAGACATGATGAAATAAATGGTCGTTCATTTCCAGAGCAATTCGCCGTTCCGTTGGTCGTCGTTTCACGGTACCCCCGTACGAACCTGTCATTTGTCAAGTTCGGGAAATTTGCCAATTGTCTCACCAGGGACTTGGTTTTTGCGGATCCCCTCCCCCGTCCATCCATCGGTCTGGGTTCCCTCCTACCTCACCGAGAAGGAATTACGAGAACGAATGCACCATACGTGATGATCAGATGCCATGGATGTTGATAGACGATAACGAAATATGATACAAAACAGGAAGCTCTTCTCCGCTGGATATTCACATCGTCTCAGTGTGGTTGACGTCTGACGTCCGCGCTGGAGTTGCATCACAGATGTCATTGAGACGCCCATTTCGCACGCGGCCCGAATCGGGTAACACGATGCCGTTGGAATTAGCTCGGACGGGGTCTCACGAACTCGACTGCTCCATCAGAACTTTGACAGTTCGCGCCGGCATGAATGAGAATAGAACCCGGGCGGATACACACATACATACCCCATCGTGCACGCGCGCGCCCGCTTCCCGTGATGTTTGCGCGAACGTCCACCCAAGCATTGATCCGCGGGGATATTCATAAGATATTGCGTATAACCCGGTCAGCGCTGATCCGCCTAAGGTTTGATCGCCGGTATAAGCTTGTTGAGCTCCGCGTTTTGTCATGCGTGCATTTTGTTCATATTTGACACATTTATCGCTTCTTCCTGACCAGGGGTAGGGAACTTCTACAAGCTCAATACCATTTTGCATTCGTTGTACAGTTCCTCAGAAAGAATGTCTTCCGGTTTCGTCGAGTTCATCCCCCCCAGTGCTTCGTCCACCCATTTCTCAAATTGCCGGTTTTCTGGCCAAAGAAAGTGACGGCTTCTCCATCTCAAATCCTGGATTTCGGACAGAGACGTTTCTTTTGAGGCTTTGTCTCTGAACCTCCGATCCCCTTTCCGAACCCGTTTCTTTGAGGCTTTGTTGATGTTCGATGTCGCCACATTGATAAGCTCCAAACGGACTCGATTGAAGTTTGCTGCTGTGTCCTGAAAGGAGCTAGCTGAAGCTACAAGTTGAGGACAAGGTGTCTTCATGTAGCTTTTGGCCTTTACCTCACTATGAAGGGAGCTATCTTCCCTTGTCACCTTGAACCACTTGCCACACGAGGGATTGAGACTACTCCTACGTCAGTGGTTCTCGATAGAATGGTACGTCGCTATTGTTGTGCACACTTACCACTGAATGTTACCACCGAATCTTCCCTCGCCGTGGGACCCACAGCCCGGACAGGAACTCCAGCCTGTGTCGTCTTGCGATCCTTTCATGCGAAATATCATGCACATGTTGATTTTCATTCCTGCCCTGAGTACCGCAGTCCAGGGCAACGAACGGTCCAGCTCGGTTCCTGTGGCCTCTTCTTCGAGGCCATACTCTCCATTGAGCACCTTACTGTAGCCCCTTCTTTCTTCGAAAAGATGCTGGATATCGGTTTCAAAATGCTACATATAGTAGAAGAGTCAGATCACATTGCGTCAGTCGATGACTTCTTTCAGTGAGTAGAGAACCTACTTTCCACGAGCGAATCCAGGGCAGCGGGATCTCCCACAACTGCCCCAAAGCGTCTTCGAATATGATAGGTTTCCCAAACGTCGGGTCGGGCCCAGCAAAATACCTGTGCCGGGTCTGGCAGTCCCGATTATCGGCAAGCAGCGAGAATAACTCAGTGACTCGCGCGCTGAGTTCTTCCAGACTTTTGGAGTTGGTTCTCACAGTTGATATGACGCAGCTGCTGCTCGATTCCTGCACCTTCATACTGTCGCCCATGGTGCAAAGCTCGCTCATCAAGTCTCGTGCTTGCTCCCTCTGGAGCAGCATCTGTTCTTCAAGGTCGTGTGACTGCTTCATCAGAAGGTCTGCGACTTGACTCATTCGCTCCGCCAATGTCCCATCGCTGACTTTGGCTGATTCGCTGCCAAATACCAAGACAATTAATCTTAGCGAAGTCCGAAAGATTTCATCCTCGACGGGGTAAAGAGAAAGGAAGCCTTACTGAGCACGAAGAAGGATGAGAAGCGAAAGCTGACGTGTACTTGAAGCGAGATTATTCTGCAGATTTCCGAGTCTCTCAGTCTCCCGAAATTTGAACTCGACCTTTTTCAACCCGGTCCGGATGATATTGCTGGACTTCTGCCCGGTGTCCCCGAGATCTCTCTCATAGCGTGCGCGGAAGTGGGCCAAGGCCTCTCGCATGTCGTCCGCACAACTGTTGACAGTTTGCTTGATGATGGCGTCGAGGTCGGACATCCATTCTGTGTGCTCACGCTCTTGAATAGCGGCAATGACCTACAATTGACAGATGACTTCTTAGCACATCGTCCACCTCGTGACCTTCACTTTCCAATCTTGATCGTCCAATGCCTCGCTTCTAGTACTGAAGGTAGGCTGTCTCACTTTGATCAGAATCTGCACAAACGAGTCGACGTTCGTCTTCAGGGCTTGGTACGTCTTCGCACTTCCCTGGCTGCTGCCGACTGCCTTCCCCAACGCCATGCCGATCTGGCATAGGGTGAGGATGTCGCCCAAACTCCCGAACGTGAATGCAGCGGACATCGCGATGCCACCTATGGACGGATACCGAGACCAGCGAGTGTTTTCTGGTCGAATCGGTTTGCGTAGTGGCTCGGTGTCTGTCACGAGAGACGGGGTTGTGGTCGAGATTGGGCATCAAAACTGCGGGGTCAGACTCCCGGCGAAAACCGCCTTGCCCAAAACGAGGCGACCACTCATGAAGCTCATTCCTCTGGCGGGTGTTTAATGTGAGCGGCACAGCCACAGACGTGCAGATGTATCTCATCCCTTTGACCCAGAGAGTGTGACTCGTTTTTCCTTTTTAAGTAAGCAGAAGAACATAACAAGAGCCAACAGGATCTCTTTCATCTTGAGAGACTCTCCGAAATAAGTAGGAAACTTCGCTGATATGCGTTTTGATTCATCTAGAGAGAAAAGTACACTCCTAGGGTCAAAAATGATTAATTACATTTTGCTGCGCAGTGTGATGTTGATGTGTACAGGTCTGCCCTCCTAAGGTGACAGCGAAGAACCTTAATAAGGAGAGGACCTCAGAGAAACAGGTCAGATCTAATGTCTGCTTAACTGTAATAAGCATAAATATCTCTCATCTTGATTAAAGAATTTTAAAGGATTGACTCCTTGCCTAGCTAGCTCACTTAGCCGCCTTTAATAAACAGACAAGTATACATATAGTCCTTAAAGCCCCTCTCCTTCTTAAAGCTTCTCGCTCCCACTTTACAAGCAGGTAAACTTCTACTGCATATCTACAGTAGTCTAAAAGTCTATAAAGAAAACTCTTGAGAATATCAAATCAAGTATGTCCTATGTCTAGGTATTATGAATCTGAATAGGGGCAGAATAAGATCGATAAATTGGGTCACTTGATATATGAACGGCTTTGTCGAAGTACCAACCAGTTGTTATGGTGAACTCATGTCTTCTCTTACGTTGAAGGCCGGGCCCTCACCAAAACTTTATTTTCGCAACTGGCAATTAACTTAGTCTAAAAACTTAGTATCGCACGTTAGAAGCTCAGTAAGTTCAGGACGAGTTCACCTCCATTGGTACCTATAAAGTCGAAGCAGGTATCTCAGCAGGCGTAAGGATGAAACACTTCAATTTCGAGATGGAAACACAACGATAATTATGTAGATACAAGTCACAAGAAATTAAGGTAATCCAGCAATCCCTACCGCGTATACTCTCCCCGCCATAAAAGCTATACCATACATACATCCAACAACCAGTATTAAGATCAAGTACAAGCGTGTACACACAAAGAAAATGTTTGTTCTGAAAATGAGCGAAGGGGAAGTTCGTGAGGCCGATTGCTGACACAATCTTCAGTCGTCTGAAACGACATCGACATTCGAGAGTCGATTAACGTATGATAATTTCGGAAAATGAGTGTGTTGAGGAACATATGAGGAAGGAGAGGATGTCGAGCCTACATGTATCCTCGCGGGGCTCCGGACGACCCACCATGGCTTCCGGTATCGTAGGCCGAGTCGTATTCGACATGGCACTGATCGTACGACGGAAAGAACTCCGTCGGGACGGCCAGCTGGTCGAAGTTGAGATAGGCGGCGTTGCTGACGTCGAACTCGGGGAACCCAAAGTACCACGGCTCGCCAACGCCGCCGCCGGTCGAGCCGTTCTCCGCAACGTGCGCCGGCGACGCCGCCCTCGAGGTGCTCCTCCGGGCCGTTTCCGGGTCTTCCAGGGCGGCAGCCTGCGAGGGGGACGGGATGTTCTCGAAGATCTTGGCGCACCGCGCCGAGCTGTTCTGGATCCAAACCGCGAGCCTGCCCATGAGCCCGGCCCCGAGGTCCTCGAAGCAGCGCTCGATATCCTTTTCCAGCTCTCGCTGGATCAGGTTGGGCATTTCACGTCGCAGGAAAGCCTCATAGTTGCGCTTCAGCTCCTCTGATTCGGTCGCGCCAGATTTTCTATTGATGCTTGCCGGGTCGTCGTACCCTAATCCAAGGTCAACACCTGGACGCTTTCACAAGCTTTACTAATGGTATTGGCTAGGGAACACTTACAGGGACTTGGCAGCTTATTCACGTCAAGTTCTCCTGGAAACAAGGTACTGTAAATGTCGTACCACTTGGCCATGTCGTCCTGCTTGTTGGATTGCTTGCGTCCCCTCAGGCGCTTCTCAGTCTCTTGGTCCATCCCTGCGCTTGGGTCCATCTTGTGAGACTTCTTGTCGCGAAGTGGGCATGCGACAGCGGCCCTCGAGTGATCATCAAGTGCCTTTTCGCTCCCAAAAGTATCGAAGCATCTCTTGCAGGCGAAGAGTCGGTGGCGCCGGTACAAGTGTTCCCTTGGATCAGTTAGTTATCGTTATCAAATTTCATGAAAGGCTGTATGAACTCACTTCAGGCGATGAATCTCTGGCCAACCAGGGCCAAAGCAGCTCCGGTGATGCTTGTACTTGATAGGGTCGCGCTTGTAGTAAGGGCATGCGAATCGAGGACGGTTGTCATCTCCGTCGGTCTTGCTGCGTTTCTTGTTGCGATCTTGGTCGCGCTTGTCGTCATTCTCGGACTGCTCTTCTTCTTGGTCGTCTCCTCTGTTCTGTCTCTTCTGCCCAGGGTTCAATTTGCCAGAACTGGCCGCTCTCTTGACACCTCTCGACTTTGCAGGGGCAGAGCTCCCGGAACGTTCTCCGTCGTTGTCGAATGCTTCCTCGCCGGGACAGACGTGTTCGTCAAGCCACTCGCATATCTTAGCCATGAAGACTTTGATGAATGCCTTCTTACGGTAGGCTAGATAGTTGTCGATATACGACGGGGGCTCGGGGCTGGTTCTGTTGCGGCCAATCGCCGAGTCGGCGTCGGCTCGACTCCGCAATCCCTCAGTTACTCGGGATCGGCCGGATGATGTTTGATTTGACCTTTGAACTGCAAGTCAGATCAATTGATTTGAATCGAACAGGCTATAACAACGCACCTAGTCGTGGCTCGCAGAGCCTCGGTACCTCCCCCTTCGCGTTCGGCCCGAGGACGTGTGGATCCGTTGTTCTGTGTTCCCTATGCATATCAGTACCTGTCGCGACCTTTGATAAGACCCGTACTGACCGTAGATTGTCTCGCTGCAAGGCTTGGATTGGCTGTGTTGGAGGTCTTGGACTTGGACGATTTGGGGGAGGGGTCTTCGTGTTTCTTAGGCATGTCCGATGAACGGTTGCCCAGCTGGCTAATGTAAGGAGCCAACCGAATTTTCAAGATAAGAGAGTCGATGTAGGAGAAGGGTTTTCGTGGTTGTTGGAGACGAGTAGATCTAGACCAAGCAGAGGGATGTGATGCTTTGAGCGTTAGCATTCTTCTTCTCGAGTGCACGCTAGAGCTGCGGTTGGGACATGATGGTGCTCTTCTTGATATCGAAATGTGCTGCCTGGAGTAAAAGAGATGATCTGAGAATATGTCTAGAGACAGAAAAGAATAAGCCACGAAGTTGCGAACTCGGAATCTGCGTTGATGCTGATTTGGAAAAGAAAACAACAAGGCAGCAAAGGCGTCCAGCCTGCTTCATATACCTCTCGCATTCCGCCCGAGCTGACTTGCTGACGCTGACCTCCGACCCAGCCGGACCGGATTGCGCGCACGCATTTGCGAAAAACTCCCTTGAGAGCATCCACCGTGGAGGGGAAATCATGTCTCGAAACAGCCCGCCTCATTGCGCGATCCAATGGATGAGGCCGGAGGCAGAGGATGATAAGGCCATTGGACGCCCCGGATTCGTCATGGAGGGGGATGGAGATCAGATCTGGGGGGCAGCTGTCCGTCATGCCACGAAACGGTGATGTGCGCGCAATGTCGCGCATGATCAGCTGCATGGGAGCTCGCGAACGTGCTTCACGCGTTGAAGACTACCCGTTTGCGCGTTGCTCGTAAGGCCCTCACTTGAGCTGATGCCGTTGATATATATGAAGCTCATCCTGAAGTATCGGAACGCTGTTTTCGAGAGAAGAGGGACTCAATTGATGCCAACTTTGACCCAATTGAGAAATATCCTCACAGTAGAAGCGGATCTCGTCCATATCGTAAGTCTCCGCCGTCACCCAACCGGATACCTCAATTGAGTCTAACGGAAGCCAGATTTCGTGACACAAAACAAGAACGGTGCTCAATCGGGCGAGAGACCAGACGGTATCAATCGGACATCGCCGGGCGGTACCATTGACTCAATGGCTCTCGAATCAGAAGTCCCATCGATGGCTGTTTCCGGTGAAAGGTATGGACCACAGACTGCCACGTCTCGAGGAGAGGGGGGCCGAGAGGGGGGATCCTCGGTGATGGAGAGCGCGGGATGATGCGGGTGCTAACCCTCTCGCAGACAACCGGTACCGATGCCGGACGCCGTTATGCTGACGGAGTACCTATCCAGCAAGGAATCGAGCGTGGTAGAGACGTTGACAATCGTGGCTAGCGGCAGCAGTACGGTCACAGCGGCGACAGACCGCCTGCGGGAGAAGACGCAGCACGTCGACGCACTGTTGGTGCAGCTGAAGCAGGCTGAGAGGAGTGCCCGGTTGTGACGGCGACGTGGCACCTTCTCGTGGAAGTCTTCGATCTGTATAGCATTGTGTGTATTTCTCTTTCCTTTGTTCCTTGTTTGCTTGGGGAAACCGGCTGGGAAAAGTCGAGATGTTTGTGAGAAAGAGAAAACGACGTCGAGCAAGTCGCACAAGAAGTCCAATTAGAGTTTGGAGCGTGCACTGCCAACATTTTGGCCTTCTGTCCTGAAAATTCAGGGGGGTTTTGTACGTACCTTCCAGCACTGAAGTGTGTTAATTAATGACCATGTCCACCTGCCTTTTCAAGGCCTTCGCTTCGTTGCTGCACGTGGGATCCCCTGACTGCTGACGATCGTATTTCGAGGAATCGTTCGAGAATCTGAAACGACCGAAAGCGAAACGAGAGAATAAGCCGGGGAGCTTGGAGAGAAATCATCTCTTCTTTGATGACGGAGGCGCTGTGGATTCTGTGGAGGCTACCGCGGGTATCGTGCTTCGAAACATCCTAAGCCTCCGCAGCGTGATAGGGAGTGAATCATGAGAAGCCTCAACGATATTGAGTGACAACGTCTAATTATTGGATTATGTAGTAGATAAATATGTCTAAGGTAAGATATATACCCGCTGTTGGCGGCCGCTTCAGTTCACAGGCACGCCCACAAGCGCGCATAGCCCGTCGTAAGAGCCGCCAGCCACGAGGTTGCTACCCGTCCCATTCTGGAACGCAATGCGGTTCATCGTCTTCTCATCGTCGAGCTTGTACGCTGGCCATGGGCCATGGCAGTTGTAGTCGAGGAGGCCCGTCTTCGTGTTCTTGGCAAAAGCAGCCCAGGCGCCGCGGAGGTACTTGCCGACGGCCACTTCTTGGGCTGTGCTCTTGATCGCATCCTGGGGCACAGTGTTGAAAAGAATAGGAAGCTAAGCGATGTCAGCGGGAATGTCTCAGATCAAAAGTGGACGAGAAAAAGAAAGCGTCACGAACCTCAGCTGCGTGCCAGGCCCCGCTGGGAGGGGTGGTGGTAATGACAAGGTTGGGGAAGTCACCGAAGTAGCGGTATCTCCAGGTCGGGTGGCCGGCGGTGACGGCTCGTGCCGCTCTTCTTCCGGCCGGGCAGGTGAAGGCCACATTGTTAAGTCCGAGCCAGTACGTTTCGTTGGTGTCAGGGGACCCAAGCTTGAAAAGCCCGGCCTCGTTCTCCAGATTGCCAATGACATAACCGCCATCGGCGGACGTGCGCCCGCTGTAGTCGGCGAAAATCAGAGCGTCGTCCACGGTCGGCGCGAAAGAGAGTCCGTCTGCTGAGCCGAGTCCGGCATCCTTAGGCGACAGACCCTTGGAAATGATCTCTTCCGCGGTCTTGTTCATCATGCAGTCGGAGACGGTCTTGGGATCGGTCGTGTTGCCCCCACAACCGACGCCGGCAGTGATGTTGAACCACTTGTCGTTGACAGTGGCATTGGTAAACGTACCAAACCCGCCGGCAACACCACTCATCGGGATAAAGCCATTGACGATGGGGTCGGATGCGTAGGCGTATGAGTAGTAGTCAACCATTGAGCCGCCGGCCGACTGACCGAAGATGGTGATGCGCTGAGTGTCCCCTCCGAATTTGGCAATATTGTCGCGAACCCATTGAAGAGCCAGACGAACATCGAGGAGACCCAAGTTGGGGGCCGTGACCGGGTTTCCAGGAAACCCGAATACGTTGAGGCGGTAGCTACCGGGTTGATCAGTGTTAGATTTGAGTTCCCCTCAACCTCGAATTCCGTCGGAAACTTACTTCATGGACACCACCACCACGTCATTTAGGTCCGCGATGAACTTTCCGTTGTATGCGGGAGTTCGGGAGCTTCCTATGCTCGAGTCAGTATATACAGATTGCCGAACACATGAGATGAAAGCGTAATTACCTGTTGAAAAAGCGCCGCCGTGAATCCAAACCAGCACTGCCTTCTTGGCATCGCCGGTTTGTGGCTTGGTCCACACGTTCAGAGTCAAGCAGTCCTCACTTTGAGAGCCGGTGTCGGTGAGTGCCTTGAGAACCACGGCAGCTGATGCAGGAACACCGAGCTTCTTGATGGCATCGAGGCTGGTGCTGCTGCCGACTGGCTGCATGCATTGATGGCCCTGGTCAAAGCTTTGTTAGTCCCAAATGGATTCCAGGAGTGAAAATTCTGTAGGAAAATGCTCGGCACTTGAGTTTTCCTTGATGCCAAACTGCATTACTTACAAATGCTGAACCATTGATTGTCGAAGAGCCGGCATACTTGACAGGAGGCTGAAAGCGAAGGCTTCCGACGGGCGGCTGGGCGTACGGAATGCCCAGATACTCGGATACCTGGCCATGTCAGTTCCGGCCGTGGACGTAGTTAAGACCTATGCTCACCTGGTCCGCATCGGCAGCGGAATGTCCTTCAACCCGGCCGCTGGAGGTTTCTACACTCTCTCCGACGGTCCATCGGGCGAGGATAGGGTTGGCGGCGGCGAGACCGGAGGCGACGACCGCGACCCTCAGGACGTTGCTGATGGTGCTTTGGGCTCTCATGGTGGATATCGAAACTCGACCGAGTTGATTGAGACCAAAGACCTGGGGTCGGCGTGGTGGGACCGAGAGACCTGCGACGGGAGCGAAGGGCCTCAAAGCTGTAAGTCGCTAGGGTTGAGAGGAGAGCCGTGGTGATCTCTTAAATTTCGCAGAGATTGGGCCCTGTCTTTAATATGTCAACGAAGTTTGCTGATACCACGGTGGACCATGCTCGCCAAAGCAGCCATCCCCATCTCCCCGAGCCCTCACTTAGAGCCCGGTTCCGAGGAAGCGCGATGTCTCCCGCAATCGTCCCATTCTCTTGATGGATACCCCAGATAGCTAGCCCGCGCTCAGGTGGCCGTAATGAGGCTAGGCGGGCCATGCATGGGCCATTCACCTATTTCTTGCAGGGGACCCAGTCCTTACGAGTATCGTCAGCGGGCTGATGTGCGGATGACAGGGCAGTTCGTGGGATTCGTCGGTAGAGCCTCAGAGCCAACCGGCCGGGGGAGGACGGATTGTGGGTAAGTTCGCAAGAGTGTCCGAATTGGGGAGCCCTGTTTGCCCCTCTTAATTCTTAGCAATCCAACCTCGAGTCCACAATAGAACGAATTTTCGTTTCCCAGCCACGTGCGGTTAGACAAACATGTATTGCAGAGTGACAGACTTGCATGCGAGATGCAACTCGACCTTTCGTGGGGACCTGATACGAATCAACAGCTGGAATTGACAGTCGCCTGTGCAGCAGGCCAACTCCATCGCCTTGCATAGGGGTCCCAGCAGCGATGACCCCAGCGAACGGTGCGGGTGTAAAGCTAGTCGAGCGGGGTCGTCCGCCGGTGCGGCAGTGCGGCAGTGCTCTCGTGCCGCCGTATTGGGCCGTACTTCTCTCTCTTAGACCCTCCGGATAGTCGGTGAGTGATTGCGGTCGGTTGTGGTTGGTTAACTTCATCCTTCCACAACTCTTCTTTCACAATCTTCTAGACCATTCCCAAGAAGGGATGTATCGCGACGAAGAAGGTGAGTTGCCGATAGATCAACAGCGAGGGATGATCTCATCGAAATCCCGTACGTAAACCTCCGAGGCTGCCGTTTCCCGGCTAGGCTATGCAACCTCTACAGAGCCGGCGCTTCTTAGTTTAGCAAAAGAGCTGGCAACCTAACTCGACCCCGCCGGCATTGATGTCGTTTGACTTTAAGCATTCAAGGCTCTGGCTGCGCAGCAAAGCCAAAGAATCAGGATCGGGCGAGAGGGACGAATGCGGTAATGGCCCTTGCATTTGAGCGAGACCGAGCGTAAAATCACTCGCTTTTATCCAGGCACAGCTTGGCAAAAGGATGATGTCGTGAGGAATTGAGTTCCGTATTAGACCGGACGAGAGGCACAGCAGGGCTCGCCCGTAACACATTAGATGGCTGCGAGCCACTGAGGATCCTTCTAGTCATGAGATGCAGCTGATAGGGTTGACGAGATGTCAAGAAGATCGGCCACCCCCGACGAAATGGCCACGCGTTCATACCAAAAGGTGGTGACAGCCAATAGCCAGCAGAGTAAGTCGGCGTCCTCTCGTAGCTTAAGTCAACCAGATATACTCCATTGGCCGGCCTGGTTGGCAAACTCCTAAATTTGGATGACGTTTAGATCGACGAGCCGGTAACGTTGGCTAGTACAACGTCAGAGGTGAAGGTGTCTCCGCGGCTTTAGGCACCAGGCTAGACCATGTCCTTAAGCCGGGCGTGGAAAGTATGGCACATTCCAGGCGATAGGGTAAGATTCCGCGAATCATGGCGAGCGGGAATCCCCGTTTGGCAGTAAAGCTCGGGCTCGTGAAAGCTCGGATGCGGATCTTATGGCCATCCCACGGGCTGTCGTTTAGAGGGAAGCAAACTTGAGGGGTTAACCTCCATCCTTTGTGACGAGAAGGATGTGCCGTATTCATAAGGGCTGCATGGCCATTACGGCTGACCTAGCCGTACTGAAATCAAGGGCTTTCGCCAGCATCGTAGTCATGAATTTTTCTTGCGGCACCGATAGCATCAATGGCGGCTGTTGGCCCGCTTGAGCCGCCCTCGTCGTCCGAGGCCAGGATTGCAGCGAGTCGACAACCATGTTGGGTGGTCATCGAATCTCCGAATGACAAAGAACCTGGCCGCTTGATTAAAATAGCGTGTAAAGAACTGGCTCAATTCCACTGTAGCAGAGATGAACTAATTCGCTCGTAAGGGTTCATGGTGGAAGATTTGTCTGGTGGCTTCCATACCGAGATGGTGGGCGGGTATGATCTTTGCCTGCTGCGGCCGGCTCCAGGCTAGCACTATATTGAATGCATGGATCGGAATTGAGAGGTGTCGAGGTGGTTGCTTCAAGATGCGACTGGACAATCTTCAAGTTTGATGGCTGCTTGGCAAGATAATCCGTCTTCGCAGCAGCTATTGTGCAGTATCGAACAATAGCTTCATCGTTGATGGAACCGCCGAGACAGTCTCGATGCCGTTTGCAGACGCCACAAGTGACCTTACAGACTCGCAAGCTTGACTCCGAAGGGAATAGCGAAGTTGATGGGCGAATTGACGCAGATGTTCTGCTCCGTGATGGCAATGTTGCTGCGGGTGTTCTTAGGTTTGTCTTGGCTAAGCTTGTTTGCTTGCGATAGATGCACCGCGTCGCATGTACCCGATGGAGGAAGATGTGATGTAAAACCGTAGGATTCGAGATCCTAAGAAAGAATTGATTTGCCGGAAAGACATGCTTCGGCGGGATTGATTGCCGGCATCTGGTGCGACGTTGATGATGTGTCGTTGATCGTCAGGGAGGTCAAAAAAATGTTTGAACGGCAGGAAGTAACGACAACAGCGCTGAGCGGTCGGGAGTGAAACATTTTTGGTGGGGTAACGGGCAACCGAGGTGGGTCTCATGCGCTAGCCCGTTCCGGTCAACGCCAAATGGCTGGGAAGCTGCACGTTCGCTGTCAGTTCCTAATCTGCATCTTGGCTTTCAACAACATCGTCTTCTTCTTTCCTTTTTTCCTTGACGTGTACCCGAATGAGCTGTTGGAAGGGGTTCTCACATAATTCCAGAAGCCGATGTCAAGCGCAGAGAGCGGGATGATACCCACGCCTGACAGGGGTGTTTCTCAGCCGTACGATGCATCATTTCTGCACCTGAAATGAACATTGACACGTCAGACGCAATTTCGAAATAGCAACGCCTGCCTGCGAAGCTGCATCGAATGCAGCGAGTTCTCGGCACGCGAGTATTGCCTAATTTGGTCGAGATTGGGCAAGGGTCTCGAAGATGATTGGGCCTGTCAGCACGCGATCACTCGGCTCATGAAGCGACACAGCCCAAAAATGTTGTCTCCATTATCATTATCTTCGTATGAGATGCCGCCTGCGAAATGCGTTGCTCAGAATACTCCAACAACGGAACCATGACATCATGCTCTCCACGTCACACCAAACATGGCATCTGTTGGGCATGTTCTCTCAACCAGCCTCCGGTAGGTGACGGCGTATTCGTCGGACATGTCTCATCCCCGGTTGACTCGCAGCGGAGCATCGATGCTTGGCGTAGTGGTGCCAGCTTGTGGGCGCCGAACATGCCCTTCTTTCGACCCTGACTGACACCGTCGAGCTCGTGGAGTCACTTTCGACAGACTGCTGCCGTAATCCACGCTGACTGGCCCCTAATGGCTCTTCGCAGATGCCTCCTGCTCCTTCCTCTTGCCTGCAACAATGGCATCGAATCTCTGGAATCCAGGGTATCCCTCAAAGAACAAGCTGCTGATCCACGTCCACCACAGACCCGTACCAGCCTCGATGCCGTGCTTCAACAGCCTGGTCTTGTGGAACCAATAGCACTCGCCGAGATGAATGCCCAGGACCGGAAGGAAGATGGTCTTGACAAGCCAGCGGTAGAACAGCGGCCCGCCGGGGAACACCGTCTGCAAGAATCCCCAGATGGGCGTGCCGGGCAGGACGAAACCCAGCGTGAGCCAGCAGACAAAGTAGAAGGCGACCGAGATGAAGACGACCAGCGCGAGGCCCGAGGCGGCCTCGAAGTGCGAGACGGTGATGTCGCTGTACCCCAGCGCCTCGCGGGAGACGCGGGCCATGTCGACGACGGCCGGGCGCACGTCTTCCCACGACTTCAGGGGCGGCTCGAAGGCCACGAAGAACTCCTTGCCGCCGAGCCCGCCGGCGGCGATGGTCATGCCCTCGAAGGTGACGTCCTTCAGCCACGGCGCGGAGGCCGGGCCGCGGCCGAGACCGGCGTAGTGCCGGAGGTAGAAGGAGAGTTCGCGCTTGTGGTCGCGATTCATGTGCGTCATGATGCGTTCGCGGGGGTCGACGGGAGCTCCCGCGGCGGCGCCGGAGGAAGAGGCGGCGACGTCGGCCTGGCGTGCCATCTTCGCGTTGGGTTTTGGGGCGAGTGGCTGAGTGGTGTACCGGCTTGAGGCTTGTGAATTGAGATGAGACAGGTGTTCCGATGAGGCGAGACGAGGCGATAAGGGGGCAAGGTTTCCGCGAGGGACGTTCTGGGCCCGCTCTGGTGGGAGAGCTGAGAAGTTTAAAGCGACCGTTCAAAAGCTTCAGAGATTTCTGTTTGAGCCGGCTTCACGTGCGGAGAAGAAGGAGGAGGTGTTGGTGTTGGTTGAGTTGGGACGTGGAAGAAACATGAACAGACGCTCAGGACAACATCCAACCAACAGACCCAAAACCGAAATTGCGGAAGGTGGCCCGTGCGATCCTGGGACCTCGGCGGTGAGTGGACCCGCGGCCTCGGTTTCTCCACAGTCCGTCCGGACGCTGGACGGGAGTGGCTGTCTTTGCTGCAAACATGCACCAACAAGCTCTTCTTTCTTTTCTGAAAACTGACGGAATGATTGATAACTCGACCGAAACTGATGCAATTCCAGGTCGAACGAGATCAAGACGTTGGTTCGCCAAGCTTGCGAACACAGTTTTCGGGACCTTCGGAGTCCGTCCACGCCTGGCCTCTGGGCTGCGCATTCCGCCTGCTTTAGAAAGGTTGAAGTCGGGTAGTGTCTCTCCGGCGGGATCAAGTCTTGAAGTATATAAACCCCGATGGAACGGGAGGTTTCGTGGGTTTTTAACCCGATCGGGAGCTACATGCTATATCGGCGTAGAATGCAAGAAACGGCGATCGACAGACCACACCATTCACCCCTCCACGGCGAACTCTTTGAAATCAGTATCTCTTCTCCGGGAATTCTAAGTTATTTACACCGCCATACTAACGCCTTTCAGAATTTAATTCGCCAGCGTGTTCATGCCCGTTACCGAGCTCGGGAGTCCTCTCCGTATCCAGCTCAACAGGCGTTGCCGGCATGTTGTTCTTCCATTCCCCTTGATAGTCGTATTGTGTCGTGGATGTGAACTGGACCGAGTCCACGTGCGTGCTCGTCGGCGCATATCCTGAGGGCGCATAGTGCCCCTGGGCGGCATTGTCGACGACATCACCTCTGGAAGCATCACCGCCATCCCCGGGCCCCTGCTTCTTGTTATGCTTTCTCCAGGCCATGAACCCAGCGGCGCCGACGATGAGCATAGTGGCGACAGCTACTCCAACTGCGATGCCCGCTACCATGCCTGCCGAAAGCCCGATGCCGCTGTCGCCGCCACTGCTGCTGCTGGTTTGTCGAGCCGCGGCATCGGTCGAGGTAGCATCGGAAGGAGAGTCGGTCGTTGTCGAGCTAGGGTTTTCGGAGGGAGTTGCGGATGCCGGTGACGCCGATGCTGTAGTAGCAGTACTCGTGGTTGACGCCGAGGCTGCAGCCACCGCCGACTGCGTGATGTTGAAGTAATGCGACTGCGCAGCCTGCTTGACCGTTCCAGCTTGATAGAACGTCAAGTAAAAGACGCCGAGAGTCTGAGCCTCGACCGGGAAGCCATCAAAGCTAGGCTTCCACGTAAATGCCCTACTGGACAGGTTTGCTGATGAAGTGAGCCAGATGTCAGCCCAGAATTTCTCGATTGAGTCCGTATTTTCCCCTGTCGCGACAACTTCTCGCAGCAGACTTACTTGTAAGCCTTTTGTACAAGGACGTCTTCAATTTATCTGACGCATCGCTCCAGACAACCAGATCGATCTGGTCGAAATCCGTGTCCCAGAGAAACGTAATGTCCTTCCCGACCTCGTAGGCTGGGTTCTCGCTGTAATCACCAGTCGGGCCATCGGCAGCAGGTCGATGGAATTGGTTCACCGCGGCAGCATGGTGGATGAAGGCGACGATCGCGCTCAGAAGTAACCAGCGACGCATCGTGTTGGCGGCATTGAAAGCTGTAGAACAGGGTGGAAGTCTCGTCGACGCCAGGAGGCGCGGGTGAAGGGGTGTCTCCTGTTATTAATAGCTGTGCAATACACTCTCAGCTCGACGTCTCATTTAATTCTTCCTTTCCTGGAGCCTAAAAGCAGTTGCAACTAAGGTGGCGTGGCGCCGCACCAAGCTGGTTCAAACCTAGCGGCCATCGGCAGCGCGTCAACAAGGTGTGCATCTTTGAGGCTAAGGCGTCGATGGCTGATTTGCGACACTTCTGTTGGCTCTACTTGTAGGAATAAGCAACACCACGTTTGGGTCTAAGAAGTCATAAACGGGCGCTTGGAGCTGGGACGTCGGAGCTGAGATCTGCCAAGAACCTAATTAAACTCCAGGTCCTTTCTACAGATCATTTACCAGCCAGACGACCCGATTGATAAGCCATGGCACTCTAGCAAGTCGATCCACGACAAAGCGCGGCATCAGACATCCTTATGGGGCTGGCCAGACATCGGTCAACGATCCTCTCAAAGGAGCGACAATTGTCGTGGTCTCAGTTATTATTGCTATGTGAAGGGACCGCACTGGACTTTTCGAACGTGCTGTGAGGTCGCACCGGAAGCTGTCGGCGGTCCGGATGAGGAGCCGAATCCGAATCCGAAGCCGGAGCCGGGCCGGGTCAATCGGTGGGTCCCGAAAGGCGGGGTAGATTACCGAGGACCGGCATCCGTTCGCGGTCCCCGAGTAATGCAACTTACAGCATATAACATGAGCTGCATTCGCGCCTTGAATCTGGGCCCTGACAGAACCCTTACAGGCTGACGTTCCTGCGCATTCCTCATCTCAGGCATTCAACGCTCTCGACATGTCCTCCGGCAAATCTCGCGTGCTCCTCGTCGGCAGCGGCGGGGTTGGCACGATAGCCGCTCTCAACATCGAAAGGGGAAACCTAGCAGAAGTCACCGCCGTTCTCCGCTCGAACTATGAGGTAGTCACACGGGACGGCTTCACAATCAGATCCTGCGAGCACGGTAACTTGGACAGCTGGCGCCCATCCAAAGGTCAAACCCGAGCCCAGCATCAACGCATACCTGAAGCCCAACTTACCATCCCCGTCCAGTCATTAACGCCGTCCCCGATGTCTCAAAATACAGCTCGGATGAGAAATATGATTACATAGTCTGCACCACCAAAAACATACCCGACGGCCCCCTCCCCGTCGTCGACCTGATCGCCCCAGCCATAACGCCGAACCACACCGTCGTCGTGCTCATCCAGAACGGCCTCAACATCCAACGGCCCTTCACCGAGCGTTTCCCCTCCAACGTCGTCCTCTCGGGCGTCAGCCGCATCGACGCCCACGAGATCGCCCCGGGCCTCGTCGAGCAGAAGAAGCCGGACCTCCTCCACGTCGGCGCCTTCGAGAACCCCAACCTTAGCAAAGAAGCCCAGGACGCGGCCGCGCAACGGTTCGTGAAGCTCTACAGCGCAGGAGGGAAGACGACGTGCTTGTATAAGCCCGAAGTCGAGTACGACCGCTGGAGCAAGCTCGTCAACAACGCCTCGCTGAACCCGATCTGCGCGCTGACGGGGTTGAACGCGAGCGAGATCCAGCTCACGCCGAACAGCATGAACGCGATTGTGATTCCGGCTATGAAGGAGGTCATGAAGGTCGCGCGCGTGGTCGGGCATGAGCTGCCCGAGGACTCGATTGAGAAGATCATCCGGCTTAACCCCGTCGATGAGAACATCACGCCGAGCATGCAGGATGACTTCCGCAAGGTGAGTTCGCTGTTCAGGACATTGATCGTTAAAGCGTGGAAATCGGTCTAATGTGGATAATCCGCCGTAGGGGAACCTTATGGAGCACGAGAACATCCTCGGCGAAGTTATCCGGGAGGCACAGAAGCATTCCGTGGAGACGCCCATCTTGTCCGTTCTGTACGACTTATGCTGTGCTCATCAATGGAGGTTCAAGAGGGCTCGCGGCCAAGTTTGAAATCATGGCTCTAGAACTTAGACATTCCAGTCAAGAGCCTGCTTGTGTATGCATAATAAACGCCTTGATGGAAATCCGATCATCATCCCCAGAAAGCACCGACTTATCCCACTCATCCGTAGACATGTATCATCTCGACTAACAGAAAGGCCGACCATCCAAAACATGAGCCTTCGACGCCCGCACTAACTCCTGCAAATACGTCGGAAACCCTCGAAGCCCAGAGACCACGCTGAAGCGCGCCGGCAAAAAGACTTGCCCACTCTTGCCCCCGAGAATCTGTCTACTAATGGCTTCGGCGACGTACTCAGGATCAAGCAGATCGTCCGGAAAGTCTCCCTTATCAGTCGCAGCTTGTATCAGAGGCGTGCGGGTGAACATGGGGTGAAAGATGCTTCAATAAGCTCAGTTAGCCATCACTCTCCCAAAGTGGTGAGAGTATTTTCGACGTACCTTGTGCAGACATTCCGCGCATTGTACCTATACCTCAACTCCTGCCCCAATCCCTCGTGAAACGACAACGCAGCCGCCTTCGAGCACGAATACCCAACATTCGACGCGATCGTCAGAAAAGTCGCCATACTCGCAATCGTCACAACATGCCCGTGATCCTCCCGGATCATATACGGCAGGAACTCCTGCACCAGAAAGAAGTGCGCGACGATGTTGACATCGAACGTCCTGCGTATCTCCCCCTCGCTCTCCGCCAGCATCGGCTTCCCCGTCCCGACGCCCGCGTTGTTGACCAGCACGGTGGGGTCCCCGACGTCGTTCCGGATGCGCCGCGCGACTTCGCGGATCGCCTCGGGCGAGGTCACGTCGAGCTGGTAGTAGTGCGCGTTGCCCGGGAGGGGCGTGAGCGGCGGCTGGATGTCGACGGCGACGACTTTGATGTCGAGCTTGGCGAGGTTTCGGACGACCAGGTTGCCTAGGCCGCTGCTGCCGCCTGTGACGAGGACGATCTCCTTGCGCCAGTCCCAGCGGGAGGATGTTGAGAGGTACCATCTCGTCAGCGCCTTGTTGGCGGCGTAGATGAGGCCCAGGATGGCCAGGGCGCTGAGGGGTTTGCGCGTCGATGGCAATGTGAGGACATTACGGAGGAGAGCCTTGAAGTCGATGCGGCGCGTGTAGCTGGTGAGGGTCGACATGTTGAAGGTTGTACGGAATGAAGTCTGGGGTGAACCGGAGCGGCAGAGTGTGAGAAGAAGTAAGATTTCTTTGGAACTTCTGTCCGATGGCTTCGCCACGAATCCTCAATCACCTCCCCTCCTTCTAACATCTGCACAACGCCCAATCCTTCCCGTGTGATATCGATTCGAGCAGGTGCAGCGTCACACTGCAAGACAACGGTGCGGCAGGCTGGCGGTGGATCAAGCGGAACACCATCTTGGTCCGCCCTAGGCTTTTCGAACCGCTGGTGACGGTATCATTCCATTTATTGGGGACTCTCAACAAATCCGTTTGATTTTGAAAGGACTTTGATTTGATTTGATGTTCTTGATGCTTGGTCGCATGGCGAATGTGGAGACTGAGACGTGTGACATCACATGCATCGTGTGAATGAGGGGAGATGAGGAGGTGAGCGGGGTGATTTGACGTTACATGGAGAATATGAAAGTTCGCGACGGGACGTGAATTCTCATGTTCAGTAGAGCTAGGTGCTCAAAGGTCATTCCAACTTACATGGATCGGGCGAATATTCTGACCATCTAGTGAGGCTTGGCCATCCTGATTACCCGAATTGACCATATCATGACAACAACACCCGGATATAATACATCAACACAACACCTCATTCAGCCAGTACCAAACACAATCGCTACAAACCAAGGGTCCAACTTATCAGTCTGCCATTCTGACCAGCTCCACCATCACTTCCACGCTTTTCAACGAACTAATTTGATTTCCCAGTCACAATCCATCCGACGAGAACCCCTCCCAACCACCAGAACTGGCGCGTGAGGTTTCAGGTAATCCCCAGATGAGACGCAAACACCACCTTCCCCGTCAAGATTCTTCTGTGCTTCCTTCTCCGCACTCTCTCCAGAGCATATCCCTTCCCGCGACGCTCGATGATTGGCGATCCATCCCTCCACACCCAGACCGGTGCTCATGGAGCTATACTGGAGGGCTGGAATCAGCCCACTCTTCAGACGAAGACGTGAACTCTATCCTTCACACTCACGAATTCGCGTCGCAACGTGCCGATAGACCCTTATTCTTTCACCAGGCTCTTAAGGCCCCATCGTTCCTGGACCCTTGGATAATTCAACGGCTCCATCCGCGCGTCGCGTGGCCTTTTTGCGCTACTCGAACTTGGCTTTTCGATAGAGTTGTGTTTGAGATTTCGTTGACATCGTGGGGCAGATGCGAGGCTCGGGATGCGGAGGTCGGACGATCACCACGTGGAGTCCTTCACGAAGCAGTACCTTACTCACATCTCTCTTGGTGAAGGTCATGTAGGAACTTGAAATCATTTGGTGACAGCGTACATCGTTCGATGTATGGTTTGCATGTTGCCGCAATAAGAATACTATTACTTTTATACTTCGCCCCGTTTTCATCATAGTGACCGTCAACCCAACGCCCCTCCATGCAAGTGGTATCACCGAAAAACCCCGCGTCCGACCGTGTGTCCCGTAATGTCCCCGTAGTGACTCAGTGCTGTGAACCCGAGCTGGTGCCGAAACGCGAAGCCGTGATACGGTCCCGGCTCTGTCGCCAATCCGCGGAACTCAGGGATTTTCTCCGAACGAAGCCTCGTCTCGCGCCTCTCGCTGCCGCCGCCCCAACGGGTCCTCAAACGTCGTCGTGGTACTCACGTGGATCCCGCTCTCCGTAGAACGCCTCCCCAGCGCCTCCTCCTCGTCCTCGTGCCGAATCTGCGTCCTGACGTCTCCCCTGATCTTGTCCCCCAGCTCCAGCTCGCTCTCGTTGGGCTCGCCCTTCGGGACGAACGAGAAGAACTTGCGCCTCTTCTCCACCAGCTTCGCCGCCGCCGCGACGGCCCTCCGTTCCTCGTCGTAGTCGGCCCGGTTCCGGTACTTGTTGTTGCTGTCGATGGACCTAAACCCGGACGAGTCCGACGCCTTGTGCGGCGGCGTGATCTCCGTGGCGGACTTTGAGCCGAATAAGTTGGGCAGTACCCGGAGCATGAGAGTCCTGACCGCCGGGAGACACACCACGACCATCGAGACCGAGACCTCTACGCCTGACCAGACCAGGGCGTCCGTGAAGTCCCACGTCGGGTTGAGGGAGCGGGTGAAGAGGACGATATACTGCAGTCTGACGCACGAGGTGATTAGAATGAAGACGCCGAGGCTGAACATGACGAAGATGCCCGCCTTCTTCCGCCGTGTCATGTTGAGTTTGTACAGGAGCGGGAGGGGCAGAATAAGAATGATGACATCGTGGCTGATGCTCAGCCCGCCGGCGACAAAGGCGAGCGTGTTGATGTTGAGGCATTGATGAGGGCCGAAGTCGCCTTTCCAGCCGACCCAATTGTACTCGAATGGTATGCACTGGAAGATCTGCATGAACAAGAGAATTGTTGTCGAAAGGATGATGAAACCCATCGTCGCGTACGTCGTCCATCGGAAAGTCTTGTTGGGAAATATTCGGAGATAGAAGAACAGGACTGATATCTTGGTGAGGCCGAGACATATCAAGTAAAAGCTCTCATCGACGTAAAACACCTGTTATCGTTAGCGCCGCTGCCGTGATACTCCAATTCCAGGACTAACCTTTAGCCCGAATGTAAGTTCTTCTGGCGTGACCATCCAAACATCCTCACCAAAAGCGGCTGCACCAGCTGGGAAACGTCAGCGGAAACTCGAAGTATCAATGACAATAGAACTCACCAACATGCCCAAGAACTACAAAGACAACGAATAAGACCTGTCAAACATTAGAACACATGAACTCCCGTCCTCGATAGGTTCACTTACGCCTGTGAAGAGCATGATCCAGTCGTCCGGTGCAAAGCGATGCATCGTCGACCATCGCGTGAACAGCCGTACCGGAACCGCCAGGAAACCAGGAATCTGAATGGCCAACGGTGCCAATATGTCTACCTTGCGCCGTCTTACGGGTCTGTCGCATGCTTTTGCCTCTATTCTTGCCACGTCTGGTCGCATGCGACGTCAACCTCCGTCTCCGCACATCAACTCCGAAGGGACGACCAACCTAGCGTCTCGAGTCTGGTGCACTTCTCAAGAAGGCATAATTGTATCTGCGCCTTCAACCCTGCATCGTTGCATATGCAAGTGTCGTTGTCAAATGTTTGACACGCCGACTTTGGTATCTCCTGGGCGATACATCCCAACTGAACGACGACAAGCGGGTCAGCGAGGGTCCTCGTAAGGCGACCGTGATGATGGGATCTCAACTCACCCCGCATGCGGGCAGCTGGTTGACGAAGTCAGTCAGCTTCGCCTGTGCCACGCAAAAGAAGGCGGCTGCGGCCGCCAGGCCGAGAAGCATCGACCGCCTCATGGCGCCCCTCTGCTATATGATGTATTACAAGGGCAGAAAAACCGCGAGATGAAATGCGACGTGTGGTGGTAGATGAACGACCGCCCCCTCGTCGCGTCAGAAAGGACGAATCTCCCTTGGGTGATGTTGACGGACGACCACAGATGCTTGCCTGTCATATGTCATCCTTCGCGAGGTGGCTTTCATGTGAGGGGCGTGGGGAGGGGGAGGGGACTATCTGCGATATAAACTGCGGACTGCCGTCCGAGCAGGGTGAGATGCTCCTCTGACTTGCTTTTCCGTCCCAGTCAGGAGAGGGGATGGAGTAACGAACCGCCGCACGGGAGACCGGGATAGCACGAAGGGAGAAGGCCAAACCTTGAGCCCATCCGTCCCGTCTGGCGGGTGTGCTCCGAAGTGCTCGCATGCCGTTTCCTGTAAGTTTGCCTTTTCTCCACATGGCTCGAGAGCGACACCTCTCCAATCAGCCTGAACACGCATCGAAGCTCTGGAAAGAGAGTATGGCCAGCGGTGTTAGGTGATGGGTGCGCGAGCGGACGGGCTCGGCCGGGATCAGGGGTGTTTCCCGGCTAGGAGCTCAGGACGTCCGTGAGAGAAGAGGAATCGGGCGGGTGTGACCTGGCTAATGGGGGCAAGCGGCTGCAGAAGATTGCTGCCGGGAGTCAATGGAACAGACCATCAAAGAAAACCTCGTGGCTTGTGGATACTGATCGTCTCTCTTGTTCGGTTTGGATCGTCGCTTGCTGAGGCTTTTGCTAGGTGTGAACGGTTTCGTGCATGTCTCTCGTGTAACTGAGAGCTACGCCCCCTCACCACATAGCCAGTCTTGCATCTGCCGGCAGGCAGGCTCAACTCAGAATATACCACGGGTTTGAGCTTTTCTGAGTATGGCAGACAAAATGGAACGCATGGGCCCTCCGGCGTGCCGTCCGTCGTCCTCCCTACCAGCCGGACAAAGTCATTATGCCTTAGGGCTGCGTGACTGAATCATGTTTGCCTTCCGCGGATGCAGTTCTATAGTTTCATCCAATCCACGGAGAATTTCGATCTAGGACTGAGTAATAAGCAAGACCCCAGAATACCAACCAGAGGACACCGAGCTCATGTGGGACGCGATGCTGTTGCCAGCTAGCTCCCCACTTGCGGATATCTCATCGTGTTCGTCAACCTCATCTGTGCGCAGGTTTTCCCACATTGTCCTTTTCGGCGGTAGGAGAAAACAATAGCTGCCACCTTGATTTTGTTGGAAGAAACCGGTGCGAAGAGAAGGGACGATGTCGCCATTCTACAGCGTCGACCCATGCAAGTATGTGTCGGTTGGCAACGATCTCCGTCAAATATCCTTACAACACGAGAAATGCGAATAAGATCCAATTTCCCAATTACGCCGTCCAGATGTTTGTTCCTCCGCCGTCAGAAAGCCAAACTAGCTGGATCCGTTAATATTCTAGCAGCCTACTCAGTGTGCGATCGAGCTTCTCCCAAGTCGCAACGAACGTCCAAGCGGCATTTGGAAGCTTGGCATGTCGGATGCCACCAGCCGGACAGGAGTCTTGGAAGACGTAGGACGATTTGCGGTGAACACGAAACAGTGGTACAGGATAGCTTTCAAAAGTGGCCTTGAATCACCAGTATCTGTCAATGAGAGCAAGCCTTCATGTCGTACAAGAAGCGTTGCCCATTGCGAGATGTCGCATTTGTAGGTTCTCCGGTTCCATGCTGACGGCTACCCGCATTTCCTCCCGGTCGCAAGGTGATCAGTATTTTCTTCTTCTTCTCGGCGTCGCGCAAGAACCCCAATGGTAAGTTTCGTTACACGCGGTTACAGCCTAGTCCGTATTGCTACCATAGGAGTGGCGGGGTGACGTCGAAAAAGCGGACAGAAGGAAGGGGCCGACGAAGGCATTCGCCGCGATGGCGGCTAGGTGGCGTTGAAGCCATACACCTGGGACAAATGCGACGCTGGCAAAGGTCGCGTCGCGGGTTGGGGAGATGAGTTTGATGGACACTGCATGGCGTCTCCTGGGCCCTTGAAGGTTCTATTGGCAGTTTTGAGACGGACGGAAACAATACCGCAGGTCTTCCGCCTGGCGTCCCTAGCAAAGGGATTTGAGGCTATCGCCATGGAGCTAACACAACAAGCGCGTAGTTCGTTAGGGGTCATGGCGCTATTATATTCATCGCTGTCGCACGTTCTCCATCGAGCATCTTCAACGTATGTAGGGAATGAATCTTGTGGCGCACCTAGGCATACACGGATATCCAATGAGGCAGTCTTCGCCGGACGTGATGCATCTAGAAGGACTTGACGTTCTTCCAAGCCACTTTCAATAAAACACCGGACTATACGACAGCGTAATATTGTGTGTCTTCGAGTCATGTAAATGTGCTATATCTGGCGCGTTGACTGGTGCTCGATGAGCGTCTCAGGCCACAAGTTAACGGCATGTGTGGTCGGAGGAGTAACGGGAAAATCTCAATTCGGCTCCTCGATGCGCCCGGCAAAGCATTGGGCGAAAGAGGTCGCCAACGGAGTTTGCCGAAAGCATGTTCTATATCCCTCATCGAAGATCTTCTGAGGGCTTAGAACTCGGGACGAGGCAGAAGGTTGAGTCCGGCCCGGGATGCTGAGCGACGCGTCGGGCGCATTTCCTTGGTAAAGTTGATCTCTTCTCATTGCCGGAAACTCTATGGAATACCTTGATGAAAGTACAACGGTTTGAGCACGCACTCTCAAAAAAGATATTTGGCCCACTAGGGCCGTTGGTTGGACCGGCAGATGCATTCGTTATATTCTTGCGTTTTCTGTCCTTTAGACGCTTGCTTTCTTCGCACTTGGCGAACGTTGCCCATCGATACCTCATTATTTCCCCTGCGAAGAAGAAACCGATATCTATCATATTATAACTAGCTGACCGCGCAGCGAGTCTTGTGTAAAGAATCCAAGTTAACGTGCCTTCGCCGTTGGAGTTCGAACGGCATGGGCTATCATGCGGTATGCACGATGATCGCCTTGCGAGTCGAGACCTCTTCATGTTGTTCAAATTCGATCCCCTACTGGTCTAGGGATCGCGTCAGAAGTCGTAGAATATCCGCCTTCATTGACGCCGGTTTTTCGTCGGTGCTGAGCTCAACGCAGGCATGTACAGAGCTGTCGAGAAAGCCCATTGAAGTCGGTGATGCATGTTTCGAATATCCACTCAATGTTGGAGCGGGAAAATGCTACCACCATGTATTGCCTCGACACGTTCGACGACAGAAGGCTTCCGGAAGGCTTGCGTCGCATTGAAAGCACTCGGTTCTTGCCGGCGTAGAAGAATCGATATCTCCGCCCCGCCTGTCTATGGAAGAAGATTTTGAACGACATCGGGAAATGGTCTGGCCAAGAATCGTCAAAAGGTCTGGCAACAAGTGCCTGGCAACGAGTTGGCTTGCCCTGTCGGGAGGGAGACGAAGACCCGGCGACTTTGTCAATGCTATTCGGGTTATTTGGAGGATCAAGCTCCATGCTTGACGGCAACCTGCGGAATGTACTGAGGCTGGAACTTCGCATCGTACAGAGTTCCTTTGCCGTCGTAAGGTGTGTCCTGTTTGTGGAAAACCCACTGCAGACGGACATGCTCCAAGATCGCTAGTCCACTCGACCCATTCAAACCGAGGTTGGGAGGCGGATAAGGTCGGAACTTGGCGCTATCATTATTCAGTGGTCCCGGATACGACTCCGAGTTATTCACGTTGGCCATGTTAGGGGGGTCTTTGTTCGCGACGAGGACTTTGCTTCCCAAGTTTTGAGCAAACTGATAGATGTTGGCGCCAACATCGTATCGCCCGAGATTCGGGAGTTCCCAATTGAATGTGACGGTCGAAATCATCGAGTAGTGCGAGTAAAAGGTCTTGTCTTCTGTGCCTTTGAGATCTTTGGGAATCGCGGTACCCATCAACAACGACACTATCTGGTTGGGCTTCCCTTTGTCCTCGGACTCGTCGTAGGTTAGGAGGATGAGCGTCCGCTCCTTGAATGCCCCTGGAGCCAACATGGGCTTCAAAAAGTCATGGGCCCACTTGGTGGCATATTCGAGCGTCGTATTGTGGCCGTCGTTCATCATGTTGGGTGCCATGAACACGTACTGGGGGACCTGCTTGGCCTCGAAGTCGGACTTCCAGTCGTCGAAGGCCTGGATGTTGAGCAGCCTGGATCCATTGAGATTAATGGAGTCGAAGGAGACAAAAGGACTGCACGAGCATCAGCATCCACCTAGCCCAACACCATCGACGGGCCAACCAACTTGTGCTTTCGGACGTAGTCCCACTTGCCACCGCCAGTCTGGCCATCACTGGCATCGGCCAAGTAGCCCGGACCGGGCATATCCTCCATGTAGGCCTTCCATGTTAGACCCCGCCAGTCCAGAAGATCCACGATGGTAGAGACGTTAATTGGCAGTCGTATGCGTTCGTCGTGGTTTAGGCCAAAGTAGTCACCGGCGAGGGCTGCGATGTAGTTCGGTTGGCTGGGGTGGGTTTGGGCGTAGTAATTGGACAACAGAATCCCTTCCTTTTTGAGATCGACGATGTGGGAATCCTTGACGGCTTTGGCAAAGTCCTGTGGACGGGTAATATCAGCAAGGGGGTTCTACCGGCAGAGGAATGTGGGCTGCGGACCTGGTTTTCCAAGAATATGCAGATTAATCTATCGAAGCTCCTACCGGGGATGTGATAGGCCGCCACGATCGCAAGAAATCCGGTCAACAAGGTGAGAAAGGGACGCATCGTAAATTGTGGCGACAATTATTGCATGGCAGTTGGCAATTGATGAAGCAGAGAGAATCGATCCGGCCGGAGGTTTTGAGGGCAAGAAGCCTCGGTTCTTGCGGCCAGATTGAAGCAGCACATTGTGTTGCGTCGAGCTCGTTTCCGGTCCAGTTCGTGTCTCACAATGCTACGGTTCACCCGGAGCCATAACGGCCGTGTGTCGCGCAGGCAAGCTAGGCTTAGCCAGCATTCCGTGCAGTGTTTGACGTCGATCTCCTTGAAACGCTTCAAGCCTTCGCAGCCACAAGGAGGCTGCATCGGACCCTGCACCGATCTCGGAGTGCTGATCCGCATCGACAGGGATAGTTTGATCTGATAACTTTAAATGTGGACTGAAGAAAAAAAAAAATAGGTGAACAGGCGGTTGCGTAGCCGCTGCGCGGGCGATCACACCAAGTTGGAGTTTGTCGGGTCGGCGAGAGGCCTTTTTGGAAAGTTGTGGGGTGTTCGTGTCTGCTGGGACACGCGAGGGACCCATCTGCAGAGGAACGTGAATGGCCTCAACTTGATGCAGCTGAGAACTCTGTCTCCGCCTGTGTCCAGCCATTTGCTCGCATGCATGATCCCTTGTTCCTGCACTGGGTTGGGCGCAAGATTTTGGGCACACGACTGTCGGGATTCGGGACCCGAGAGTTTGCCTTCCGATCATGTCGGGGTCATCGCTTGAGTCGTTGTCGGCTGAATGCCGCGATGCCAGCAGATCCCGTTCTGTCATCTTTGACAGCAAGTTATGCATGAATGGTGATTGACGTTGGGTTCCATCGTTGATCCCGCGCGGTCGTTTATGTCGTTTACGAGACTGCAGCTTCGCTTCGATGCTGGCGACAATTTTCGACCCAATGCCAATGGCAGCGCCAAGGGTTCACCGTAGGTTCGGATGACAAACAAGATCCATCGATGGAGACATCTGCATCGCGAGTCCGGGATAGTCGGTAGTACTAGTGACGTTCGGTGTGGCACAGTCCTTGACGAGCGCAGGTCGTGGTCCTCTTTCGGTACGGACGAAGTAGCGCAGCCCTTGGGAAGCGGATATTGAGATTTTCGCACGAGGAGCAGGAGCACGATGACTACCACCGGTGGCTGGTGTTTGGTGTCTTTGAAAAGCCGCGCTATCGGCTATTGAAAGAAAGGATTCGAAGTGCGGCGCGGGGCGTCATCCGGTGATTGTCTGGCTGTCAGACTTTGTCTAGACGGCTTCGTCTGGTCTAGCGAGGCCGCGTCTTCGAGACCTCGCAATCCCCCCATCAGCGGACGTGGATAACCGTGGATGAGGGCATCTCGATGTGTGCAGAGTTGGTGGGCACCACGCGTCTTGTGTCGGCTTACTGAGTGGTGGCATCCCTTCGGCTTGTGGGTGGAGAGAGCGAATTATCTGATGGTGATCCTTGCAATGGTGAGTCAAACGATGGAGAAGAATTGGGGGGAAGGCCCGATCTAATCTTATCAGATGCCCCACATAGATGTGGAAATTCTCGCTCGGAAGAGCTCGGCTATACCACCTCGGTGCTCGGAGACATCGGTCTTAGGTAAGCGATTCAGGCTTTCCTTAACACGCACCCGGCAAAAATAGCATGCACGATTGTTATCTAACGAACGTCAGACCCTCGGCTCTAACTCGACCTGACTGACAGGGGCAAGTTTCTTCCCTTGGATTTTCAAGCACATCTTGACAGCAAACGGCAGGTGAAAAGGCCCCTCCGGACCGGAGGCTGTGTAGACTTTGTCACTTCGTACTTTTACTATAACCATGCTGGTGGCGAGCGTTGCGCGCGGCACTTTTCCCCCTCGTTTTGATCATTCTCAACTCTCGCCCTCGCCCTGCAACATCGAGAGAACCGCATCAAAAACACCAGCCAACAATGTCTCCTCCCTCAGTAGACGGGACCGAGAGTCTCTCCCCCACCAATTCGAGGGGTGATGATGATGAGAACAGCCAGCATCCCCGCAAGCGTCAGCGCGTCCGCCTGAGCTGTCTGGAGTGTCGCCGGAGGAAGCTTTCTTGCGATCGCGGCTACCCGTGCCAGCGATGCCTCAAGAGTGGCACTCCTGACCGCTGCACCTACGAGACCAAGTCTGGCGTTGTTTTGAACGCCAGCTCTGGCGTCCCGCCCGCGTTTGCCCAGCTGGACTCGAGGAGGAACGGCGAAATGGCAATGGCCGGCAAGGAAGCCGACATCTCCGTCATTCGAGAGGCGGCCAAGGACCATGACCGTATCCGCCGTCTTGAGCTGGAAGTCGCTCAGCTCAAGACTCAGCTTACCCGACAAGCCATGTCCTCCTTCGATGGGAGCACAGTGGCCGGCACGAACTCACCGCACACCCAGAAGGAAGATCTCACCGACACGCCAGCTGACCCGTGCGCCAACAACACCGCGCAAATGGAGAAGTGCTGGCATCAGTACAGCGACGGGGGTGACAAATCGGAGCTCCGCTTTTTCAGAGGCAAGGAATTCAGGACGAGGTATTTCGGTCCTCACAATGCCACGATGGCATTCATCGAGGTAAGTCTTTTGAGCTCTTTCGAGGGCTTCAATACCTGTTTACAGGACATTGTTCTAACTTCCTCTCAGTTGACTGGCCTGTGTCCCTTCATGAAGGAGACGGCAGATGAGTGGCTGAAGCCAGTAAAGGCTCATGATCGCAAAGATCGTAAGAAGCGCAAGGAAGATCGGGACAAGTTCTTCCTTCAGCCTGATTCCCAGCTCGAAGCTCTCATGCCACCCAAAGAGCAAGTGGATGCCTTGGTCGAGGTTTACATTGACCAATTCGAGCAAATGCACCGCATCATTCACATCCCCACATTCAGACGGGAATACTCACAATTCTGGGAGAACCCGTCCGAGTCCCGCTACGCCGCTTTCACCGCCCTCGTCCTCGCCATCATCTCTGTCGCGAACTGCATTCACACCCACGAGCACCTGAGATTCACAGGGATGGTCTCCAATGCTCAGACCACTGCTGAGAGATGGATCAAGGCCGTCGAGGAATGGCAGGGCAACCAGAGCGTGAAGCACCGCAAACTCATCCACTACCAAATCGCCTGCCTCATGTATCTCGCCAAGCGGGTCAACTCTGTTAAGAAGAAGCGCTTCTGGACGAACTCGGGCGCTCTCATCCAAGATGGCATCTCAGTCGGGCTGCACCGCGAGCCCAGCCACATGTCTGGCAAGATCTCAGTCTACAACCAGGAAATGAGAAGGAGGATATGGGCCACCGTGCAAGAATTCGACATGCAAGCTTCCTTCGACCACGGACTGCCCACATTGGTGAGCCAGTTGCACTACGACGTGCAGCCGCCCAGAAACTTGGACGATGAAGACTTCGATGAGGACACTACACAGCTGCCCCCATCGAAGCTCGGAAAAGAGTACACCTTTTCCTCTTACCAGAATCTCGCCCGTCAGAGTCTGCCTTTGCGCATGGAGCTGAGTAGACTTCTCTGCGGACCGCCTGGAGAGGTCGACTACGACCAAGTTATCAGGTATACGAACGACATCACACACGAAATCGACTCCCTGCCATCGTGGGAGCACAACAACAACAACACCCACGGCGGCAAGCGCCCACTCCTCGCCTACACCCTCCTTCACATCCAGCTCCGCCAGTACATTATTCCCCTTCACCAGCCCTTCCTCAAGCTCCGCAAGTCCAACGCCAAGTACCAATACTCGGAAATCATCTACTACAACGCCGCCCGCGATATGGTCCTTCTGCACGACAAGCTCTACGAGCAAGGCATTCGCTGCCTCAACTTCCTGCGCGAAGACACTCTGACCACGGCCGTCAATCTGTGCAGTGTAACGATGCTGCAGCCTCGTGGCTCCACCAACATGATCATGATCAACTCCCAGCACACCGTCAAGCTTCTCGAGAAGTGCCTCTCGATGAAAGAGGACAGACTCCTGCGGACCGGCAACAACGAGCCATGGGGCTACTCCATCATGTGCTCGTCACTCGGCCTCCTCGAAGCCCACTTGGGAACGAAGACGACGGAACAAGCGAAGGCCTCCTCGGCAGAGCGCTTCGTCAACCTGCACTACAAGCTGCTGGCGAACCAAGAACCGCCGGTATCGAGTCATCAATCGGAGCTGTCCAAGATTCCCGGCCTCGACGTCCCCGAAAGACCAAAGGTGAGCACTTCCCCCGGTATTTATCGCACAGGCGAACGATTGCTGACTGGGGCCCCCAAGTCCGTGACGCCCTTCTCCTTCCAGGGTTACCCGGCGTCCCAAAACACCATTGACGGACTTCTGCCTCAACCGCTGCCATGGATGTCTACATCCTTGGACCCGCAGGTGAGTCTTCACGGAGACTTCTCCCCCACAGCACTCGTTGCTGACAGTGTGTTGGCGGCAAAGACGCAGCAACAGTACAATCCCGACTTTAATCTTGAAGCTCTGGGATTGAACCTGAACGAGTTGTGGGGAGAATCGTGGGACTTTAGCTAAGAGGTGTCTTTTTCGCAGTTTGATTTTTCTGATTTGATGGCCGTCTACCTCGAGAGCCAGGAAGGGGTCGCCCTTGATTTTGGAGGGCGATAACGTGTTACGGATCGCGTTACGATGTTTGGAAAGCTTGATACCCATCTCAATTCCTCTCAGATCTAGATATGTAATAACACCATGTCGGTCTTGACTCGCTGTCTTTCTCTGTCTGCTCGCTTTGACATTTTCACCGATCACTCGGCACCTTTTTGGATCTGATATGAGAGCCTCGATATGTCATCCTAGGGTCTTTCATTTCCTTTTCACGATGATATCGCGCAAGCATCCACTGCCATTATCTCACCTCACCCAATTTTCGGTCTTTCACGCTCAATCAGTCCATTGGGACCCATTGAAAGAGCTCATCTGGAACCCCGGAATCGGTTGGTGCCGACGACTGACTCGAGCAGATTAAATATTGGCTCAAGACGCCTGGGCCACCCAGCCAACCTCTCCAACACGAACGATGTCTGCTGCCCAAATGATCTCGTCCACGACTTGCCATGTGGACTCAAAAGCTTGTCACTGAGACCAAAGAGGCTCAATAAGATGTCGTCGGTCCACCAATAGACCCATCCGCTCACAGATATCCGTCTTCGACTCGGGAGGTTTTCCCGACAAGAGGTCGACAAACTGGCGCGCGCGAAACGGTTCTAAAACCGTCCATCGCTCAGCCCGCGGTGCAACGCCAGAGAGGCGACTCGGACAACCATGGGTTTTCGCCACAACCAGCCGCAAATGTCTGATTCGGAGGCGCGCATAACTGACGCCCGGCTGAGGCGGCTCGGTTAAGCGACGTTCATGCTTTCGCCGTTACCGTCGATGATGCAGATCACCGTCGTCCAACCCATGCCAAGACGAGACGCGAATCCAACGAGTAAACAAAATCGCTTTCAACCTTGCAATATTCCCCACAACTCAATTACAACTCAATTCTTCCGTCGGCGGATATCCGTCGCCAGACCGCTTCAGACGCCCAGAAAACCAGACAAACAGACCACGAGGCAGCCCGAGCGGGGGAAAGTCGCAAAAGAAGGTGGGATATCGACGTTACATGGCTCCCTCACTGGCGGCGGACCAAGATGCCAGATCCAGGCACGCCAGACAGGGATGAGCTCGGCACCTTCATCGCATTCCCTGCTGGGTCCAACCACCTCCTGCCCCTCATGGCCCCCAATGGCCGTGCCAAAGGCGGCAGCTGCGAGCTCTCGTGCCAAAGAATCCCACGATATGGTCTCGGCATCCCTCCAGGGGTCCTGTTCGACAAGCTCGTTAGCACACCGGCAAACGGCACTTGGGAGCCTGACCTGGCCCAATTGCGACGCGGTGCCGTGCCACGGGCGGGGTTGAGAGGTGCCAATTGCCAATGTGACTGATCTCAGACCTCTTCGAGGGGAGAGACACCTCGGAGATGATGGAGCGGTGGGAATATCGAATCTGGTTCGTTGAGGGTCACCTCCCGCCCGGGGTAACTTGTGTCTCGTGGATGATTTGCATGTCCTGAGAGGACGAGACGAGAAACGAAATGCGACTATAAGATGCAAGGCGACGCTGATCGGACGCAGGAACAGGCCTTGTTGTAGATATTCATGCTCTGCCTCACCGAGTCATTCCTCCCACGTCACTCCCGTCAGCTGCAGTCGTGACAAGTTTCAGACATCAGATCGACCTATTTAGAGACGATCGCCCTGTTCGTCTCACGGAGTTTTATCTACCTTATCCGGCACCTTCACATTCTACCTCACATCTAATCCTACTTGACTTCCTAAGTCAACCTCACTCACAATGGCCCCTTCCGTCCTCCGCCTCGCCTCGTGGCTCGCCGCCGCCGTCAGCGTCTCCGCTGCCCCTCTCCAGCCTCGCGCCGTCATCGACCATGACGCCGTCGTTGGCTTCCCCGAGACCGTTCCTTCAGGCACCGTCGGTAACTTGTACCTCAAGTACAAGCCCTACCTCAAGGTCGTGAACGGATGCGTTCCCTTCCCCGCTGTCGACTCTGCCGGTAACACTGGGTACGTCCTCACTTACATCCTTCCTACAAACTCAGGAAGCTAACATCCTCCAAAGCGGCGGTCTCGCGACCTCCGGCTCCTCCAACGGCGGCTGCTCCTCGAGCACCGGCCAGGTCTACGCCCGCGGCGGCACCTACAACGGCGCCTACGCCATCATGTACTCGTACTACATGCCCAAGGACTCGCCCTCCACCGGCCTCGGCCACCGCCACGACTGGGAGAACACGGTCGTCTGGCTCTCCGCCGCCTCCGAGTCCGCCACCGTCCTCGGCGTCGCCGTCTCCGCCCACGGCGACTACGACACCAAGACCTCCGGCATCTCCTTCACCGACACCACCCACCCCCGCGTCGGCTACCAGAGCACCTGGCCCGTCAACCACCAGATGATCTTCACCAGCGAGCAGGGCGGCCAGCAGCCCCTCATCGCCTGGGAGTCGCTCACCAGCGCCGCCCGCACCGCCCTCGAGAACACCGACTTCGGCAGCGCCAACGTCCCCATGAAGGAGGGCAACTTCAACAACAACCTCGGCAAGGCCGCTTTGTAAAAGCACTTTCCCGCAGCTTTTCGGCCCTGGCGGATGATGTGAAAACGGGATGAGGATGACGATATTAGTATTTAATCGGGAAGCTTGACCACTTGGTCGGCTTCAGGGATGACTTCATGCACATAACTTATTAGTATGGAGCGAGGCCTTTTGATACCCTCTGACGACGGCTCCTTAATACATAACCTATTTTGACTATTTATATGTTTATTCCACATGAAATGCGATGAGATGTTGTGAATTGCGATGAGTTGCTATAAGCTGCGTTCAAGCGAAGATCATGATCTACAGGGAGCCCGGTTGCCTCAAGCGCGACGGCACATGAAGATCAGCTGAAGCGCAATCAAAATCTCGTGTCTCTCCTTTACACGTTCACAACCCCGTGTCAATCGGCCGAGTCGATCATCGAACTCAATTTCTGATCAATTTACCTGAAAAGGAGCCAAGTCATACTCGCGGGCATTCCCGCCGGCCATCAAAGCATAAATGAAGCCCACACCCTCATGGCAGGGAAGACGTGGTGTGCGTGCGACCGGTGCCTTCTCCAAAAACTCCGTCTCCAATTCTTGTCCGCCTGCCGAAGTAAGTAACACACCTCCGATGCACCAGCTCTTCTACAAAGCAGGAAATTGTAATCCAGTTGAAGCCGATTTAAGCGCTTGTGAGAGACTGGACATGGGATCCATCAAGGTTTGCTGTCAAAAGTCAATCGATGACTGCTCGGATATGTGAGGGGAAACTCAGTGAGCTTTACTAGTGGATGAGCCAACCCGACGGCGATTCATTCCACCCCCGCAATCACACGAATACAGGACTGAAAGAACCGGAAACGTCGGCTTCGGTGATGAATCCGTAAGTCCAGCGGGTAATATTGTTTCTACAGCCCACCAAACATGAGGTGCTGTCGTCGCCGTTCAGATCAGATTGAACCCACGTGGTCGACCAAGGTTGTCGCTCAACTGGGGCCCTTCCCAAGCGGTTGTGGATCTAACCCCGCACCGGAGAAACAAGCCAGGTTTAACCTGACGCTTCATATGCGGCATTTTCGCTTCAGGCTTCAACAACCAGCATATGGCCTCGTGGCGCAACGGTAGCGCGTTCGACTCCAGATCGAAAGGTTATCCGTTCAAATCGGGTCGGGGTCATCTCTTTTGCCTCTTACGAAGATGACATTGTCTTATTTTTGTTGTTTCTCTGCGTGGTGTTGATATTGAAAACATATGGTAATGCTTTGGTTGAGTTTGAGTGCTCTGTGCGGGGAGGCCGAATTGAGCTGGCTTTTATTTGTGTTTTTGGAAAGAGTGCGTTCACATGCGCCTGCTGGCAAGAGATGACAGAGCCTGGGTTGTGGTCGATTGAGAAACCGGATGAAGTGTGAGTTGGTGTGGTGGTGGACAAGTTGCTCTTTTCTCACCGACGCGTCACCGAGCTCGCCGATGGGTGCTTGCGCACAGATCATGTCCCGTCACCCGAGCGCCGGACGCGGCCCCACATCATCGTCCTCCGAGTTTCTGCCAGGAGCTCGTAGTCTGTATGGTAACGACGCAATTCATCATTGATTTCTATGTCTGAAACGCTACGCTAAGAGATCTCATGGTTCCTCATCTCAGTATGCTTCCATATCTCAAGACCACGTCGCACTTCTCAAATCGGTCTCCAGTAGCACAACAACTTTCTCGTAGATCTCCTGCCGAAAGCCGTCATCATTCAAATCAAGCGTTGGCCGCGCAAACTCTCCACATATACATCTTTGCACAGCGCTCGAATAGTTCATGCTGCCTATGGTTTGTTGCCGGAGCACTCTCTGGGCTGTTATGTAACCAGGCATGAGGCCCGCAGCGCCGCCTGGGGTTTCATCCTGGGGGATGCGGAGGGCTTCGACCGTACATCCAAGAATGAGCTCCAGCAACAAGAGCCCCAGTGCAAGAAGAGCGGGACTGCGACTGATACTTGTTGAATTCATATTGTCCTCATCCTCCTGGGGGTTCTCAGGAAGCCGCTTCATGATGAATGCGTTCTCATAACTCAGCTGGTTGTCGTTTTTAAGAAACAGGATATGACGGCTTGTCAAGATCTCTGGGAGCCAGGGAGTTTGCTGAAGTTTCAAGAAGCTTGAAGAAACCACAACGGCCAGCTGCAGCTTCGCTGTAAAAGACAAGTGAGGGTAGTCCAGAGGCTGCTCGAGGATTTCCCTCAGCGATACTGTCGACCATTGCCCGTACTCGTTGCTTAATACAGGGTAGACCCCGAACTCTCGATATGTTGTCGCAGTACGGTCATTGATCATTCCGAAACAGTCGAAACAGATCTGTTTCTGGCCTTTACGAATAACCTCGCACATGTTGATGAGATTGTTGGGATTTGTACTCGAGTGCCCAACACTGAGTGCCGAGAGGGATTCTTGAACGACCATCGTCGAAGTCTGACCGAAGCGGCTTGTCCTATTACTTGCTGCAGTTGGAGGCACAGCTTCTTGGAACGAAGGCAAGGCAGAACCGACAACCTTGCTGCCATCTCTTCCAGTTTTGCGGCTTTTGAAATGCCTTTCAGTCGGTGTGACGTTGTGGTCAGCCACTTGCGGAAGTGCCTGAACCCGTACTTTCTCCCAGGACAGCTGCATGTTTGACTTTCCACTGCCTTGGGTCTTTCTCTCAGACTTGAAAGTCAACGCAAACTGGAAGGCAATCTTCTGGATGATGTCCTCGTCCCCGTCGTCCTGTGCAATAGCGGTTGTATGAGATGTCAGGCCCAGATGGACATCGTGAGCACAGCTGCACTGAAAGCTGGATTTCATGGCACGGTATAAGCTACCGGAGATCTCGCGAATCAGCGTTATGAGCCGCCCTTGAGATCGCAGTCTCCTATCTGGCTCCATCTTGACGTTTCGGTCGATTAGAGATTCGAGGCTGGTGATGCCGTTCTTGATCGTCGTTAACTGTTCTTCGTAATCCGATCTCTTTAGCACAAAAGCAACACGTTTGAGACCTCTGCTGAAGAGTGTATCGTTTTTCTGACTTATCTAATTATCGAGTTAGTAATAAGATGACAAGATGACTGTCTCCTTACCTCGCTTTGAGATTGAAAACCAAGCCGTTGCTTCAAATCCGCAGTAGCCTCTTCCATGTCTTTGACGGTTGTCTCAAACACACCATAAGACCTCCACAGCCGAACCTTGATCTTTGCTTGGATGGACTCGTCATTCCATGCTGGTCCGGTAGGGTGGTTGACCATTGATTCGATTTGGCCCGCTGGGACAAGGCCAACAAGAAGCTTTTCGCAGACATCTTGGAATCTGACCTTCTCAGTCTCTAGATTCCGGACCAGGCTGCGAAGCTCCCGGTCGTATCTTTTCCACCTTTGGATTCCTGACATAACATCTTGACGGTGCTCAAGAAATGAAATAACCAGAGGAATACTGCCTAGGATGACGCCTAACACCTCAAAGCCGGACATCTTTCCGTTCACTGAATTTCGACATTCAACGAAAGATCTTGAACGGTTTTGAGCGAGTTGTTTCGAAATATTAACCAGAAGCGGGGAAGCTTGCCTCAGTCGTAAGTGCGCAGTCTCAGCTGACCATAAGCTGCAGAACACCTCATGATTCGTTCGTTGTGCGGGGTTTATCAGATGCTGCAGGTGCTCCCTGTTAGTCTGCTACAAAGATCGGGGCAGATTCATACCGGATAGACCCAAGGATGATCTTGAGATCGCGACCAACAGTATTTGAGCGACGCCGTACTTCCCTATCTGCCAACCTCTCCCTCCCCTCGTCATAGTCCACAACATAATCACACGCTCAGTTTTCGATTTCAAACTTGTGAGTTCACACTTACGTACAACATATATTTATCTTTTCCCTCACTGTGAAATGGCAGAAGGCATTGGTAATGCCGTATCGGGGGCACTGGACAAATTCGAACATCTCTTTTTCGCCATCCGAGAATCTGACGAGGACACTTTGCGATCACGTCTATTGCCAAGCTTTGAAGACGATCTAGCCCGTTTCAAGGTTTGGGTAGGCAACAGCGGCGCGCACAGGACAGGCCGCGCATCTCTCGAGTATCGCCTTCGCGATGCATCACATATACGCCACCAAGTTCTGAGACTCCTTCGTGAGCTACAAGAATCTCTTGATGAGGCCCAAGACATTATCGAAGGCCGGGTGACGCCATGGGACGAAAGTGAAGACGAGGTGGAATGGGCAGATGGCCTGGCGACCGACACCGAGATTTCCCAGATCGCCTTAGATATCACAGACCTGGTTGACTGCCTCTTGCGTTTGAGCGTATCCATTCAGAATCCTTCACCACACGATCGCTTCGTTGCTTCTTCCCAGACCGATACATCTGCTTACGAAGGCCATGACATTCAACACGTTCAACAAAAGTTCCAGGGCATCGACGTGTTTCTCGCACAGCGACTGGGCAAGGCAAACTCTCGACGTCGTCAGTATTTCAAGTACAGAGAAGCGCACTTTCAAACGCTTTCTCATGGCCTTGAAGCCCACGGGAACACGACCAAGTCGGAGATCGTCCCTAGCACCCTTGCTGGTTCAATCCCAAACCACAGGAAGGATGGAGCGTTTTTCGACATTTCTGGCGATGACTATCAATCAGACGGAGAAGGTTCACAAACATCATTTGCCACGTCCGTTTCGAACCCGAAGACCCTCAAGGTCCCGCCTATGCCAGAGGGAGCACCCGACAGGCCTTGCTTGTGTCCCTTCTGCCAACAGATAATCTCGATACGGAGCACCGCAGCATGGAAGTGAGTAATAGCCCAACGCTGACCATGCTGCACTTAATCTTACTGAAACACATAGGAAACACGTCTTTGAAGACCTTCAACCCTACAGCTGTCTTGCTGCTTTATGCACGGCACCAGACCAGACGTTTTCAAGACGAAATGCCTGGATGCAACATATGCTTGGAAATCATCTGAGACTGTACCGATGTCCATGTGGATGTGGAGAAACCTTCTTCTCCGCCAAAGATTCTCAAAACCACTTACTTCGAACCCACCCGGGGGCGATACCGGAAAGTCATATCGATAGCATCGTCGACCTGAGTTCTCGGCCCTTTCCACAAGACGCGAGAATCAACTGTCCCTTTTGCTCAAGAACACTTATCTCATTAAAGCAGTACCGTCGACATGTGGGTAATCATCAACAGGACTTAGCCCTTTTCGCCTTGCCTAATATTGACAACGCCGATGAATGCGAAGATGACGATTCAAACAGCAAAGAGGATAGTGATGAGAGTACTTCAGACGAGGTAGAGCTATCATTTTCTGGGGGATCACCATCTAATCCTACAGAGGAGCAACATAACGACGTGAACACGGTGCCCATACAGCCGGTTGAATTTCAGAGTCGTCAACCTCAGCAGTCGCTTGAATTCGTTCCAGCACCAGTGACACAACATTCAAGTCAACATCAATCGAGACAGCAACAGCGTGAGAGTCGTGTTCGATCAGACCTTACTTCCAACACGGTCCCTAGTTCACGGTCGAATGAATACTTCGTCCCGCGACACGGCATAGATCCCGAGGTAATCCAGGCAGATATTACAAGATACCTCGGAAACGATGCCTTAGTACGACCAGGTCACTATGAAGTAAGAATCATGATGTTTTCAACCAATATCCAACTATTTTCGTCTACAGCATGTCTAACATTCACGTAGGATCCTCAGACCGGCCAAATCATCCAAGGCTACTATATTACATGCTTTCGCCAATTGACAACAGTCAGTCACGTATGATACGAGAGATGTTAAAAGAAAATCGACTGATTTTGGAAACAGGCAATGATTGATGATTTGAAACGTGACTCCGCTCGATGGGCAAAGGAGAAGCGTCGTATATTAGCAGCGAGGGAACTTCACGCACGAAATGCTCAATATGATACACCAGATTTTGGGGGACCTAGGTATTATTCTCATCCCTAGAATAGAATACTTCGAGCTAAATTTGACGCATACTCTTTGTTGGAAAATTTGGTTCGTCTCCAGGAACATCAAATGCTAGCCCATCTAAATCTAACGAGAACAATATTGCTCAAGAAAACGTTAACCTTCTGATTGATTCCTCAAGTGGCCTCACAACTTTCTCATACATCTCTTGTCGGAAGGTCTCATCTGTCACATCTCGCTCAGGCCCAGCGAAGTCGCCACAGAGACAGAGTTGCACCGCATTGGCGTACTCCTTGTTCAGCCAGTTTCTCTCCATGAAGAGCCTCTGAGCCGTGAGTGAGGCTCGGAACAAGTTTTCGTTGTCATTGTAAGGTCTCTCATATGATTCCTGACACGAATCGATCGTCTTGCCATGATGGAGCTCTGAAAGAAGGATGCCAAGTGACACCAAGGCCGGATTCCGAACGAAAGAAGCATTCTTAAGATTGTGTTCGCCTTTTCTCGTGTCCTCGGTATGCCGCTTCATGACGAAGGCGTCATTGAATTGCATATACACGTTTCCGGGATCGTCCGGCTTCTTCAGGAAGATGATGTGGTCACCGGTCATCAGATCCAGAAGCCAGGGCGTTTTGTAAAGCTGCAGGAAACTCGAGGTGATCATGGTGGCGAGGTGCTGCTTTGCTGTGGGCGACATGAAAAGTGCTGGTCGTGGGTTTTCAAGATATTGTTTCAGAGAGAAAGTCTCCCATCCTTGATTCCCGATGGCGTTGGCAACTCGACAGACGCCGAACCAACGGCCCTGCTGTTGCGGACTATGATCCCCTATCATGCCATAACTACCATCCACTGGAGCTTTCGGACCCGCTCGGATGCTTTGGCATAGATTTATGCATTTTTGTTGCATTTTGCTGGTCGAATCAGACGCTTGCACTGACGGAGCACCGTTGGCAACCGGGGGGCCTGTGGACTGCAGGAGTGTTGTCGTCGTTGTAGTTGCGGTAGAGCGGATTGCGAGACTTCCAGTCGATATGGAGCTCATATTAGAGATTCGGGATGAATAGGGCGTAGTCATTGTCGACATCTTTGTGTTGGTGACTATCGATGGATTGGGTCTGACGACAATTTCATCCCACGTCACGTCAGAGCAACACTGTGATGAATCTGGCGGGTCCGGTCTGTCGCCGGAGTTCAAGACAAGCTCAAACTCAAGTTGGTGGATGATGTCCTCATCATTATCGCTGATTCTGCTCTCGAGCGAACGCGCTTCCAAGCGGAGATGTAACTCATGAGAGCAAGTACAGGGCAGGCTGAAGCACAAGGCTCGGTACACGTTCCCAGAAACTTCGCGCACCAGTTTGATCAGCCTTCCTTGGGATCTGGTCTTGCGATCTGGTTCCAATCGGAGGGATCCCATGACTAGCCGCTCGATAACGTTGATGTTTTTGATTACCCTGTCTACCAGGCCTTCGTATTTTGACTCCCTAAAGGTGAATATGAAGCGGTCCATTGCGCCAGGCATCTGGGGGGAGACTTCATCGTCCTTGACGCCGAAGAAGATAGTCAGCTACTATGAGTCGCTTCATTTCATACAGTTTAGTACCTTTGGGTCTGTGTTCACCGCTTGTGCACTCTGTTGTCTCCGTCAGTCCAGGAGCTGTTCTGGTAGGAATTTGTAGCATACCCCAGCATCTGACGGCAAACGCAGCCGTCTCATGAGCTCGACGATTGCCAGTCTTGTATCTTCAAACCTCTCCTCGATCTCTTGAAACACAAATGGATCCCACAATCGAGACCTGATATCCCTTCTGACGGACTCGTGTCCCCACGATGGGCCCATTGGATCCTTGATCATCTTGTCGATTTGATGACCGGGTACGATGCCCTGCAACAAACTCTCGCAAATGTTCTGAAGTCGTCTTTTTTCGGTGTCCAAATCTCTCGCTAGTCCCCGTAACTTCAGTTTGTGCTTGCGCCATCTGTTTAGCACCGACGCTGCCGTGCGGTAGTGCTCGAGACCTGAGATGATGAGAGGGATGCCCCCCAAGATAATCCCAACCACTTCAAATCCGGACATGGTAAAGAGGATTGGTTTGGACAGCAAAACACAAGTACATGTAGATGGCTCGTGACCTTTTGATGAAGAGAGCGGGGAAGTGGTCGCTTGCGAGCCTGACTCTTCCCCTTCGAGCTGCAGCTGCAGCTGCCAGGCTGCGCATCAAAATGAAGACTATTGGCTGCTTCCAACGCGGGATTTGATAAGTTGCTTACCAGCAGCCCGAAGTGTCGTTACTAATTGATTCCCTTCAACGTAACTGGGGCGCATACGTACAGTACCCCTCCCAATATCCACCCTTATTGTTTTGGCTCGCCATACCCAACGACGTGTCTTCAAAACATCACAAAACCCTTGCTATGAAACAATTCTTCTTCATCTAGATGAAGACATACCTTGCGCTCGTCGAACCGTTTCTCAAGGCTATCTCTCTGATCGGTGATGATGCCGACTTCTATCCGCGAAACTACCTCGGTGGCCTTGCAAGCGTTCGAAAGCCTCATGGAAGAGATAGGATCCAAACTGGCATCTGATCCATCGGAAACGCTTTCGAAGTGTGCGCCAAAGTTCGAGTCCGAGTTCGTCAGACTCAGGATATGGGCCGCGGAGGTCTCCGCCGATGGCCTCGACGACGCCTCGTTGGAATACCGGCTCCGCGACTCCTCCCACCTTTATGACCATATTAGATCCCTCCTGTCAGATCTGAACGAAATGCTCGAATCTTCAGAAATGATAGTCTCGGATGAAAGAACACCATGGGACCACATAGAGTCTGACGAAGACGATGTGGATGAGTCAGATTCGGATTCGGGGACGGAAATCTCCCAGATCGCGGATGAAGTCGTTGGCATCTTGGACTGCCTTGCCAGACTCACCACGTCTATTCGAACGCCAGCCCCGCACGACGGTCTTGATGATGCTGGCACATTCGACCGGAGCCGATCTACGGGTCAGTCGCGTAATATTCAGTATGTCCGTGACAGATTTGCAAATACCAGGGATGATCTGGCAGAGCGTCTCGGAAAGTCCATGGTCAGACGAAGAGAACGGTTCCAGTCCAGACTCGGGGAAATTCGAATAACATCCGAAGAAGGTCATTTTGAAGTGGCACCGTCGCCTTCAATTAAAGCGTTCCCTACACGTCTTGAATGTGCATTTTGTAACCAACAAAGTACCATGGAAGACGAGGCTTCATGGAGGTAAGTTCTGTTCTCCACAATGTGCTACTGCATGAATACTGACTTTGTATGATATAGAAGGCATTTTCTAAGCGACATCCGGCCATATATTTGCACTGCAAAAGACTGCATGACACCGTACTACGAATACTCAACTCCCGAAGAATGGTTCCAGCACATGCTAGCCAACCATTTGAGAAGCTACGATTGTCCTTTCGGTTGCGATGCAAGTTTTCCCTTGGCGAGCGAAGCCCGAGAGCACTTCACCACCCTTCATTCACAAGCAGTCGCCAAAAGCCAGATCAACGATTTAGTTATGCTCAATTCCAAGACTCTGAATACCTTCACATGCGCTCTCTGCTCAGAAATTCTGAACTCATCGGTTGCGTACCGAGCACACGCAGGAGAACATCAAGTGCAACTGGCACTGTTCTCCTTGCACGCCGAGGATGGGCGTACACAGCCAGACAGCAAGGGCGAAATTCCAAGCAAGGAGGAGACAGGGGAAGGCTCTGCATCACAAGCTCAAAGAACTGGGAGTTTGGAAGAGGTTTCCGCTTCAATTGCGGCACCTCTTGCACCAACAGCAACGCCAGTACGGTTATATAATCGTGGCATCGTTGATAGCCGTGGTAGAGTATACGTCTGGACCTGTGTAAGTGAACCGACGCTTCCACTCACTTTGAACGGATGGTTAACATACTCCTAGTGTCAGTGTGGCGACAGTGGCATGACGTTTGTGTTAAAAAATTGTCCAACTTGTGACAGCATCCGATGCGATCATTGCCCAGTGCATGTAGGTAAGGTATGGAAGTCGGAAAAACAGGAAGACCCTGTATATGTATAGTAAGTTGGTGGTCTGAGTATACGGCAAGAGGTTCTCTGGGGCAGGAAACGACGTTTCAATCTTCTCCGCAATGGGCATCAATCTTTGTCGCGATGGGCTACAAAATGAATAGGTAGGGGTACGCGGAAGATTCCCAAGAACTGCCAATATATACTTTTCATTATACCACCCATCAACATCCTCGATATAAGCTACAGGGAACGACTGCTACCAAGATGCCACCCGACGCCACCCCAGTAGCTTGCCATGCAAAAACAACAATGAACCACATGTAAGAAGTTTTTGGTGGTTATGGGAAGTAGTGGAAGAAGACCAAAAAAGGGGGTATGTCATTACGGAAAGTGTATTACATGGGATGTTTGGTGTGTGTGAGAGTACTACACGCGCGCGCTATGTGACCAGGATATTGCTAAAGGCGTCCGATATCTCGCTCGGGGTCGGGGCTTGGAACTTTTCTGGCGTGTATCCGGCGGCGAGGCGCTCCTGCATCATCTTCAGAAGAGTGGCGGGGACGCTCTCGTCGGTTGCGCGGATGGTCAGACGGATCATCTGTGAATCATTAGTCAGGATGGACTTTAGTTTTAGACGGGTTGACAAACCTGAGTTCCGTAGTTGGGCTCCAGACGCATCAAGCAACCAAATTTGCCTGATTCAGAGGTATGCAAAACACTGGCACCGACAAAGTTCTTCGCGTTGGGGTCAACACCGTCCAGGATGCGCCACCTGAAGCCGTCGACTGTCTGTCTGACGAAAGACTCGGTGATCTCCCTGTCAGCAACCTTGCCGGGAGACAGGCCAAAGATACCCTGGGCCTCGCGAGGCGCTCCGCCGATCTGCTTCCAGCGCTTGAAGAAGTCTTCGGCGGTCAGGTCTGCGGGGTCCATAAACTTGTGAGCGGCGAGTGGCAGCTTGAGAGTGATGGCCTGCAAGGCACCGGCAAGGTAGCTGATACGGATCGTCGGGCTCTTGTCGAATACCCTCTTGCACTCGAACATGATAACCTGCTGTGATTGGCCAGCCTGGTAGATTGTGCTCTCCGGCAAGTTCTTGACGTCCCACGTGAGCTTGCCCTTCTCGGCTTCATCGAGGTCCAGTGTTGTTGTGAACGAGCTAAGTGCCGTGGGAATCTTGTTCTTGAAGTAGAGAATGAGGCAAGCCATCTGTCCTCTGTACTCGGATCGCACACCAACTTGGATCTGGCCATCCTCGTACAGGACACCTTCGCCCTTGAGCAGCAGCTTGTTGTAGCCGACCTCCCAGTTGGGTGACAAGTGAGCTGCACTCGCCAGGTTGGGGGCCTTGGTCTTGGGTTCGGCAGGGCCGATGTTCAACATGTCAAGACCAGCCAAGTCGTTTGCGCCATTTCCATGGCCATTCGTTCCGTTGGCGCCGTTTGCTGGAGGGTTGCCGTTTGTGCTAAAAGTCCGCCTGAGCCCACCATCCTTGGCCATCTTGAGCTCTTGCACGTCTGCGTTGGCATCCTTGCCGCCAACGACCCAGGTTCTCTTATCACTGGTGTTGGCGTGCTTCTGATGCACTCTAGCAAGCAGCGCGGACTGCCTCTCGGGGAACGGCGGCATCTCGTCCATTACCGTTCGAAGGAGATCGTCTGTCGGCATTGTCGCGAGTGTCAGATACTCGCACGCTCTCTGCTGGAGCTCGGAGTCGAGCGTGTGGCTGAACACCTGGAATGCCTTGAGAAGCTGGGGCTTGATTTCGGGGAAGAGGTTGACGTATTTGACGTAGCAGGACAGAATCATGGCCCGTGTACTTGAGGAACAAGCGGCGACCTTGCTCTGGAGAGCCATGAACTGCTCGATCGGGCTGCACTTGGGCTGGTCGGCAATCAGATGGCCGAACTCTCCCAAAATGTACGCTCCAATCTTGACCAACGTCTCGTGGCAGTGATCTGATTTGACGTATTGCAAGGAGTGCTGGGCCGCGTAAACTTGCAGCTCCTCGTTATTCGTCACAATTTGGATGACACGCTGCCACACCTCATCGCTTACGTGATCACCCGCCATGGCGATCAGACGAAGTGAAATGTCCACGTACCACTGGACATCAGTGGCGTACCGTTCGGTAAGAATGGCAATCTTGAGCACCATCTCTTCTCGGATCGCGAAATCGGCATTCTGGAGGTAATGCAGCAGCTCGCCGACAATGACCTGGGCATTCGAAGAGTCGCACATGCTGTAAAGGAGGTCGAGACCCTTCCTCCTCACACTGATATCCCTGTCCTTGAGAGACCCGATAATGACATCCTGATGTTGCTTGATCGGCTCCAGAGTGTCGATACGGGCTGCCAAATGCGTCATCGCCTCCAATCCCAGGTAACGGACGTTCGTTTCCCTAGAAGTCAAGAATCGTCCGAGTCGGGATGAGATCTGCTTGAGAAGCGCATTTTCGTTTTCGAGGTGAATGATCAGGTTGATGGCTTCAAACAGAACAGCATTTTGCGCATTATTCTGCTGTACGTTCTTGGTCTGCTCCATTGCGAGGTTCAGGATCTTTTGCAGCGACTCGCGAATCATCTCCCGAACGTGTGTATCATCTGCGACAGTCAGCACGTCTCACACCTGACTCAACGCCCAATTCATCAACTCACCTGACGGAGGGAAGTACTGCAGCAGGCGCAGGAGCTTAACCTGAACCCACGGGCACGGAACCTTGTAGTAGAGGTAGTCCGGAGTGTACTCTCCATCGATCACGATCCTCTTCAACCGGGCAGCAGCCTTGGCGTACGCGCCTCTGTATTGGTTGAGATTGTCCTGAGCAAGCGTCATAACAAGCGACGTAACGGACAACGCAACACCGATATCGATGTCGTCCATGAGGGAAATGATGCGCTCAGCCCATTGCGGTTGGACGATGTCGGGGTTCTTGCGATAGAGACGGAGCAGTGTGAGCGACGCCTTCTTCTTGACGAATGCCTTCGATGTGCTGTGTAGCTTGTTAGCCAGCGCACTCCACCAGAGCTTGGGTGCACATACGGCGAGATGAGAAGCCTATGCACCTCTCCACTCAGAGCCTCTCCCATCTCCCTTCCACCGACGTTGGCGATCGCATGGAGGGCCAGGCAGTTGAACAGCTCATTGTGATCCAGCAAGTCCTTTCGTATACTGTTGACGACCAGGTGCAGCAGCTCGTGCTTCTCGTGCAGGAACAGGGTCATAGCCAGGTATCCGATCTGCTTTTCCGAGTACTTGTTCGCCGAAATGAGGTTGACCGCTTCGAGGTGGCCGAAGTCGACGTTCCATCCGAGGATGTAGATGTAGAGGAGCTTCGCAGAACGTCAGAGCAACGCCTTGCAATCCACGGAGGTAGTCCCTACCTTGCACACATATTTCTTCTTGTGGTATCCGCTGAGGTTTCCATCTGTGCTGGAGTTAGTACCACCACACCGCGATGTCCGGACGCGACCGTCTCTCACCCTTAAACTTCTGACTACACCGAGACTCTGTCAGCACATCGTCACGAGACCACAAACCGCGAGCCCGGCTGCCACTCACCGAATGTTGGCCAACTCCTTGTTGATTCGCTTCTCTTCCAGCTCCCTGGCTCTCGCGTTTCTCAAATCCGCAATGAACTGGACCAGACCTCGCATGTTGGAGTTGTTGCTGGTCGAGCGGCCCAGAAAGCCGCTTCCGCCGGACGACATGGTTGCGGTTGTTTTCGGGTTCGTCGGGGTCCCGCCCTATTCCTATTTCCTGTTCCTTCTCTTCGCTTTTCCACTCGTCGTCAACCGGACTGGCGGCGTCGGTGTCGCCACGTCGCGAGGCTTGGGCGCAGCGGTCTGAACTCGGTGGTCGGCGAGGACGGAGGTACACGTTCTTCGATTCGACGAGGGAACGGAGCCTTCTCTGCTGCCGCTGCTTCAACCGACCAGAAAACAAAAATCCTGCTCTTCGGCGAGCGTGAGGTCGATCACTCCATACGTGCGAGCGGTGTGTCGAATTTGTAATCGGGCACCCAGCAGCAGCTAAGTATGTTGCGGCTTGGGAGCTGTTTTTGGGGTTGGATCGGTCGGTCGGTCGGTGGACGGTGGCTTCGGCGGATGGAACTCGAAACCGGCCGGTAAGTGCCGCTGCGTGTATTGTCTCGTTGGCTTGCGTCGGATGGGCGGCCAAGTCGTACGTCAATCTTGACAGGCGGTTCCTGGAGAGATGAATATGTCGATTCCCGACGTTGCACTGAGCAAGGCGAAGGAGAGCGAAAAAGCAGCAAGGCCAGGGAAAGGGGTTCAAATTGGGGAAGTGGGCGTGAAGGCCTGAAGGGACACCACTCTGCACCGCTGCACTGACTGAATGGACCCGCGGCGGGAAGCGACACCGTGACTTTGGACCGGAAGGCTTGGGAAGTCCAATCCGATTTTTTGGGGCGTGTGGAGATGGGGCAGGCCGCACCTTAGTACGGATACACTGCAATGAGTCCTGTCAAAAGAAACTCACGGGCGCTGCAAGGTCAATGTCAGAGCGTTGTTGTTGCCGCCAGATGCGCTGTGGAATGCGGGAATGCCTGCCTTCCTTGGTGTCACGGTGCTTGTTGCTTGCTTGTTCCCGTCCGTCGTCGCTTGAAGACTGGGCGCAGTATCCGTAAAAGCAGTAAAAAGTCAGGGGTGCAAGGTACTTCCCCGAGCGCTGTTGGTGCTGATGTTTGGAAGCTCGTCTGCTGCTCCGGCCCTGCTGCAATTCTGGCCGGGGGGGACGGGGACCGGGGGTTTTAGTGTACGGGCTGCAAACAACCAGCCTATCACCATCCCGTCATTGCACCGGCGGCAGGTAAGGTACGTATCTCGACGCTAAGCTCGCAGCTCCTGCATCATCGAAGTCCAAAAATCCCATTGAGAGAGCACTCCGGCAAGCTGCAAGCTGCAAGCTCCCCCTCCTGCCTCGTGGACGATTCTAAAAGAAGCAAAACCTTCTTTTTTTTTTTTCCACACTCCCTCTCTCCCTGCAGGATAAGGTCATTCTTCGCCTTCTTCCCCTCCCACAGACCTCCTTCGCCAAACGTCAATTCCTCGTCTTCTTCTTCATGTCCGCCGTGCGTCCGCTCAGAGATGTAATGCGACCAATGAACCACACACTCAGACGGCTGTGCCTAGCCACGGCCCCGACATCCCGTGCCGCCTCCGGACTGCTCCGGGGACCTACCGCCGTCCCGCGCCGCTCTTACGCCTTCACATCCGCCGGTGCCCCGACGTTCCAGGTCTTCAACCGCCGTACGAAATGGTTGCAAAAAGAGCGTGCCGCATCAGACCCGGAGGCGAGCCGGCAGGCCGATTACCTTAAAGATGAGGTTGCCATGCGCCTATGCGAGAGGTTACTTGTACGTCTACATCCCTTAGCTGCCATTACCAATTCCAGAGACTAACGCAATACACAACATACAGGACATCAAACGAAGCTTCCCCCGCGTCCTCGACCTCGGCGCGAACTCGTGCAACATCGCCCGCGCCCTGACCCGCGAGAACCCCGACCCCGATCCCGCCAAACCAATCTCCCCGCCCCTCGCAACCCGCATACAGGAGCTCGTCGCCGCCGAGTCCTCCCACGCCCTCCTCCACCGCGACGCCGACCTCCCCTTCAACTCCGACATCAACATCACCCGCCAGGTCCTCGTCGACGAGGAGCACGTCCCCTACGACCCCGCCTCCTTCGACCTCGTCCTGAGCTCCCTGAGCCTGCACTGGATCAACGACCTCCCCGGCGTCCTGACCCAGATCAACAACGTCCTCAAGCCCGACAGCCCCTTCATCGGCGCCATGCTCGGCGGCGACTCCCTCTTCGAGCTGCGCACCTCCCTCCAGCTCGCCGAGCAGGAGCGCCGCGGCGGCATCTCCCCCCACGTCTCCCCGCTCGCCGACGTCCGCGACGTCGGCGGCCTCATGCAGCGTGCCGGCTTCAAGATGCTCACCGTCGACGTCGACGACATCATCGTCGACTACCCCGACACCTTCGCCCTCATGCAGGACCTCCAGGCCATGGGCGAGGGCAACGCCATCCTCGGCCGCGAGATGGGCGCCATCAGGAGAGAGGTCCTGCTGGCCAACGAGGGCATCTACAGGGAGCTGCACGGCAACGAGGACGGCAGCATCCCCGCCACCTTTAGAGTAATCTACATGATCGGCTGGCACGAGGGCGGCGATCAACCCCAGCCACTACCCAGAGGATCCGGTGACGTGAACCTGAAGGACATTCTGGAGTCCAACTAAAGATACCTCACACCATGTATAAAAAACGTAAAAGCCCTTGTAAAACATGAACAAAAATCTATGGCTCTCATTTTCTTTTGGTGACACGCCCTGTCTGACCAACATCTGACCAGACAAAAGCTCAGCGCTCTAAAAGTGATTCTGTCTCAATCATGGTCTTCGTAATTCCACTTCATCCCCACACAATCCTCCCAAACTCAAACCCGTCTCCAATCCGTCATGACACGACCAATCGATCCCAGCCCGGCCACGTCGACGACCTTCTCGTGCCAGCTGAGCATCACGCTCATCGCGCTGCCGACGTTCTCGTTCGCGCCGCCCGGTCGTCCCCCGATCTGGCTGAACCCGCCGGGCGCCGCGGCCTGCGACGGCGGCGGCGACCTGAGCCCCGAACCGCCCGAGGAGCCCGCCATGCCCTTGTAGATGTACTTCATCAGCACGTCGAGCAGCTCCGGGCCGCCGGGGGAGCCGTAGATGGACTTGAGCAGCGGCGTCATCTCGGAGGCCTTGATGGACTGGAGGACCTCGGTGATGGTCGCGAGGTGGGCGTCCTGCACAGTAGTTGTCAGTATGACCCATCACTTCTAAGGAAAATCGCAATGAGATCGTAAAAAGAACGCACCTTGGCCGCGTCGGCGCCGTTGTAGACCGGAAACTCCAAGCACCCCCTCAGCGCGCCCTCGGCGTCACCGCCGCGGAGCAGCTGCCTGACCTGGCCCGCCAGGCCGCGGACCTCGGCCTCGTCGATCTCGGGCTGGGGCGGGCGCAGCGTCGACGTGTCGAAGTTGAGCGGCGAGTCCTCCTGCAGGGCGTCGATGTTGATGGTGCGCCAGGCGTCGCTGAGCGACTCGGCAGTGTGCTGCTGGATGATGGACATTGTGTGAAAGGCGTCCCTGGAGAGTTTGTGTTTTGGGGATAAACTAGGGGGATGCCGAAGGAAAGGGTCCTCTCTCTTTGTGGTCGTCGGTTCGTTGGCGCAATTGAGCGGCGGTCGTCGTCGTCGTCGTGGGCTTTGCTTGCTCTGCTCTGGAGAAGCTGCCTTGGGTTCGTTGCGTACGTCGGTCGGGAGGTGAGGTAAGGTAGCCGCAGTGGTGGGGTTTGGGTTGGCTCGTGTGGAGGAGTGTGGGGTTCGATGAGGCGGTGCGGCTGCTTGATGAAGATGGTCTGTGCGCAAACAGATCACCGCTGTTGCTGTTTGTCTGTCACTGAGATTCGTGCTCCCTGATGTTCTCAGCAGATCTCTGGGCAAGGAAGGCTTGGCTTCATTGCTTTGATCTTGCTAGGTTCTTCTTCGATTAACACTCACTCGATTCTGACTTCAGGTCCCGTTGGCAAATTGTGGCGCAGTCCAAAGTATGGCAAGTAATTATGCTTGAATTGAAAAGGAAACACTGACAAACATCTCTCACTGGACCCCGACATGATAGGAACTAATAATTGCATGCCATTCTCTAGGTCCAAAAGCTGCCCGCACGCACCCTCGGGCCCCGCCATACGTATACACAAGACTAAACCGACAACCCTTCTGCTGTCGACATCGAGGATATCAATTGCCCGCACGCACGGTTTTCCCCGCTTATGCGTCAATCAGGTTCTCCTCGTTCTGCTGCACCTGCTCCCTCTGCTTGCCCTTCTCCTTGGCCTCCTTCGCCGCACGCTGGTAGAACTCGTTGAGGACCTTTCCGGGAATACGGTTGAGAAGCTCCTTGGGGTAGAGGCGCAGCAAGCTCCACGCGAGGTCGAGAGACTCGAAAATGCTTCGCGACTCGTACTGGCCCTGGCTGATGAACTGGCGTTCGAACTTCTCGAGGAACTCGAGGGAGAGCTTGTCCTCGGCAGACAAGGCCTCCTCACCGACGACTGCCTTCATGGCAGCGGCGTCACGACCGATGGCGTACTTGGCGTAGAGCTGGTTGGAAACATCACCGTGGTCCTTTCGGGTCATGCCCTCACCGATGGCAGACTTCATGAGACGAGAGAGCGACGGCAGGACGTTGATGGGCGGGTAGATACCACGGTTGTACAGACCTCTGTCGACGTAAATCTGACCCTCCGTGATGTAACCCGTCAAGTCGGGAATGGGGTGAGTAATATCCTCGTTGGGCATGGTCAAAATGGGCACCTGGGTGATGGAACCGTTGCGACCCGACACACGACCGGCTCGCTCGTAAATGGTGGACAAATCAGTGTACATGTAACCGGGGTAACCACGACGACCCGGGACTTCTTCACGGGCGGCCGAGACCTCACGAAGAGCATCGCAGTAGGCCGACAGATCGGTCAGGATAACGAGGACGTGCTTCTCGAGCTGGTAGGCGTAGTATTCGGCGGTCGTCAGGGCGAGACGAGGGGTAATGATACGCTCGATACTGCGGGTTGTCAGCTTTGAGCTCTGATCCGATACTGCGCATTACTCACGTAGGATCGTTGGCAAGGTTGAGGAAGAGAGTGACACGCTCCAGAGAGCCGTTCTCCTCGAAATCGCGGGTGAAGAATCTGGCGGTTTCCAAGTTGACACCCATGGCACCGAAAACAATGGAGAAGTTGTCTTCGTGGCCGTCGTGAACACCCTTGTTGGTGACACCCTTCTGCTGGACCAGACCAGCTTGTCTGCAAATCTGGGCGGCGATTTCGTTGTGCGGCAGACCGGACGCAGAGAAAATGGGGATCTTTTGTCCACGGGCGATGGAGTTCATGGTGTCGATGGCAGAGATACCGGTCGAAATCATTTCCTCGGGGTATTCCTAGCCGCTGTTAGTCTCTCGTTCGTGGTCGTCTTCTTGAGAGCGTATAACGTACACGAGAGAAGGGGTTGATGGGACTGCCGTTGATGTCGAGGTAGTCCTCAGCCAGGACCTTGGGGCCCTTGTCGATAGCTCGTCCGGAACCATCGAAGATACGACCAAGCATGTCCTCCGACACACCAAGCTTCAAGCTCTGGCCTGTGAACTCGACTTTCGTCTGCGGAGTATTTAGCGCACGTATCCCAATACAGAGATGGCGATGATCTCATACCTTCTTAACATCGATACCTGATGTGCCCTCGAAGACCTATTCCATCGTCAATCGGTGCTCTTCGTACGATCGCTTCGTTTCGCATACCTGAACAACGGCTCGGTCGCCTATGGATGTCGTCAGCACGTAGTTCGCCTGGGAAGGGCGTTGAAAGGGTAAATACCTCGAGCCTCAAGGACCTGACCCTGTCTGTTGGTTCCATCGGGAAGGGTCAAAGAGACGATCTCGTTGTATCTGGGGAATTTGACCTAGGGGCAAGTCAGCGCATGTATCCTGTACCTTCGCTGCCGTCGATGCAGCCACCGCGGGCGACACGCACATTCTCGAGGATGACGAGGGGTCCGTTGACACCGCCGACGGTGTTGTACCGAATTCTCGGCACGATCGAGTAGGAGGGCTCGCGCGGGTCACTCATTGCGTCGACAATCAATGAGACAGCGCCCGATTAGAAGAATATGCGAATGGAGGGGGCGAGGGCGTCAATAGGGAGGGCGTGGGCGGGCGAGGCGTGGATGGTTGAGCGATGGTCGGTGATGTATGCAGTGCACCGAAGCTGAAGGAGGTTGGCAGGTGCAGTGTCGTCTACTGCGCTGCACTGGACTGGAGCTTGCTTCGTCTTGGTGGAGCCAGTTCGGCGAGGTGGTGGCGCCGATACCTAAGATCCCTGGGGCGCGCGGGTCTGGGAGCTCCCAGTGCCACTGGACCTCTCTCCAGGTGTGTCAGAGTCAGCATTTCCGGGTTAGCTTCCTCTGGTAGTGTGGCAGTGACATCACATGACTGCACGTCCCCTTCGAGTCTTTGGATGGCCTGCAAACGGCAGTTGGAGAGCAGAAGTCGAGTAGCAACGATGCTTGAACTTGTTATTGAGATTGAAAATCGCTTGAGTGACTAGATTACGCCGCCGCCGCCTCACGAGATCTGGCTCCCAGCACCGCCTTACCAACAGTGCTGTCATTGCTCTTACTCAACTCCCCGGTGATCCAAGCACCAATATCAGCCATAGCATCCAGATCAATACCAGTCTCCATTCCCAAGCTCTCAATAAAGTAGATCATGTTCTCCGTAGCAACATTTCCAGTCGCTCCAGGGCTGTAAGGACATCCGCCAAGTCCGCCAACGCTGCTGTCGAATGTACGAATGCCATGCTCCAGCGACACCGCCGTGTTCACGAGCGCCTGGCCGTACGTGTCGTGGAAGTGCATAGCAATATCCTCGTTCCTGATGCCCGCCGCCCGCATGCAGTTCAGCAATTCCTTGGTTCTCGGCGCCGTACCCATGCCGGTGGTGTCGCCCAGCGAGATCTCGTCGGCGCCCGACTCGAGAAGGTCCGTCGCGATCTCGGCCACCTTGTGCGGGTCCACGTCGTAGCCCTCAAAGGGGCACCCGAGGACGACGGAGACGTAAGCGCGAACGCGCAGCCCGGCCGCTTTCGAGTCACGGATAACTTCACGGAAGCGATCCAGCGATGTCGCGATATCGCAGTTGAGGTTCTTCTTCGAGAAGGACTCGGTGGCGGCCGCGAAGACTGCCACCTCGATCGCGGGGGTCGCTGCGTCGGCCGAGGGTTGGTGCTGCGAAGCGAAGGCGCCGGGGTACTTGGCTAGCAGCGCCTGGGCGTTCTGCAGGCCCTTGGTGTTCGGGGCGAGGAAAGAGTAGGAGGTTTGCGAAGGCGACGAGATCTTTCGTGTGAGGATGTGTTCAAGGATTTCGCTCGAGTTGGCCATCTACAAATGATTGACTGTCAATAACACTGCTCCAACAATCACCAGACAATTCTATCAGACTAACCTGCGGAACCCATTTCGGAGAGACGAATGAGCCACCTTCAATCGTCGACACGCCGGTTCTGGCGAGCTTCTCAATCAGCTCGATCTTGGTGGCGAGGGGTATCGTCTTCTTCTCGTTCTGCAGGCCATCGCGAGGGCCGACCTCGACGAGCTTGACGTAGTTGTCGCGGGGCGGCTGCTGGATGGGGCCGCTGGCGGTCGCAAAACCTCGCACGGGGCGGATCTGGGCCCTCCGGCACGCCCTACAGATTGCTGGACGGATGGAAAGCATTTTGGATGTTGAATTGTCGTTGCAATGGTTAACGAGGGGTAGATCGGCAACAGGTCATAAAGCAGCTCCAAGAGCTGGGGCGCAGGAGCTTGGCCGCATATCGTCGGCTTCCATGCTTCTATGGACCTCGGTGAGTGCCATGCGGTGCCAGCTGGGCACGCCTGGCAAAACGACCCTGATTTTCTTTCGACGACATTCTCCACAAATCTCGCGATAGCATCAAGCATTCAAAGCACCGCAACCAAACCAGGTCATATGGGGGACTAAACCACTTGCACTAATTCCCTTCAACATATAAAAATTATACCTCTGATTATTCACTGTTACAAGAGAGGTGACCGAGAGCATCTATCCACGGCTGCTCAAACCCTCGAACATGCCCTGCCTCGATGCAACCGAGGCATAGCAGCCGGGCCAAAGTATGATTTGGGTCAGGCGCAATCTCCCCTGAACATTTCAATGAGTCTTGATATAACATGATGATGTTTGTCATTTAGCTACCGCATCCCCCGCGACGCGGGCTTGGTCCCAGCAATACATCTCGAGTGACTGCTAGTCTGCTTCCGGAAACATCAGCGGTAGGTCCTCCTGACTTGACCACGGACAGAAGCCAAGAGGCTTGATTTCACCGTGGCTGTCAGTAGACGACACCTATCCACACGCGAATCCCAACTGACACAGGCATAGGTCTTACTCGGCTTGTACGGGATCTGCCATGCTGGCTAACTTGAGCAGAAGCGACTGCTCACCGTATGTGACTCGCACTCTCGAGAATACAGACGCATCAGCTTTGCCTTTTATTCCGACTGGCTGCTTCTGCCCAGTAAACCAAACCATTGGACGGGGAGTTCTGCTTTTCCCCTGTCTGGATACCCCGGAGCAGGGCCAACTAACTTCCCTCGGAGACTGTCTGAACATTATTTTTCCTCTCAAAGCAGCAGCCCTGTACACACGACAGCTTCTTCAGGGTGTCCTCTCGGGAGTCACATCGACGGGCAGCGGGTCCGTCCCTGCTTGGACAAATCACAAAAGTGGGCATGACCACGGCCGTCTACGGCGCTCCCGCCACGACGTCGAAGAGGGGCGGCCCAGATGGTGCCGCGGAGACTCTGAGTGCTGCTTTGGTATTGGAAGTCGTTACCATCATGAGATTCATGTTGTCGACGCCTGCCTGAGGTGTGGTACGCTTGTCTTCTGGTTCGGTCGGACGTCTAGTGGAAGGTTAGTGAGTGCCGACGCCGGCGCAGCATTCGATTGGTGTCTTCTCGTTTTCATCTATGCATAGAAACGGTTCAGTATGTACACGGATGACGGGGGTCTGCTTGCTTGAATAAATGACCGTGTCGGACTTCATCTTGAGCTGTGAATATGCAGTCTCCTATCTTCAAGCCTGCTGCGACCACCGAGTCCGGCATTATGGCCCTTTCCCTGGACACGAAAGCAAGCGACCAGAAGCAGACGAGACTGAGGTAAGAAGCTACTCTCAAACGAGCTTTTCCAGCTGTCCTAGGTAAGTTACGGAACATTTGGCTGCCGTGTGGGCATGGCCGGCTTGTTATTCTTGTCGATACCTAGCTCTTGGCTCATGGGTGCCTGGACGAGCAAATAAAATCATTGAAATGGAATAAAAAAGAAAGAAAGAAAGAAAGATCGCAGGGCTTGTTGAGTGGGAAGTTGAGAAACTGAAGCCCAGGCAGGCACGAAAAGAATATCTTGATGAAAACTTGAGAAGGGGGTGTGTGAAAGTGAGATGGTACGTACCTTACGTATTGAAACCTAGATGCCCTCGTTTATAATGAAATCAGCCTCATGGACGCGAAGATATTCTCAGTTCGATGAATTGAAAAGGTTGACGACCTGTTTTCTTTGAGTATGGTCTTTTATCTACTTCACTCCGGCGTGTGGGGCTGAAGCAGGACGTTGCCCGTGTGCTGGGGAAAGCTGAAGTAAGCTGCTCCCATCGTGAAAAAAGGAAACCAGTCAACTCAAAGAAAACTCTAAAACTCCTGATGGAATACATCGTCAATCAAGAAAAAATAATCAAGAGATGGTGGTTGTTGTGGTGTGGCGTTGGGTGGGGTGGGAGGTTGACGTGGTGATGGCCTCGTCCCGGGCAAGGCACCGGGCAAGTCAACGAGACCACCCCTCGCGAACCACCACGACCGGGCCCAGAAAAGCTTCCCATTCATGGCTGATGACCACAAAAGCAAAACAAAGGGTATACAAGACCCCCCGAGACCAAATCTCTCGCCGGCACACGGGCATGCCTCCTGGCGTGGAGGTTCCGGTCAAAGTGTGTTTAATGCGGCTTGGTGGAACGGTACGAGGTCTAGGATTAAGGATATGGGTTGCGGAGGATACGAGTTCGAATCGACAAAAACCCGACGACTGCCTACCGATCGATCGAGACCCCCGAGTACTCCCGGCATGTGCACCCAGAGATGTAGTCCCCATTCGACACCGAGGGGATGAACTCTTTTTGCCTTTTTTAAGTTTGAATGTTCTTGTGATCTTTTGTCTCTTTGGAATTGCATAGAGACATTGTTTGGCGCAATTTATGCCAAAACAATAGTCCTAAGTGATGGGTGGGTGGATGGTCTCTTCTCGTGAGTTGTGTGGGAAAACGAGCGACTGGTTAAACCACAGCATCCCACGTCAAACACTATGATCGTCATCCTATCCTATATTTGAGAGCACTCACAAGGCAATGGGATGTAATTAAGCAGGCAAAACATTATTATTACTCTCTAATAGTCTGTTTACACCTGGTCATGACGCGACACGTAAGTCTCAGCTCCTCCGCTTGAAGATGGCCTAAACTTTTGCCCAGGCACATGTGGGTTTCTTGGATTTACTTTTCCCAATTGGCGAAGGCATTGGCACTGCGATTTATGCTTACAATGGACAGCCTCACACTGATCTATTCGGGTGTTGGCAGAAACTGATATCGGGACGGAAGGCACGCGGCGAAACCGGGATCAACGGTTTTCGTTTTGCTGGAAGTTGCCACGGGCAAACAGCATCCAACGCGTCAACTTTCTTAAAACCCACTCTTGTGATCTCAAACTTCAGCAATGCTCTTTCGGCGACTGCACGTCGATCATTCAGATGAGGAACTAAGAACACAGGGCGGGAACTCATCACGTCACAGAAAGGGTTGCTGCTTTGTATTTCCCGGCAAAGTACTATCGTCAGCTTATCACAGGTCACAACACATTTGGAACTCAAGTCGAGGGTGAAAACAGATTTACTATAGTAAGTTATTCTGTGAAAAACACGCTACCCCCGCTTGCTTCTTCTTGTGCTCCCCCTTCTTCTTCTTCCTCTTTTTTTTCTTTTTTTTATTAAATACAAATGTCCTTCTCTACGTCCTATGCTTGGCGATGATGTCGTCGACTGCTCTGGTGTGGAAGTCGATGACACCGTACTTGTCATCGATCGATATCTCAGCGGCGGACGCTGCGAAATCGTAGTAACCGTTTGCATACAGGCCGGAGAATAACTCGTAACCATTCTGTCGGACCTCGGCGTTCTGATCGGTCAAGGCCACCAAGATCTTAGCAAGAAGAGCCACTTCCAAACGGAATCTCTGTTGGAGCTTGTCGAACCATTGACGCATTTCTTTCAGCTTCAAGGATTCCGTCAAAGCAGGAACGATGGAATCCTCCCTGCGAGGCGGTAATCTGAGCTGATTTACCTCCTGAATGAGGTTCGAGGGTGTCTGGCTGTTGCAGCACATATAAAGCCTGGCGTCGATATCGAGATGCATGGTCAGCGACTTGGCGGCCATCGCTGTAGGCGCAAACTGGAGTCTTTTGCATAACCACTCCGCAACGGTGTGCAGCTCAGCCTGGTACTTGCAGCATTCTTCGAAGGCGTTTTTGTAAGCTTCCCGGACCGCCGTGTTGGTACGTTTGTCGCGTCCAGTGGTCGTGCACGGCAATTTCTTCTGGGCGCAGCGTGTGCATTCGCCGCTCCCGTTGCGTATGCACCCAACCTTGCTGCGTTTGCAGGCGTCACAAGAGTCCTTACCCACCGGTCTTTTCGATGGCCCCTTTTCCTTTTTTACTTTGTTGTTCTTGTTGTTGGGTCTGAGGGGGGCAGTGTAAGCCTCGAGGGCAGCTTCGGGATTCTGCGGTGCGGTGGGCAGGGCGGCTCCGAAGGGAAGCTGCTGCTGGATGCTCTGCTCCTCAGGGATGGGATACTGGAAGGCGAAGGCAGAAGTCTGTGGCGCGGTGGGCAGAGCGATGTCGAGGGGAACTTGCTGCTGGATGCTCTGCTGCTGCTCCGGAACGAGGTACTGCTGAGGCTGCTGAAATCCGTTGTCGACGCCGGCATCGTACTCCTCGAAGAGAGCCCAAAAGTCCGGGTCGATCTCCTGCGGGAGGTATTGGTGGGAATCCATCATAGAAGATGAATAAATGTATAGAGGAGTTGAATAAGTGTAGAGTGAAGTTGAATAATGGCTGATGATCTACGATGACGGGAATCGAAACAGCAGAAGGGGAGGCGAGAAGGGGAATTATATAGTAAAAGACATGAGGCTTTGGGAAACGACAATCACTCAGCCGCGCTTGATGGTCGAGGTTTAGTTCAGAGTCGGAGGCACAGAAAGGCGCCATCGCCCTCGGAGAAAGAGTGAGGCACCGGTAAAAGTCGAAATGCGCCTACCAGTACCATGGTTTCCCACACCCGTGTGGACGGCGAAAAGGCTGAGGCTCCAAAGACCGACCAAGGCTGGCAACGGGCCCTGGTGTTGACTTTCTCAGCCTTGCTGGAAAACCCGAAATCTTCATGCTGAGCCGTACTTGGGAAACAAGGGGAACATCTTCGATACATTAACTCGTTAGTTAACTTCACGCGAGAGAAAGTATATTCGAGTATCCAGAAGGTTGTAAAAACATCAAGCCTCTGCCGGGCATTTGGAAAGCTCTACCTTGAAGAACCGCTTGCCGAACCTGAGGGGCGACGGTCGGGCAGTGTTCTGTCGAAAGAGCGAACGGCACCTCACGAAAATCTGGATTTTCCTGCCCCACTGGCACATTTTATCTAATGGCAGCTGGTTTAGGGTGCCAAAAAACCACCCCAGACCGCACGACCGCGGGCAGCTGGAGGGCGTCTTCTCGACTGGCTTTCCGTACACGGCACCCCGTTTTCACAGATCAAGACCGCCTTTGACACCCCTTTGCCACAGGGGGTCGAGAGATGCCAGAATCTTGGCGGATTCTGGGAGACTTTTGCAAAGTTTGAGGGTGGTGGTCGATTCGATTACGACCGCGGGACGGGCTTTCAGGCAGCCCACTTACACACACACACACACACACACACACACCCGCGCTCTGCGCAGTGGACTCGAGTGGCCAATTGCTCCCCATTTTCTCACATTCACTCAAATTCCACTCTCTATGTTGAATTGACGTATGATCAAAATCAATTGACATTCATACGCATCAATTGAGTGACATGTTGACGACCCTCTGAAATGCAGCATCTGTCGTGTCGTTGAAGAGGCTCAAGGGGATGGCCCGTTGGTGGTGGGGGTGGTCGCTGTACCCCTGAGCGGTCTCAGGGGTGGCGGGGCGTTGATTGGGCCTCCTCAGCGGGTGTTCCTGAAATTATGGGGCTGCTCTATGGAGGGTCCAGGGTCTTGCATTTTAAGCTTACACGACGTACGGACGACATTTTGCCTGAAAAGTTAGGAATTCCATCTTGACAAGTCCCTGCTTTCTTCTGATGAACTGCTTGTTTTCAAATCTGATGTTTCGCGACTCGTTCTCGACGCAAAGAGGCTTTCGAGGGCGAAACGAACCCACCCATCCCCCCAATCCATCCATGGGGCACGAGATCTGCTTTGCCTTCGAAAGGTTCCCTGCGATGAACCAACACAGCCAAAGCTTAAGCTTTCTCCGTTGATACTAACCTCAGCACAACCCGGTCGGGACTGTCAACGATTACGTTAATGCATGTCATGACTTTAGTCCCATGAGAAGAGCATGGAATTGCCTGCGCATCTGGGTGTGGCAGGAATGACTCAATGGGTTCCAAATCTACAAAGGATTGTACCTTGATCTGAAAACTTTGATCAACATGAAAGCTGTGTGACGATCGGTGCATTTTCGCGCTTCCCTGGCTTTATCGTGAGAAGGCAAGTCAGGCCGGGAAGTAAGGCCTGTATACGACCGCTCCTGACGGGAGCTGTGTTGGCCACCCCCCAGTTTCCCCGAGGTTGAAGGCACGTAAGACGGGGAGTGGAGCGAGCTCCTTCGAAAAGCAGCTGAGGCGAACCTGCCTTCATGATTGAAGGTTTTGGGAACTTTGGAAGGTGAAAAAGTTTTCAAAGTCAGTGCGACGAGGCAAGACAAAACAAGAAGCCGAGTACCGGGCAAAAAAAAAGGCATCCATTCGGGTGTCAGAAACTATCATCTCACGAGGTGCTGAACGACCAAAGATACTTAGATACTTCTCTCAAAAATAGACCGGTAGGTACAGGACGACGACTGGAATTTCCGGCCAATCAAAAAAATCCGACACGACCAGATTTAGAGTGAATTCGGTAGCGCTTCTGAGCCCGTTCTGGGCTGGTATTTTGCTGGCGTGATTTGGCACCCTCGGCCCCCCTCCCCCCCATGAGAGTTTTGATCACTGGGCGATTTTGAGAGAATTGACAGATGATGTAATCAGGAATCCGATACTGCCGACACCCCTTGAATTTTAGAGCTTATGCCTAGAAGGCTGTGACTCCTATTTGATGTGTGATCATGGTGTTGTGATAACAAGAGCAGCGGTGAATAGCAGCGACGACGACGACGACGACCAACGATAAGAGAACAATCCGAGACACTAAGGAGATATAGTATTACGAGATATTGAGGGGAGAGAGTGGTGGGAGATGATAACGAGAAACGACGACGACGACAGACAACAATCGAAATGGACAACAGCAGCAACATCGTAAGACAGAAGAACGAAGCCCCAAAACTGTCACTCAACACCGCGAAATTTGAGAACACGAGTGCCTTAGCACAACGCTCCAGTTTCATTACGTCCCTGAAAATCTGCGGAGGACAGCTACACGCAGCCGGCCGTGCTCGCTCCCAGCCGTCAGCAGAGTTTTTTCAGAGGGAATTCGTCCCAGGAAGACCGGCCTGGCCACCCACGACAAGTAGGTTAGCCACCAGCGGCCCATATTTCACATAGCTCGAGCTTTTGTTATTTGAGGAGTGCCTGGTTAGTGCGTCTTAAGATGAGAAGAAAGAGAATTCAAATTTACAGCCGCGTTAAAAGGACTGCGTAGGTCGCAGGGTTACCCTCCAAGCAAGCTATGTCAGACGTGCCTCACCACTTCGTTTTGTCTCCAGGCCACTCTAGCCTTGTAAGTGTTTGAGTAAAACTGATGTTGACTGATCGAATAATCCGGCATAAAAGAGACTGACGTCCATGGAGAATCATGTGCGAGATTGAAATCGGTTTCGCGCGGGGCTTCCTCGGTACAAACCTTGTAGAGACAAGGAACGCGGATTTTGAGCATGTTCCCCTGCCGCACATCAGACAACAAAGAACGAAAAGTAGGAGAGAAGCAGAAGAAGAAACGTCGATGCCAGGAGGCGCCTTTTTATTCTAAACCAGCGACCTCAACACCATATCTTCATATCTCATACCCGTCATCTCCAACACGACACATACCAACCAGGCGGAGTAAAACAACCCCTCTCGATCTCATCCCAGAAAATTCCCTAAACAACCAACTTAGCTTCATTCTTAGGCCCCCTCTCCCCGAAAATCGTGCTCCCGACCCTGACCTCCCCGCTCCCCAACCTCACCGCCCCCTCGAAGTCCTCGCTCATGCCCATACTCAGCTCCAGCTCCCTCTCGAGCCCGAGCTCCTTCCTCACCAGGTCGCGCTGCTCCCGCAGGCACAAGAAGTCCTCGTTCTCGTTCTCCGGCGTCGTTGCCCTGCTCCGCGCGATCGCGCCGATGGTCATCAGCCCCAGGAGCGTCAGCGACGGACACTCGGCCTCCACGGCGCGGCACAGCGCCACCGTCTCGTCGCCGGGGGCCGCGCCCGACTTGGACTCCTCGCCCGAGGTGTTGACCTGCACGTGCACGCCGAGCGGCCCCGCGGAGGGGTCCGAGGCGACGAGGTCGGCGCGGGCCGAGTTGAGGAGCTGCGCCTTCTTGAGGGTGTCGACGGAGGAGACGCAGAAGAGGTTGGGGATCTTTGCGATCTTCTTGGCGTGTGCTGCGCGCGGGATGTCAGCTCTCGAGATCTCTTCAGGGCCCAAGCCTACCCTCGACCAGAGTCTCGGGGCCCTTGGTTTGATGTGAATGAGTGAGTGAGTGAGCACATACTAGACTGCAACCCCCCGATGAAATGCCACTGGATGCTCCTCGGCAACATCTCCGCCTTCTGCCCCAGCTCCTGCGCGTAGTTCTCGCCAAAGTGCACCTGCGGCGGCGAGGCCTGGTGCAGCGCCAGCACGTCGTTGGCCGGCTTCAGCTTCGACACGGCGACGAGCCGGACCTTGGGGTTTGTCGTCAGCGTTCTGCGTTCCCATTGGGCGGAGTCGGGATTCGTGTGACCCTCCCCGGGGAACGGGGGACTCACGTTCCGGCCGGCCGCCACGGCGGCGACGCGCTCCTGCACGGCCTGCAGCTGCGAGACGAGCGCCTTTGCTCTCGCCGGGTCGATCTTCATTTCGGGCTGGGCGTCGGTCATCGCAAGACTTGAGGGGTCTTTGGGGGG